AGCTTTACTTATAGTACTATTATAGCCTGGCTAAGGAGTAATATTAAAAGTACCTAAGGCACTTACCTTATATATTAGCTAGACCTCCTGGCCTAAGACCTTAGTTAGCAACAGTTAATATACACATATCCCTCTTAACAACTAGGTACCTAGACCTACCTATGGGCAGGTAGTGGGACCTATGGGTCGGGTATTTTAAGCCCTAATGCAGGTGATGGAGCTGATGTTACTTTTCTATCTATATTGGAAATAACCCTTTCTATGTATGGCTCAAATACGGTGTAAAGAAATAGTCTGTAAATACCTTCTACTTATAATACCAAAGTTCCATCGAACCATAAGGCAATAACCTGTCCTATATACCAGGCAACCTGCGCCAAGGAATTCATGTGCAAAACCTGTCGCCCTTTGATAATGTAATTACCTCCATTGCTCGCTTCATGTGAAGGAACCGTACTTGTACATCTCTACTAGTCAAATAATAATTGCCACTACTATAGCAAATTGGACCGCCATGTAAAATGGGTTTAAATATAATATCCATATAAAGGACAACAACTTCCTGGTAAAGTATATCATAGTTTTAATAATATACTCAAACATGGTGTAGGTGACTAATATTATGAACCAGAAAATCGTGAGCCCTATGATCATGTTCCGGAGTGGAGTAAGTTGGCCAGGTACGACGTCGAAAAAAGGTAGGATGTAGCTAAGTAGGTAGTGGTAGAAGTCGTATATTAATAAGAGGACACTCCCGACTTTGTAAATAGTTTTGATAAGTTGGACGATGGACCAAATAGGGAACATGATTGCGCTGTCTGTGCATTGATTGACTTGGTGAAGCTCTGTTATTGTTATTGCTGGAGATTCTGGACTGTGGATACTATCTGAACATCCAAACCAACTGTTGTACTAGGACTTTATAGACATTCCTAGCACGAGAGACGAGGTAAAAGACAAATTGTGACTGTCTTTGACTACATAAAGAACCATTGTTATGCGAGTGCATGTTCTTTTATGCTTGTGTTCACTGATGGAAATGGTCACTTGGGTCTTTGTCCCCTAAGTATTTATTTAAAGATTTCTTTGATGACTGGGCAGCGAACAGTTCAGGCACTATTTTTCAAGTCAAGTTGGCCTGAACAGTGTTCACCCCTTCGGAGTACCCTTGTTCTTAAGTTCAATCACTGTTGCAATACAGTAATAACGCCCGCTCACATACACCTTACTACTTTCAAACAGGGAGGATTATCTAGATGAATACGCGGAAATATGCTCTTTCCTTCTGATATTTTTGTGAGTAAATTATCATTTAAAATCACAAAGTAGCACATTTCACGATGGCAAGACAAAGATGAATAATAGTTCAAAAGAGTAACTTCCAGTACCAACAATATTCAAAAGCTACCTAACGGAGTATCTCCAATCCAAGTCTTCCTAATATATCTTCGATACCACTTCAAGCCATCTCCAGTTGACGTTAGAGTTACATTCTCGATAACAGCCGTCCAAATTGATCCATCCACTTCCACTCATCTCCATCCTCCTCCTGTATGTTACCATAATCAAGGATCAGACAATGAAGAACCGTATAACCTTCATCCCATATAGCACTGAAATCGGGCATCAAGGCATTAAAAATACGACAAGGCTGAAGAGTGATACGATTAGCCCGCGGCTCCTCGTCATCAAACATGTTGATCCCCTCACAGTGAATGTCTCCCTCATCGACAGATTCAGTGTCTATACAAAAGAGTATCACATAGATATCCCCTTCCTCGTGGGGTTCAGTGCCATCGACAATATGCCAGTGTTGGCAGGAGATTTGGGTGGAATAATTGGTGGCCCGCCGGTGGCGATATCTCAACGCAGTAACACGTGGATCCATGTCATCCAGCGTCCACTGCAGATAGGCCTTCGAGAAGGCTCGGCGGGTAATCGGAGGCCCTCTTCCTGTGAGGTATCGCCGATCGAACTTGCGATCATCCTTTGCTTCCGGAGGACAGGTCAAGAGTTCTGCCTTAGTGGTTTCCGACCGTTTAGCCGCCTTCATTCTTGATGGCACTCGAGCTGCTGTTACGGTCGTCTCAGGCAGTCTTCTCTTTTCTTTCGGTCCAACCGTGTCCGACGATCTTGTCGGTTGGATTTGGGCTAGTTGTTTCTCAAGAACAGCAACTCGGGCTGCGAGGCGAGTCACCTCCACCTCGCAGGAGCAGCTGGGACGATTGCGATCCATTTGTAGTGAGGTTTGTGGTTTTTAGTAATCGGGAGCCTCTAAGTATCCAGACTAATGCTCTGAGAAGTCGCATAGAGGAGATGTTTGTAAACTTGATATGAAACTTGCCCGGCTTGATGAGAAATTCTTAAACTTTTAAAGAAAATAGCTTCCTTCTTTGTTCTTAGAATAAAGAAGTACTTGGCTTAAGAGAAGTAAACTTTACGGGGAGAGCTTGAAAGAACGGAGAACATAGATTACCGAAGATGTCGATGTTCAAAGAACAATTTGAATGAGCGCATGTCCAGATTATTTGGCTGGGCGTTTATCAAATCTGCTTTCTACGATACGCGAGTACCCTCATGCCCTCCAAGCAACGGCACGCACATATGGGTCTCCTCGAGAGGTCAGCCGTGACTGTATTAACTCATAGAAGTTCGAGTAACGTATCGAATGGTGAACGGCAGATAACCATGACTTAGCCCGCAGGCCTTCATACAGCACCTCCTCAACATAGGCTCGCATTAACTAAATCCACCGTTCGAACTGTCTCCATGTACATCGGCATCGCTTGCATAGAGAGTGTGCTCGATGCCCTTTTCACGTATAGCGGTTTGATATCTTGCGAAATACCGTCTACTCATTCTGAGCATTCTTAGATATATCAGAACATACTTTCTAATTTTTTGGCCAATGCTTCCGCCACAGTCAGCCCAAAAGTGCCATCATTTCTTGTCCAGATCTCAAGAAATCGAATGACTATGTGCTGGAAAGGAACTTGGTCAGGTTATGTGGTCCCAGGGGCATGAAGCCCGCCAGCGGTGAAGAAGACAAACAAAACTGAACAATGGTTTCTGTTCTTGGCGGTTGCGGAGCGTAATCATCCGCGAGGCGCCCTATTTATCCAGATCATCCCTAGTCAGGTACCAATTACTATTTCTAGTAATTGCGGAGAGCAATCCTCCGTACGCTTCGGCATACCCTTTTTATACATATGACGCCAGGTATGCGGGGTAAACGAGACTACCTCGGGTGGATAAGTTGGAGAATGGAAATAGCCTCTTGAAACAATACTCGTTTCATCCATCCATGCTACGCTGTCTATCACTTGATGCTGCCCAGGACAGACATGCAGTATTTATTCTTTTCCCGGCTGCGGGGTCTCGCTTCGGACATGCTGCCTCCGGATCTCGCGGTATTTGACACCGGCATTTGAGCCGACATTAGAATCACGACTTGGTTCAACTATAAAGCAAGGAGATCGACCACGACCAAGTAATTGAACAACAAACACCGACAATTAAGCAGATTCGGAGAATTCATTGACCATGCTCGGACTCCCCTCGCCCCGCAAGCTGCTCACACAGCTGAGCCTTGGCGCTAGCCTTGTTGCGGCTCAGCTCCAGACCATCAACAACTTTGGAAACACCTATGGGACAAACCTAATCATGCAGGCCTACATCCCCGCAAATCGGCCTGCTAACCCAGCAGTCATGCTCGCCGTAAGCCAACCCCATCAAATCTCCCCGTTCTTCAGCTGACCTCCAGATACAGCTGCACGCCTGTGGTGGAACCGGCCAAGGCTACTTCCAACAGACCCAGTACAAGTCCCTCGCTGATCAAAAGGGCGTCATTCTTATCTTTCCATCATCCCAGAAGGATTTCAACTGCTGGGATGTCGCCAGCACCAAGACCCTCAAGCACGATGGTCAGGGCGACAGCCAAGTTCTCGTCAGCATGGTCGACTATGTCATCAACACGTACAAAGCCGACCGCAATAAAGTCTACGTCACGGGCACCAGCTCCGGATGCATGATGACCAATGTTCTCGCGGCCACATACCCAGACCGTTTCGCCGCTGCGACATGCTACTCTGGCGTTGCTGCCGGCTGCATGGCTGGATCACCTGGATCAAGCCCCATCAGTTCTGACCGTGTCTGCTCTGACGGAAAGATCATTAAGACGGGACAGCAGTGGGCTGATCAGGTCAAGGCGATGTATCCTGGCTACAACGGGGCGTACCCGCGATTCAAGACCTGGCACGGCACTGCGGATAATCTTGTGTTTTACCGGAACCTTCTTGAGCAGATCAAGGAGTGGTCGACCATTCAGGGTGTTTCGTTCAGCCGCAACGAGACCAACACTCCTCAGTCTGGCTATACCACTATGATTTATGGGGACGGAACTAAGTTTGTTGCTGTATCTGCTGCTGGAGTCGGACATGTCGTACCTACTCATGAGGATCTTGACTTTAAGTGGTTTGGTCTTTCTTAAGAGTCAACATTGTCAGGAACCGGGTCAAGAGCGACAAATGCAGATGCAGAGTCGATGTTAGGGCGAGGATCTTTTAGGATTTGAGGGGAGGAGACAAACAAGGATAACAGGAGGGAGGAGAGAGGGCAAATTGTGTACATAGCTATTTCTACTACATTCTTCTCAGTATATAACAACTTCATTCGTTCAGCTAGATAGCTACTTGGTGTCTGGCTCACACGGCCAAGATGGCCTTTCCTTTCGCCATAATTGTTCGGATCGAAGTCCCCCATCGCTTGTCAGATGAGAGAATCAAGACCATAGCGGCTCATCACTAGGCCCATTCGTATAAGTTGTCAGCAAGAAAAGTCAATTCAAAGTACAAAAAAGCCTTTTTATTAATAGATCATGCCATTAGAATAATCCGCCCCATTCTTCGGTTTCTTGTTTCATCTTGGTACCTCGGGCGCACTAACAGGTCAAAGCCCCAAACGCCAAAACTCAGAATGGTCTGAAACGCAAGACTCAGCGCTCCCGGACAATCAGCTGTCTTCTAGCACGGCTCATAGCAGACAAAAAAAGGCCAAAGAAGGTTCGTAAGTGCATAAACTAGAACAAATTTCACGACGTTCTCAATTTCATTATTTGGTTTGGCATAAGTAAACAAAATGCTTTCGTTGCCGCGCGACGTAAGTGAACCGCCAAACAGATATAACTGATAATCAGACCCTTCGCCATGACTATATTGGTGTATTAACTCTACAATCTCCTGTAACATTATTACACATCAAATCACACTCTTCAAAATGGTGCCTCAACCACTAAACCTCGCCAAGGGTTCTTTTCTTTCAGCTCCAAACGCACGAGCCTTTGGACCAAAGACACCAACAGATATACCAAATTTCACTCAGGCCTCAAGTCCACCACGTCTCATAGCCCCAAGACAGCGTCGCCGCGCTACAGTAATCGCAGTCAATAGCAGAACACCACCCCACTTCGCCTTGCAGTCTCCCCCACGCAGGCGTAAGAGCGCAACTGATCGTCGCAAGAGTTTGCAGCCGCATCTCTGCTCCGCGCAGAGTCTCACCTTACGCAATCCAAGCAATGGCCTTATGCAGCAGGGCTCTGCGATACGCAATAGTCTGTGCGACTGTACTTCAGGCCTGGATATAAAGTTGACGGAGCTTTGCGTCGAGCAACCAGAACGCGAGCCTCGGCGCTCACCGGCGCTGTTTGCGCCTTGTCGCTGGAGTATTCCTTCACCTACGCCAGGAAGCTCTTTTGAGAAGAGTGACCAGGTGTATCAGTTTCAGGGTTATCGTGGTGGGAGCCGTAAGAGCAGACGGGCTACGTGGGCTTTTGATGTGGATGGGAATATGAACAAATTGCCATCTTGTCCGTTCTGGACATGTCCAGAGTATCGATAGATGCAGGCGACATGGCTGCAATGGAGTGTTGAACCAAGAGTATTCAATTCGGTATTGACCTTCAGCTGTCCGATCTGCGATTGACAGCTGGGTATTTATTACTACTTTACCACTTTATGCAAGGCGACGAGTTATTTTTACAAGTAGCAATATTTATTCAAAACTGACGTCTTAGCACAAGTGAAACCCTTCCTGCTCTATACACATTAGCTTGAGATTCCGGGCTAGTTATGTAGAGCATTTTCCTACACAGACTCGGTCTTATTAATCAACACTAGACCACCGCTCTAGTCCTAAGCTCGCTTCCATATTTCCATCGGACGATCAGAAGCTAGTCTATGAAGTCAACAGACCATAGCCTAATCCTCAATTGGTCGGAGGCCTCTAATTAATCGAAGCGGGACTAGTGGCTGTTAAGTGGGGATGGAGTTATAGCTACTTATGGAAATGAACGTTGTCCTCTTCAACTCTTAAAGTCGGCAAAGTCATACTGCTGTTGTCATAGAAAGAGCAGCTGAGTCATAAATCATCTGGTGTTTTGGTCAATGACTAGGTAGCTGGCCGGCCGGGGAGTGTCGCCGGTCTGAGTCATACCGTATACGAGCTAATTCTTGAGTCAGCCTTAGCAAAAGGTGACAAACAACGTCTCAAATATACCATCATACCTTACTTCATAATCATATCTTCCCCTTCTCCATATTTCTTTTTCTAGTCATTCGGTTTCTTCGAAGTTAATGGCGATGCCGCCGACACCACTCGAGAGATCGCGACTCTGCGACGAATGCACCCACGCGTGCTCCATGTCCATCGTCGGCTGTGCACCATATACCTGCCCAAAGCACAAATCCGAATTCCCCAAGGAGCAAAACAATTGGTATTTCCTAAACAATCCATCGCGCTGGGGAAAATGGGCAAAGACAAAGCGAGACTTTGTTGCAGAAACGAGTTCATCAGGATGTCATCTCTGCATAATAATAGCACATGCATTTGATGAGAAATCAAAAGAGTTGTTTCAGAGTCTTGGCAGCGATGGGGTTGTACGGCTTTGCTTCAGATATCGCACTGTCGAGCGAGATCCAAGCGGGAAGTTGGGTTGGGATGAGAGGACATGCATGGCGATTACTGATATTACGCTGGGGATTGATCTTCCCGATGAGTTCTGGCTGGCGATTAGCTCGGACAAAGATTCAGTCTTGAGCGACGTGTCATTCGATCTAAGAATGCGGCCACTTCAAGGTAAGATTGCGAATCCACGGGGAAACTTTGACTGACTTGATTGCAGAAACGGATACGAGCCATGTTATAAAGACCATCCCCGGCAAACATGCATCAACGATGAACGACCAGAATTTGCAGCTTGCACTGAAATGGATCAAAGGCTGCAATCGCTCACATCCCATTTGCAAGGAATTCCAGCCACAACAGCCAAATTGGCGTCCAACGAGACTTATCCACATCGGGTCAAAAGCCCAGCAACCTCGACTAGTCATGCCATCATCAGCAGTACCTTACATTGCGCTAAGCTACTGCTGGGGAACTCAAAACACGGTCACTCTCACAGAAGCAACACTGATTCAATTCCAAAACGAAATTCCTTTGGCGAGCTTACCACCCACCATCTGCGATGCAATCGCTACGACACGAGATCTCGGCTACGAATATCTGTGGGTAGATGCGCTCTGCATCATTCAAGATTCCAAATCCGATTGGATCAAAGAGTCCTCACAGATGGGCAGCATCTATGGTTCGGCAGCTCTCACCCTCGCAGCAGCTGGTGCATCAAGCGTAAAAGACTCAATATTCAGCCGTCGCGATCCCCGGGCAGTAAGACCATGCGTCGCAAACATCATCCAAAGTTCGGTATATCACCGAGTAAGTTACCCATGGGCTATTTACCCGCACCAACCTGAACGCCTCCTATTCGACACCATCAACGAGAGTCCTTTGAGCCGTCGAGCTTGGGCGTTGCAGGAACTGTTAGTATCACCACGGACTCTGGTCTTTGGATCCAAGCAATTGGCCTGGTCATGTGCGACGACAGAAGCAAGCGAGACGTTCCCGGTTGGCTTGAATCCAAAGTTTAGCTCTGTAGTGAACGAGGGTGCAAGTTTGTCGTATCTTCGCCAAAAGCTCATGAGAGCTTCAAAGTTGGAAGAAGAGCCCTCGGAGTTTTGGAATGGTTTTATTAGCAGGTATACCAAAGCTCGACTCACATTTAGTTCCGACAGACTCGTTGCGCTACAAGGTATCGTCGAAAGAATCAGTGAAGCAAGAAGAGGATTAAGCAGAGGTACACCTGAGCTGGAATACGTCGCCGGTCTCTGGCGCGATGCGAATTTCCTGCAGAGCATCTTGTGGCGTCACAAGGCTGGATCATCACTCAAACGGCGAGACTATTATCGCGCTCCGTCATGGAGCTGGGCGTCGTTGGACGGCGAGGTTGACTTCTTTGAGCAATACATATCGTGGATCTGGAACGGGAAGAACGCCGATCTTGCAAGGATATTGGGTGTTTGTGTTGAGCCGCAGACTGGATACTCGCTTTCGACGACTGGTCAGATTAAATCGGGCCTTATTGAGATGGAATGTCATTTACGGGCGTGCTACTTGATGAAGACACCACAATCGGAAGACTCGCCGAATCTTAAAGAGGAGGATAGATATCTCATCATATCCTCTGATGAATATGACGAGATGTCTGCAAATCCTTCCCTCAAAGACCCCACAGAAGGGATGAAGCAAGTACACAAATTCGCCAACTCCTGTACCATAGATATACCAGAAGAAATACCGTTCTCGCAGTGGGTTCAGGTTTATTGCGTTCCTCTGCAATTGGGATGGTGTCAAACCGATCGCTACGAACAGGCCGTATGGGAGAGCTACGAAGGCTTAATCCTTATACCTCATGATGCTGGAGAGGAAGATCTATTGACCTCCGAAGGGTTCTGCATTCTGTCTCAGACTTTCCGTCGAATCGGGACATTTACTTTCGATCTTCATGAGGATAATAGAGAAGCGCGAGAAAATGAACTGTGGGGTCCGGTGTTGTTTGATAGAGAGGGCAATTGGGAGAGAAAGAGGGAAACAGTGTGTATCATTTGAGGATAGTGTACTAATAGCCGGTCTCTGAAGTATCTTTCAGGATGAGTCTCATTACAATGAAACGCAATAGATGGCCACTTTTTGGGTTTCCTTTATTCCGGAGCTTCTTCAACTCAGCTATGTGGCCTTAAGTCTCCGTCATTCTTACAACGGCCATGAAGCGAATTCTTCCACTATTAATTATTGCTAAATGGTTTCAATTTCTACCTACTATTTACTAAAACTAGCCGTGGCCCTTACATTGAGGACATTTCCAAATATCCTCTGCGATAGATGTAAGCAAAGCTGTGACTGGGCCGTGGTCTAACAGTCAATGAACTCTATGCGCTACCCAAGAATATAGAATGCTCTGAGAGACCATTCGAGCACATACGACCATACCTACAGGAAAATACGGGATCCCGTCCGCTCTCCCATAGTCAAGCCTGTAAGGGGCGTAGTAGTTGGGTCAGCGAATCCCCGCTGTTGTATGTTTTTGCCAACTGTAAGAAATCTCTTTCTTTTTACCAGTGACATGTACTGGAAGCTTTGATTGCTCGTTGATTGCTCGATGACGATGAGCTTGACTATTTGGGCAAATACTTTAAACGCATGCTGTCGACGCGCTATGGATGCGAAGGACGGGAATATAATGGAAAGGTGTCTCCTCATTTGCCTCCCACTTCCGTGGGCGACCTCGCCATGTCGGCTTTGATCTCAATTTGCGCTGGGGATTAAGAATAGGGAGACTTCGCGCAGCCACATGGCGGGGCTATGGTCCCTGTCTTTGAGAAGACGTAACAGGCTAGCTACACGAGCAAGCTTGTATCTAGACCTACTACTCTACACTAAGAAGATGGAGTTCTTGAGGAAAACAGCTGGAATTAAAAGCATCTGGTACTGTGACACAGCCTTGGCATTTTATATTTATGTATACGCTTCCCTGACTGTAGTAAAGTATGTTTGCTATTCCTGTTTCTGTAGAGTGGAAGGCATATTTAGGGCTATTTCTACTAAGGTTTTTTACATACTCTTGCTATGTTTCCTGGCTATAGTTCTTTTTCTTTAGCTTTATTAGATATTTTATATAAGTCTTAAATCCAATCTGTAACTGTTAGACTAGCTTCTGTATTTCTTATTTTTTATAAATCTTTTTAATTTATTAATATCTAGACTTTAATACTTCACTTTATATAGGACCGGTTTCCTTACAAATACATATATTGAATTCCTGCCGTCCCCCGTTTGGATGCATAGGAGTGAATATAGTCAATTTGTGTAACGATTTAAGGGATACACGCATAGGTACAGCCAACTTGTATGAAAGGTGAATGGGATATCAGGCTTTGACTTGCTTTGTACCAAGAGCGCAACAGGCCTTTGATGTATAATTGAATGGTGTCTCAGGCGTCACTCAATGCCGAATTTGTCAATATTGATCGTCGGCTCCGATGTTTGGCAATCTGCATGTTGGACTTTGGCTTTGTTTAGCGGTCTCATTGACGGACGCCATCTCACATTCAATACAGCTGGTCAAGCTTACATGGTATAAATTGCTTCCATCTTCTTCAACTCTTACGTTGCGTCTCCTCTCTTCCATCTCACCATCATTATGTCCATTTGACCTTATTATCACTTCAAATCCTTTCCACCATGAGCCTGAAACGTCAAGGGTCAGACTTGGATCACGGTGCGAAGAAGATGAAGTCTAACGACAGCAATGACAACGATGGAGTCTCATCTACGAGTTCTATGCCAACTTCCCCTGCCTTGCCTCGTCAGCCTGTTACTGATTTGGACGACTTGCCCCACACGGCTCGCGAGAAAATCAACTATGTACTACAAGCTCTCGGGGATGTCTCCCCAGAGACACTGTATCAAGTCAATATCATGGATCAAATCAACGCCATCAACTGTGATGGTACTTCCCCGCCGCACTTTAAGTATAAAACGCCTCCCATAGACATGATGGTTGGCTATGAGCACAGTACATTCCCCAATGTCCTCATCTACAGGCTTAACAAGCTGACTACTTCACCAGGAAGAACTGATGCCCACGACTGCGCATTTATCGGCTGCGATCGAATTGTCGCCAGAGTTACTACCTTGCGTTACGCCGATGGTTATTTTACAGTCGAGATCAAAAGTCGGGGAAGACACACTCCAAAATTGACTCTACCGTATGGTACGAAGGATGACCGACGAATATTCAAAGAACAGTCGTGGGAGGAAGGCTATCGACTTAAAGTACAGAGCCTCACCAGAAAAGCCGCGGTGTCTCATAACCGAGAAGTCCTGGGTTGGTGGGTGCGCAGAATTGTTCATTCTGAAACCCGGCTTACCGGAAGGGAGGAGGCTAGGGGAGAGTTTCTTTCGGGTGATGTAGTACTGACTAAAACATCGGGGGATCCTATTTTGTATTTTCGCCGATAGCTACTGGGAAGTTATCTTGGTCATTTGGCTTATCTCCTATTAGTATATCGGACTTAACAGTGTTCATTGCCTAGGGAGCGAGAACTTAACAAGAGGGAAAGGTCAGGGGAGATAGACGTTCGCGCATAATGTTCAGATAAGAATCTGTTCTTTGAATATCATTGAGCATATCAGGGGAAACTAGACAGTATGGTGGCATTATCTTACGATGTTAGATGATCATCATTTGCGGAACTGCTGCGTCGCCCCCTACTGGCGGAAGAATGAGAGTCTCTGGGAGTCATGCATAGATCGAGTGAACAAATTGACCCTCGCTTTCACAAGAATACTCTGGCAGTGGCAACGAAACTCACATTACGTTCCTAGTGTGAACATACCAGAAAGCCAATCATAGCAGTGTACCCTCACAATCGTTTGTTGGTCGGAGTTCAGACCGCCAGCGAGTGCCACTGTCAATTCACCATATCATTTCACGGAGGTCCGGGATCCAAAAGTTAACTAGGTGGAACACTGCGAACCTCCAAGATCCATTCAACATCTCTCAACATCTCTCGACTCCGTGCTATCTTTTCCAAACACACATCTCTCCATGACAGTATCTTCAACGCTATCACCAAATCACTTTCAAGCAATCCTTGTTAACAATCAGCACACTAGCGCCGAAACAAACGACAGCGCCCTCTTGCCCCTTTCTACGCGTTGACCCGACGTCAATATGGCGGATCTCATCGACCCCGGCACGGCCAAGCTGGTCCTTATTGTCTCTCTCCTCTGGATCATTTCATTCACTCTCCACAGCCTCTACGAGCTCAACGACATCCTCTTCTATTCCATTGCCGGCGGAACTGCATTCGTTGTCGCCGCCGCAAGCTGCGTCTGCCTCTCGGGCCTTACCGCCATGGTCGTCTACTTTTCGGTCCTGGCCAATATTGCGATTATTGGCAGCATTATCATGCTCATTCCGGTTGTTCAGTATCTTATCCAGTGCATTTCCTCTTTCTTCACTCGTGTCAAAAATGTCTGTGATCGAGTAATGAGGTATCTCAACGCGGTGGCCTTTTTCTTGGACAACCTTACTACGGCAGTGCAGTTATTCCCTCCGTCATTTTACAGATTCCTTTATGGACCCGAAGGTCTTGAGCCCCTAACTGACGATTGAGTGGTCTTTCAGTAGATCGGAGGTACGGACAGATGTTTACGGCGCCGCGGAAAGAGGTCGGCCTGGTTTTTGCGGTTGCATATTGACAAATGCTCTACATGAGCATCGTTTGTAGGCGTCTTCGCATTGGTATGAGAAAATAGTCCGTATGTAGCGCGCTCCAGAACAGAAAAGGTTTACTGTGTCTCTAGGGCCAGAACTGTCTTGTGATCCAGCTGAGTATACTCTCGGCTAAATGCTCATTGCAGTTGTCATAATTCCTTCAGGATTCCTAATCTCACAAGAGTCAGCCAGAGCAGTCTATTCTGATGTCAGCTGTCTTTAAGATGATCACAGCAACGGGGACCCTGATGGACTGATGACCACTTTCAGATGTCACGTGACTCTCACGATCTCAATCGGCATGCAGCAACGAGGAGGGTCAAGCCTTTTCTTGCTCTCAGAACCTGACTCCAGGTACTTTTGAAGTCATTACGTGTGGGGTAAGTGCGGAGAAGTGGGCGTGATAAGAAAGGTAGTGGCGTTTCAATTGCCGGCCCTATTTTTGGTGTCTTATCTGACACGAAGCGTCAGATGATAAGCCCAGCGATGGAGTCAGGATACCATTACCAGAATAGGAAATGATATAAGAAGAGACTAACACAACGCCCCTCCCCCCTTCAGCAAGCGACGCCGATAAAGAGTCATTTACGAGGTTGGTAATAATGATAAAAGGCTCAAATGGCCCGGCGTTGGTCTAAAAACAATCTTGTTGGTATACAGGACTTGCCATTTCGCAGTGTCAATTTCTTGCTTCAGAATCAACGAAACCTATCACTCTCCAGCTCTAGACATTCAACAACATGTCTGCAAAAGTAGCTCCGGCCCCGGCGACCATTTCCTCTCCGTCCCTCACCGCTCTTAACGATCTTGACCTCCCGGACTTTGATCCCGCCATCCATCTTGCCTTCCAGCCCCCTACTCGACGCCACACCTTTCAGGACCTTGGTCTGCCGCAGCCAGAAAATGCACCTGATCTCTGCGTCACAGAACCTTTTCAACTCTTCTCGGAAGAGGGCGTGCGCATGTTGCGTCGTGAGATGCTGAGCAAACCGATTCTCGACAAGTATCTCCGTTCATGGGATCGTGCGCCGGCCTACATTGCGGGTCATGAAAAGGTGAGTTTAACTTCAGAGTGACGATACTAAAACTAAAGTCATTGCCAAAGACTGCAAAGTTTACGCTTCAGGCGTGGCAACATCCCGCGACGCAAGCTGCCATCGATCACGCAGCTGGTTTCGGCCTCCGTCTCTTGCGACGAGAAGCCGATCTCGGACTCGTAAACATCCAGCTCGGCCCCGAGGGTCTCCCCGGCGTCTACAAACTCACCGAAACACCCTCAGCCCCTCTCTCACCCCAAGAGATGCAAAAGTCCAGCTACGACGATATACCCATCGACGCCTGGCACAAAGACCAAGTCCCAGTTGTATGTGTCGTCATGCTCAGCGACACAAGCAGCATGCTAGGCGGTGAGACAGCGATACGCACTGGAGACGGCTCCATCGTGAAAGTGAAGAGTCCACGAGTGGGAGGCGCCGTCATCATGCAGGGCGGATGTACTGAGCATGCTGCTTTACGCGCGACGAATGTACCGGAGAGATTGAGCATGGTGAGTAGCTATGCATTTGCGGACCCGAACTTGGATGATCAGTACACGTCGCTTCGTAGCGTAGACTTGGGAAATGATGATATCCCGACGTTTTGTAATATTTTCCTGCAGGAGAAGTTACTTAGGTTGAGGGGGCGGATCGATGCGGTCTTGGAGACGCTGGTTGAAAAGGAGAAGAGGGGTGAGATGGTTGAGAGGAGTGAGTTTGAAGGTTGGGTTAGGGAGCAGACTAATTTTATGAAGAGGAGTGCTTGGGAGATGTATGAGAGGGTGCCAAACTACTTAGGCAAAGATGTACCTGAGGATGTTATCCGAGATTACCTGAGATGAGATAGAGAGCAGAGAAAATACAGGGTGTCTTTGGAGTCTCACGTTCATGACTCTGTTTCTCATTGAACTTTTGTTATCATTATGAGTTGCAAAAAATGTAAAAAAGAACCGTTGCACGGATGTAGGAGTAGTTTGCCTCGACACGGGATCGAACCGTGGACCTTGTCATTACTAGTGACACGCTCTACCACTGAGCCATCGAGGCGCGATCTGATTGGATGAGATCATCTGCCGCTCTCCGAGACCACCATTCTCTCTCAATTCGATGGATGCTGCTCTCATGTCCACTCGAAGCTTAGCAACAATTACCAGCTTTGGAAGAGATCACGTTTAAAGACGACGATAGGACTCAGCGATGTTATTCTCAGCAATATTGATTTCTACATCCAGGGTATTGCAGTAGCTATTGCTCTCGATCGATGTAAAGCAACTTAATCTGTACATATTTCAATGACTACTCGACTGTGACCACCATTTTCCCATTCGCATCTCCATTCTCCATTGCCCGATGAGCAGCATGTATATCTTCAAACCCAAAAACCCTCCACGGCTTTGCATCAATCTTGCCCTCCGCCACCTTGAGCATAATACTCCTTAACGGGACATCCGACACTGGGAACTCTTCCGTCCCAAATACAAAACTTCCAAAGAAGCTCAAGTGAACTCCGCTTGCCATTTGTAGCAGCGGATTGAATCCCCGTGATTCATCAGGCCCAGCAGGTCCTTTGATAGGATCTAAACCTCCTAGCCAACCTGCCAAGCAGACGCGGCCATCGCGACGGACCAGCTGTAGTGAGTCGACGACTGTACTGTTGCCGACTAGGTCCAGTACTGAATCGAAAGTCTTGAAATCATCGCTAGCATGGAGACTTTTGCTCAAGTCGGTCGTTTCGAGAACTGTGTCGGCGACTCCAAGGTCTCTCAAAGCAGCAAACTTGGCTTCGCTACGACTTGTCGCCGTAACAACGGCCCCTGCATCAACAGCGAGATTGATAGCCGCTCTCCCAAAAGAAGAAGTCGCACCTCTAATTAGAATCCTCTGTCCGCGTTGTAGATCCAGATTCCGAAATAGGCACGTCCAAGCCGTAGCGTAGCTTTCAGGAAGCGCAGCTACAACTGCCCAAGACAACGGTAGTTCTTCTCCAGCTTCTCCTAAAGCGACAATGTTGCTAGTATTTTGGACGGTATACTCTGCGTAACTACCGGGTATGGTCCGTCCGAGGCCGCCCATGAGCGCTGCGATGGGCGTGCCGAGGGTAAATTCTCCACCTGGGCATTCCTCAACTATCCCAACGCATTCAATACCGCTGATTGGAGCTGATTCAGCCCATTCGCCGCGACGCATGTGCATTTCTGCGTGATTGATGCCGAAGGCCTTGATGCGGATGAGGGCTGTACCGGGGACTGTTGCTGATGGTTTGGGGACGTCTTTAACGACCAAGTTCTCAACTGGACCAAATTCGGAGATCAGGATAGCTCTCATAGTAGCAGACATTATTCGATTAGATAATAGTTGGTATTCGAAAAGAAGGTTTTAGATTTTTATGAGTTTCGTTGATTTACTTGATTGCCGTGCCTTGACATAATTTCAATCTGGATGCGGCGATTGAGTCTCATATTTAACGACCTGTACTACTTGCAGAAGAGCCACTAACAGACTTCTGTAGACTTCTGGGCGCGCCCTTTGAACAATTTCTTATATCAGGATACCAATTAAATGTCGGTTGTTTGTAGAGGTTGACTCGGAATACTTTTGTAGTTGGTCCGGGTATGACGCTGACCGCCGTCATTTATAAGCGAGCTGACTGGTAAAGCTGCCGCAGGGTAAGTCCAGTCAATTCAGCGGTTCGGTAGCGTATTATCTAATTGATACTGTTCGGTACCATGATAAATCATCTCGTCGGGGACAACGCTTCAGAGCGGCGTTTGACAAATATTCCCGTTGCGTATGTTTACCTCCATTTGAAGTTATTTTGTGGAAGCGGATCTATGGAATCGTAATAATTGTGTGGCTAGTGATTTCTTGACGAATGCACTGTTTTTTCAAGTTGAGACTGAAGATGCTAGATTTGCTTTTTTGTTTGTTATTGTAAGTATGTCCTGTAGAGGTTTAGGCAGAGGTGCTGAACAATAGAGAGAAATGTTAGAATTACCAATTGAGCTATGGAGAGTGTGTGACGGTTCAGAAAATTGAGTCGAAACGATGCGTGGAATACTGTTCCAAGCCTGTATAAACCTTTGTTCTCATGCGTAAACAGCTGTGACCTCTTTGTTCCAAAGAACTACCCGGTACAGTTGGTAGGTAAACATCATGAACTTCAAAACAGTGCCACTGCAATTCAATCACCAACGCTATAAGTACTAAGATCTCTGCTAACATCTTCAACCCCAACAGCAAGTCCACTCCGAGCCTTTGCTACCCGCTACACCACTTCCTCGACCCTACCTCATAACTCCAATATTCTACACCCGCGTCTCCTCATCGCCATCATGGAGGGGCAGTTACAGAAAATCAAGATGGAGGTCATGCAGGATCGATTGGACAGCCTCGAGCTCCGTTTTGAGGATCTTGCAAATAACTTTGCGCATCTCTCCACGAAGCAGTTCAGTAAGCAATGCATCAGCTGTATGGAAGCTATTCGGAGCCTTGCGTCTGATTGTCTGATCGCAAACGCTGATGATTTTCTTCTTTCCATGAACAGAGCCGAGTTTATAGGATACGTACGAGACTATCAGCGGTCCATGCGTTTCGATGTTGACGGAAGCAACATAATCAAACGGTGTGAACTTGAGACAGGACACCACCGTCAGTTGACAGAAGAAGAGCGCCACGACCGTTTCATGAGTCTCAAAGCTGGCGTACCGCCTGCCAAATTTTGCTTCTCGCCCTACAACCCCCAAGAGTTGTTCGTCGAGCTGGCTATATATCTCGAAAATCTTGCTATCAAGGAGCTGGAATATCATGGCCAGCCTTATGTGCCAAGTGCTGCTGTTCCCAACCAGCCTCCACCTCCTTACGAAAGTCAGCGCCGAAGGTTTCAATTCCGAGGCAGTCTCCATCGGGTGGCCGCTGCAATGGCTTCCGTCAAAGATTCATTCGGCAGTGGTTCATCCTTTCAGTCTGTCGCGACGGAATTGTCGGAAGATGAGAATGATAAGCAAGAACACTTCAGGGAGTGGGCTCAAGGGCAGCTTGCTGCACATAAAAAGTATTTACTACTTCCACCCACCCCTGATGTAATCTCAGACGTTTTAGCTCATTATAAAAAGGCTCGGGTCCGTAGGTGGGCTCTCCCATTGGGACTTCAGCTGCATAGACTGATTCCTGTTCATGTAGAAGGCCGACCTGGGTGCTATGCCTACCAGCCCGTGATTCCCGACGCCGAGGGAGATTCGTCTTCTTTGTTCAAGCAGGGTGACGTTGAGATCCTCACCACGACTCGTGAGCGACTCAGATATGAATACTGGGACTCGGGACCTGTTCTGGAGATGGAGGCACCAGCACCCCACCCTTTGCTCCCAGACTGGATGGATGAGATTCATATTCCCGACTCCAATGATATGAGTGAGTTTGGGCTAGTGGTCGCTTGGCGCTACTACGGAACTGAGGCGTGGATGAACCGCTATGGTCACCTCGTTCCAGAAGTTTGAAAGTTGTTGAGATAAAGATCCTTCTGATGAACATGGCTGGTGATGTCCACTCAATATTGACTCCGATAAATGTGGCATTGTTCGGTAGACGTTGACCTGCTCAAGGAGATACGTCGAGCAAGAAGGTAGAAGTCCAAAAGCACTAGGCGTATTCATAAAAAGCGCAAATGTACTGCACTGATAGTTGTAATTAAGAAACTCAACTCGTATCACAGGTTTATTGTTACCATCCCTCGTGATATCATTTTTTCTCCCTTCTTTCTATTCTGATGAGAAACCAGGCTGCAGGTTGTTTTCTGTCAAGATTGGATAACTTTGTAGGCCAAGTAATGTATCTAATGAGCCCTCGTCAAAGCCGGCTATATCTCGAAACACTGAGATAACATGCGATATGGTAGTAGGTATGTATGGTCCCGCATGTGTTGATGACCGCCGCGAGTATTTTATCTAAGAAAAACAGTCAAAGATACGCAGCTTTAACACGCTGCGGAATCAACCTGCTTCTTGAGCATGCTAGAGCCCTGAAATGACGTACGGTTCAATTGCTAAGCTCTTTGCAGACTGGTGCATTCTGTGGTTTCTCAAAAAAAAAAAAAATTGTTTCTAGTGTCATCGTTGCAAAGTTTCCAGCTCGGTATACTAGAGTCATCTTCAGTTTGCAGAATAGTAAACCTATTATTTCATAGGTATATAACTTGGTGATACAGAAATGCAAAGACCTACCTTTGTTCCTTTCTATGCAAAATAGAAGTCCCAGCCTAAGGATTCAATCCAGAATGGCACGATGAAGGCCTCTATCCCATGAACCTGCTTTCACCAATGTGTAAACTTTCCTCGCTTATTAGTCACATCGTGGTTGGCCTCGTCGTCATCATCATCATCAAAAAGACGTTTCCGGGACTTCTGTAGCCATCCCTGAGGCTCACCGTAAACCTCTAGCCCAAACATCTCATCCACCGGAGACAAGGCGACGTCTTCGTCATCGATATCCATACCATCGTCACTTTCGATTTCATAGTCCGACGTTGGCTCACTGCGCGCCGTGATGGCTTCATCGTGCCGAGTGAGCATCAGTTGCATGTATCCCTTGCTGATGCCCCGGTTCCTCCATTTCCAATACTGATCCGATGTGCGTTTATATGCCTCTTTGTGTGCCTCCTCATGTCCCATGTTGAGGCCTCCAGAGAATTTCCGTAGCTCAATGTAGTGTAGTGAGTAATGCTCTTCCAACTGAAATGGTTCCAGGCCGGGGATATATACTTGAATCGCAGTGGGGGGCAATGGATTGACGGTATCAGAATATTGCCTGGGCCATGGACTTGCTAAAGGTGCATACCCGAGTTCACCGACGCGTCTTTTCTTACCTGCATCATCAGATAATTCTATGAGCTCGGGTAAGATTCGGCATCTAAGATAGTCTAACCAAGTCTCTTGAAGTGGCCAGCCACCTGTTTCCCAGAAGGCATGTTTACGTCGAGGATAAAACCGTGCCATTGGTCTGTATTCCAAACTTGAACACTCGAGCTAGCAAAAGGGATGAAGGTGCTCGTCTTCCCCAGCACTGGATAGGAAGGTTCGACTTCCCTCAAGATGGAGTCCAATGATCGTGTCATTTATTCCATTTACATGTAGTCGTGGGATGATGTTGTCTAAAGAGCGGACGTACTCTAATTGGGTCGTTGAGGTGATCTATTGTATAGTCAAATTGATTGAGAAACCGCTGGTAGATATCAGGGTGCGATTTGAATAGTGGTCTAATTTGTGATTCGGCCATGCTTGCTTTTCTTAGTTGATAGTTGCTTAGTTGTTGTTGGCTTTTGAAGAAGTGTTTGCTGATTGTGAAAATATGTAATATGAGGGCACTGATATATATGCATCCCTTATTTTAGGTCTTTGTCTGAACTATTTGTGACGTTTTAGTATAATGTTCACTACCTACAAAGGTTAGCAAGTTTCTCCTCGAGAGGCGTTTATTTCTGGTCAGGTAATAGTAGCAGTACTGAACACGGACTGGTTTGTATTTCAATGCCCTTTGTAGTGATTGATGTTCTGGGCAGTGTAGAAATATAAATAGATTTAGTGTTCTTCCAATTCCGTGCGAACAAAGAATATTTTTTAATCGCTGACCAACCGAGTTATCCATCCGACGCAGACGTTTTTACCGTTCGTCTCTGAGCTAACTCTTCAAACCCTTTGTTGAGAATGAGCTTGGAATTCAAGAAAGCTGGTTGCCAGTGGGCGTTGAGAACCGCCTCGGTGTGACGACTGCGTTGTAGTATGGCACTATTTCTCGTTCCATTTAGATATGACTACGCTGTTGCATAAATACGTGCTGCTGTCTCTATCTGCAACATCACCGAGCATTGATGGTATGTTCAATCGCTATGGAGACCCCAGAGTACAGTTCTGTTCTATTAGACCTAAACGAGGGCACGACGCATGTTGCACAAGGCTTGGGACTGGTGACTTTAGTTGGTGAAGACATGGCCACTTTTGTAGAAGTGTCTTGTGCTAGGTATTCATATTTGATTATTTCTCAGAGTAATCTTGTCTTTACAAACCATTTATTCATAGCCGAATCTATGTAGATAAGCATTTGTAGCAGAAAATAAGTATTCATTCCAAATCTCTACTTGTACTTCAAGTTATCCATCGCATCAATCAACGGCCGAATGGTTTGCTGCTGTTTAATGAACTCCCACTGAGATTGGATCAGAGAGCTAATCGATTGACCTTGACATCCTGCCCAACGGCTCAACTCTTCTATCTAAATCCTACTCTAGAGATCCGCTGCTGGAGTGTTCCGCCGATTAGGAGCTCCGTGTATAGCCTCAAACTCAGCAAGCACATTCCTGGCAATCCTCCTTACCTTTTTTTCGGTCTCCAAACTAGTATCCGCCTTCAAATCCGAGTATCCCACCCACTGACAGTTGTAATGCCATGCACCTTTCTTCCACACTCTGGCCAGGATCTTGAATACATGATAATCTCGAAGACGCGTGGCTACACCACGGCCACCGAGTTCATCCCAGTACCGATATAATGTGCGGCCAGCGGTTTCTTGTAGGAGGGCCTCGGGCTCCCACGTTGGGAAGGTGTAGCCTGTCCATTTGACGAGAATTTCGACTGTCTTCTTTTTTCGGTTAACTCTGTGGCGCATGAAGCGCTCGATTTCGTACTCTCGGTCGTCCTGGTTAGCGGCCATGTTGTATAAAGATGAGTAGTGCCGATTTTGAAACTGTATTTACTACTCGAGTGTTGAGCCTGTTAAAATTTTCTATTCTGTTGTAGGCTTATTTGATCCCTAAGATGCATTTTATACAATTTGACACATCGCGAACATGGCACATATCGGACAGGTGAGTGCCTATGTCGCAAAGATAAGTCGCTGTGCAGTAAGACCATCAATTGTACGCTTTGTCTATTTTGAACGTCTTTTCAAGAACATACCCCATATATATGTCACAGAACACGTAAAGAAGTCTTCAACGGCCGTGTTCTGTATATGGCACAGTCAGTTCGCAAGGGTTTGCTGGACGTTGGGTGACAAGATACATTTTATTTACATGCTTGTCAGAACGTTCCGTATAGTAGAACAGGAAGATACCCAATCCAGAGCCCGCAATTACATCTTGTAAGGTAATGGGATGCACCGGATACTAGATATACTTGTTCCCATAATGTAGTCAACATTATCAAGGTTTAAGACTCGGGCAAGGTATAGTATTCGCATACACTTGACGCGACTGCATGTCCAAGCATCGGATTTCTTTATTGGGGACGAAGGCTATGATTTGGTCACTAATGAGTTGATTTGTTGCCCGGGCATCCCTGGAGCTAGACATGGATATCATATTGATTTCGAAGGTCCATCTCATTCCGCCTTTGATTTGCGGTCAAAGCTCAATATACAAGTGAGTTCTGGCAGTAAGTAGGTAAGATTCTCTTAAAATAGTCTGGCCTTTTCAGGTTTACTTACAACATGGCTATCACGCGTGACGGAGCAATGGGCAAAGGCTTAGGTAAGTTTACTACAGAATAAGGGGAATTGAGTCTCTTAGTCTCTCCTAAGTTATCTATCGTGTCTCCTAATGACTCTGTAGGGTCTAAACTTCGCTATTTACCACATACAGGGTGTAGTTCATCCGGTCAACCAACACTTGCCTATTTCCAGAAACGGAGTCACTCCCATCTCAACTTAAGCCCCAAGAAATCGCCACTGCGTTGTCTTTATCCGCCTATTGTTGGCTCGCAGCCGCTTTTCGAGCTGCTACCTTCGCTTGGCGGGCGGCTTCGCGGGCCTCCCAATCCTGTATAGCGGCCGGAGCGATGTCCATGATCTTTGCTTCTGGCTCCCAGGTATCCTGATCAGGTGGGTATCCAACCCAATGACAGTTATAACACCATTCCCCTCTTTTCCAGCCCTTGCATTTGACCTTGAAGACGTGATGTTGTTCCAGGCCCGTCGCCTCATCTCGGCCACCACGATCTATCCAGTAGTCATAGATAATTTTGTGATCAAGTCTTTGGAGAACCTCCTCAGGCTCCCAAGATCGTGGGCCGTCGACCCACTGCACGAGAAATTCGACAGTTTTGCTTTCCTGGTCTACTCTGTGGCGGACCAGGTATTCGATTTCGTTCTGCATGTTAGGTGCCATGATGTCGTGGCTGTGATCGCCAGTAGTATCAAAATAGCAAGTCTTCGGTCAAGGATCGGGAGGGTTGGGGTTGGTAAGGAGACAGCAGTCTTTCTTAGTCCGATGGATAGTGAACAGAAGGAAGAACATGCTCCAGTGTTGCAACAATCGTTATTTAGTAAGGAAATTTGAGCATCTCCCTAAGGATATGCCTCTGTCATTAATCGAACAAAATTCAGACCATAAGACGCTTTTACCCACTGGTCTACAGAAGATAGGCATACTTCGCAGTGGGAGATATTATATGTCTAGCGTTCAGATTCTTTCCATTTCGATGCTCGCCATGAATTTCTAAACTACAGAACAATTAATAGAACACCGAACAGAAATCCAGTGCCGGCTTTTAATGACAGACAATGGAGAACAGGCATTTTTAATAATTCTTATGATGAAAAGCTGAGAAACAAATACTTTCAAGCCTAGATCATGCACAAGCTTGGCCTATGAGAACAAGAAGAATTACTACTCCTGAGATCGGCAGAGACAGCGCCCATCATCCAGAACTCCACAAGCAGCATAGACGTATGCGATTCTGATGTTGCATGCATTATATAGCACGACTAACTAAAAATTGCAAATACGCTTTCTTGGAGCTTTACGATAATATTAGTTTTTGTGGTAATATTCTACGATCTCAAGATAATTCTGCGTCTCGAAGTATTGCCAAGCCTGCCATGCAGACAGATCTGCTCCTCGCAGACTGTTCCTCTATAAAGTTTATTTTGGTCCCCTGTCTTAAAGTCTCACACTTTATTATTCTCCTAGTATAGGGTACTCAGTATCGTGACCATTTGTGGGTCGCGAACTTTTGTTAAGGGGGATCTCTTCGCTTGGACTGGAACTCTTGGCACGGTCTTGAACGGGAATAGACAGGACATCGCTTAGCATAATTCATTTTATCACCGCTATTAATAGCTTGAAGGATCAGAGTGGGGCAATTATTCCAATCCTTTATCGTATAAATGTCTGCGTTTAGCAGAATGAATGATACACCGCGATATGACCGATGCAAGGGCCGAAGAGTATAAATACTGATCAGTACCTACGAATAGAAATGCACAATAATTACATTCTTTTGCAAATGCAACTTTTTCGTCAGGTCTTTCTTTAATATTCGTTCCTCAAACATTACTCGTTCAACCCACCAAAAAAGAAAATGGCACGATCAATCGCCCTCGCAGCTCTTCTCTTCGCCCTCCCTATCGCAGCGCAGCCTGAAATCACTTCTTCGTCTGCCGCCACCGCTGCCACTAGCCCAATGACGACCGACATCATCTCAGACTCGCCCGAGTCTACTGAGCACGAGAGCTTGACGATTGTGTCGACAATTACCCGCAGTAACGGCATTGACTATTACGCGGTTCCGATCAGCAAATATAATGGTACTGTGACGGGAAGTGCTCCTTCGGCGACTGTTGATGTGAGCAATGGGGGGGCAGGATTGATGATTGGGACTGTTGGTATTGTTGCTGGTGTTGTTGGCGCGCTCGCAGTCGTGTTGTGAGAAGACATACCGTGAGGATGGAAGTGATGGATTGGAGCTTGGGGAAGTGGTACGAGGGTCACCATGTCTCCTGTGACATCAAGTTCTGGCTCAACTGCAATGTTGGTATTAAGTAGCTCTTCAAGTGCAATTCAAAGCAAACGCCCATCTAACAACTCTTCTATCGCAGCTCTCGGTATTCCCTCGTCCTATTCAACAACTTAAAACTGTGTGCCCGATTCCAAATGCGACTTTGCTCAGTTTTACTGATCATGCGGCCTTTAGTTTTATTTATAGATCGTAAGCTTCCACTGGTAGTAGTCGCCACTCAAACTTTATCTCAGCATCCCTCTGCGCTGGGACTTAGTATCATGGGGCGCCACCAGGATAACATGAAACTATGTGGGCTGTTGTAGTTTCTTAGGCTAGATCTGGTATACTATGAATATCATGCACGGTTTGTGAACACCGCGAGACGAGGACCTGCCATGACAGTGCTCGTCAAAGATCAAATACAGTCAAAAAGCTTACCAGTGCTAGAGAGTAGTGACAACTGTCACTGCTAGGACAGTATTGCCAGTTTGGCCAATAGCACATTGATGTCAGGACGCGTCCAAGCAGCCACTAAGGCACGTTTGACCAAACGCTCTGCCAGTGTCACTGCATCAAGCATGATTTATGTTGTTCCGTCACGGCAAACACAGAGAATAAGAAGCAGCCTTTCGTCTTCCTTCTTTCTTCCTTCTTCCTCCTCCCTCACCATCACAACAGTCACATCTACTTCCACAACCATAAATCTCATTCTACACTTAACTGTTGACCAAAACCATCTTCTTATAATGGCGATGACCTTTTCTGTCGATGTGCCCGCCGGGACCGAGGTTGTCCTGCCGCTCCTCCTGATTATTGCCCTTCTCTACGGCCTGCGAAAATGTCTTGACTTCGGGAAGGCTGAGCACGGTGACCCCAGCTGCGTAAGTTCCTAGATAAATAACACATCACACTCTAACCTAATTACAGACGGATTACGACGATTCGCTCCCACCTTTGGGCGGGAGACCATTTACCGGCCCTGAACTGGCCCATCACAATACTCAAGAGATGATCAAAAAACAGATCGAAAACATCGAAAAGAATCGCCAGGCCGCTTTTGCAGAGCTGTGCAAGATTCACGCCCGGCGTGGAAAGATAGAAAAGACACTTTCTAACTTGACCGAAATCTTGAAGAGAGATTATCCGACCCCTCGTGGCCCGGCGGACGAGTTTGCCAAGCGAGTTGAACTAGAGAAGCATATCCGCCATCTCGCCAAGGAACGAGAAGAATGCTTTGGGATGGTGGATAGCATCTGTCATCAGATGTACATGCTGTTGATCCAGCGATTGGCGCTTCGCCGAAAGATCGACAGACTGGACTTGCAGATGGAGTCGGCCAGGCTCGCCGACATTCTCTACCCTTGGAATGTCGCATCCGATGGTCTTTGGGGTCAGGTCGAGGAGCAGAAGGACCAGTAAGAGGATGAGCGTTGGGGATTCAATGGATATGACCGTGACCGTTGCTGGATGAATGAAGAGTGAAGGTATTGCTTTGGAGTTTTACGGATTGTACTTTGATTATTAGGACACACTTTGGCGGACAAGCAGTTATCTTGCTCTGCCTATTTTTTGCTTGCTTGTATTAACAACGAACTCTTTATGTCTTGATCTAAAACACTTGCTGACTCACATGATATGAAACTAGTATGTGACGGTAGATTATGTTCATAGATGAGCAAGGTATACACCAGCGTCAAACAAATACATCTGTTCAACAGAACAAGTCTCGGCCTTTGCCTTGTTTTACATGCCAGAACTCTACATTCACAATTGCGAACAGTTCCAAACTAACTTCCGACGAGTTTCCAGCATCCTAGATTTATCCAGTAATGATTGATCGACGGAGAACAACTTGAACGCAGGCCGTGGCTTTGGGCCTCACGATGCGGGGCATTCTTGAGTCTTGCATTTTGCCCCAAGGAAACCAAAACTGTTCTAGATAGGACCAAAAACACTCTACATGACCGCTGATAAACATGAAATTGATATAGACGACGTCTCCTCTTTAGATATTAAACCTATCCTTAAACCTGCAGGAAGGCGAAATGATTCCATTCTGTGACATGTTGTTTTCCCGCTTAGGACAGGGCGGCATTTTCTGAGGCAACCTTCTAGAAGACGTAACGACTCGCCGCCTTATCAAGGACAGCAGGATCTGGGATCAAGCGCTTGGATGATGGCTGGCATTCTCCGTCTTTGTTATCACTACGATCGCCTTCTCGCCAAGCTTTTAGGTTAAAGAGGCTAACACACGTTCACAGCTCACGACAGTTCACGAGCCTCGTAGAGATATTTAGTCGGTTGTATGCAATAAAACAAAGTTTTAGGACGAGCTCTATTCCATAGATTGATAAATGAGACAAGCGCCTCGCGTAAAAACTTCCTACTGGGAGGCGCGAGATGTCAGCATCAGTGCTGGGGTCTACCAATCCACGATAACACTTTTATCAAAGAGCCCTCAGTGAGTCTCCCCTATCCCCTCATACAATTATCATTGACCACTCAACTAAAATCTAGTTAGTACTCAGTTTCATCAATGACATGGCCAGAGCGATCCATCCACTCGTTCTCCCCATAGAATCTCCATGCAACAACACCTCCAAGACTCCAATGTAAAACACCCTCTTCACGATCCATCAAATCAAGCTTGCACCACTGAAGAAGAGGATGATTAGAACGCCCACTCTCCTCGTCGTACAGTTGGTTGGCCTTCCACGAAGAGTTGAGCAGGTTCTTGGGTTCGATCGTGATGACCTGGATAGCACCGCTCTCCCATTCCGGCACCAGCGCGTCAGTCCATTGCTCTTTCTTTGCGGATCACTCTTCCTTTTTAGCGTCCCAAGTTAGCTTGATGGAAATAGCTTTGTGCTGGAGCGTCTTTTGGTAATATTGACGAAGGCAATGGCTAACGAACTCCTTCGAGAATGGACGAGACACGTAGCTCAGCACCTCATCCTTGTCTAGGTCCTGCGTGTCTAGACCCTCCTCCGTCTTGATTTCGACCGCCTGATCTAGTTGCATAACGATGCGACGGTGGCGAAACTTGAGATATTCCATCACAATACCCCTAAGCATTACAACAAGCTTTGTGAACGGCGGGGTGCAGGTGCGCATGCTGGGTCCAGCATCAACCGCGTGGTCGGCAAAATGCTGAATAGAGAGTTCAAGTGTCTTGAAACGGTCTTCGCAGTTGTTTGTAGTCATCCAAGGATATTTAAATGCCTCGTCGCGGTCCATCTCTGAGTAAGCAAGTTTAGCGTCAAACTCTGTCAGCTGAAGGAGCTTTTGGTGCTCCCGGAGAAGGTTTGGGTCGTTGAGCTCCTCGGTATTGGTGTCCTTCAATGCAGATGCGATACTTTTCATGTCTTTCATGAGTAGATCGACAAGCTCAGTGACTTGATCCAAATCCCGCGACTTCAAGTCCTTGGTCAAGGCTTGAACTCCGATTTGAAGGTCGTCGAGCATATTCAGAAATGGATTCATGATGATGACTGTGTTGGGATAGTGGCGAACCGTTGATGTTGTGTAGAACTTATCTTTGCAGAAGATATTATGGGATTTTTCTGAGTGTCTGTCGGATCTTCTGTGAGATTGATGAATGTTGGGAATGTGACGAGACACTTTCTTGCTGGCGGCCGCCATTGTATTTTAATATTTCAGGACTTGAAACTGAAAGACAGTGTTCTGTGCTCAGACACTGTCATACGGATCACCCACCGATCGATTCTAACAACACCTAGATCGAACATAGAAATGCTGACACAGCGGTGTTTTGCATTACTGAACTAACTCACAATCAACTGTGGACAGCCCAGTACAAAGTCTGCCAGTGGCCACTGATTGATGTCTAAAGCTTATGTCAAGCCCACACACTGAAAAATATTTACCTCCGTTTGTGAATCACCCTGTCTAGCCTCACTCATCGACTTTCACTCTCAGCATATAAATATCTAGCGATCTTGGCTCTTCGGGAGCTCGACTTTTTTGTCAACTTGCTTTTTCTTAGCATCTTTCGTCCAAAGACTTCCGACCCATTTCCCAGCAATTTCAATCCCCATCCTAGCCAGTCTTGAGTATTTCCATCCCCATTCATCCGGCCAATATGCCTCTTCAGGAGCCTAGTGAGCGAGAACGCCGTAGTTACTACTATGGCCTTCCAAGCTGCCCTAAGCTAGTCGCCCGTTCCAGCACCGCGCCCTGGAACCAGCCCTACGAGTGGCCTGACCGCAAGAGACTCTATGTTGCTACCGGACACGCGATCCAACAGCCATGGAATGACCCGAACAGCCCTTTGCAACGCCTCATCATCGCCACGCTCGATGGCATCGACTGGACCGCTATTGACATCTTGCGCATCGGGTATAAAAGCTTCGGGGACGATTATCGGCGGATACCAGAGCTTCCTGTTACCATGCTCATTTCCGTGTCCACGAACTCGACCACGTTCCAAGAGGCAGAAGCAGTGATCATTGCTTGCAAAGAAATACTCGCCCGCTTCAATCTCGACGATGTTGAAGTCGAGATTAAAGAAAGCGTCATCACCACCGCTGCCTCGAACTCAAGCTTAGCTTCGCCCGACCCGACTACAGGCAGGGAGCACCCGCGCCTCGATCCCGGCCCCTTTGACAAGGACTTCATCGACATCAAGTACAGACACCTCCACAATATCTCAGAGTACATGGGAACATCGATTGATTCGCCCTCTGAGTTCAAACAAGGGACAAAGTACCTCTACCTACAAGGCAACAACGGCAAAACGTATGCACTTACATGTCGACACACTCTTTTCTCGGAAAGTTATCTCAAGGAGTACCGCCACGGCGATGGGAACGACACCAAATACGTACGTCAGCCTGGAAGCAACAGTCTGAGCAGACTAGTTGAACGCTTCAAGGTTGCAAAGGGAGGAATTGATGAGACCATTGTGGAGATGGCCAAGCCCGCTTATGCGGACCCCAAATGCCAGGCGAAGCTCCCAGACTTCTTGCAAGAGCAACTCCTGCTGCAGTCTTGCCAGCCTCGCATGGAACAGTTTTATGGCGAGGTCAGCGCAGTTGTTGGGCATGTTGAGTTCTCGCCTCCTATCGGACTTTGCTCTCAAGGTCTCAGAGTTAGAGGTTGGGCTCTGGTCGAACTAGCACAGGAAAGCTTTACCACCAATCTCAGCAAACTACGAAATAAGATCCCAGTCACGAAAAAGCTCCAAGACCTGGTCGGTAATGTCCCTGTTTTACCCGCCCGGCGTCCACTGTGGCTACGCTTTTCCTCTAATGAAGTCGCTATTGGACCTGATCTTATCCCTGAGTGTGAACTGAAAGGCACTGCACCAAGCCCATCTGGTGAAACACTCTTCGTCATAAAGCACGGCCTCAAAACCAAATTCACCATCGGAATTGCCAATGGAATCCACTCTGTCGCTCGCTACACCTCTGACATTGGAGATGTTATCTCCAGTGAATGGTGCATTATTGGAACGAACGGCGATGCCTTCTCTGACGCAGGAGACTCAGGAGCTTGTGTCTTTGACCCTGACGGGCGAATCGGTGGAATGATTACCGCCGGCTTGAAAAGTCAGGACTATATCTATGGCTATGATGTGACCTATGCGGCGCCTATGCAGTGGCTTTTGGACGAAGTCAAGAAAGAAGGCTATGATCTAAAGCTACCTAACTAGATCCACGTCTCTTATGATAAGCTTATGACAGATTTAGGGTGGCTTAGAAGACTTGCCCAACATCGACAAAAGGTTAGGAGGAGTTTAGGGTGACTTAGGATATTTACCTAAGATTTGTTAATCTTAGTGTAAATCCTATGAGTATCTTAGGTTATCTTGAGGAGGATTCACTTTACCAGAGAGGCCGATGGTCTTTGTTAACTGTTGGGAAATGATATCTGCTTACGATGGTATCTCGAGACGGATTGACTAATGTTCAGTGGTTTTGACGATCCTGAGGGAAGGACTCTGTAGCTAGATTTTTCCATACGCCAGTTGAGATCCCTTTTTGAGAAGTGTATGTTTGTCAACCAGTGACCCTGTGACCTACCTTAATATTTCCATCAATTCCACTTTCTGGATCTATAGGATAACAGCAACAGCACAATGTCGGGATAAGGAACATCTGTCTCTGTCCCTTTATTATTCTTTTCCCAAAATATTCCATTAATACATCTACTAGAAAGGTCTATTTCCAGTTAAGCGAACACAGCCGCACCGACGAGGTTGTCTTAGGACCACAGCTCAGTAGTTTCCACCGTAGACAAGCAAGGTGAGTCAGAACTTTAGGACCAGTGGATGAATCGTCACACCTTCAATTAACACGTATATTCTATGTGTTGATGGTAGGCTCATCGACCTGAGAAGGAAACATACACAAGATTATCCCGACGGCCTTTCACTAGTTGATTGATGCCTAAAGCTTATGGCGGCTCAACGAGACACATCAAGCCAACACACTGAAAAACCCCATTTAACTTTCACTAGTGGCAGGCTAATTCGATAGCACTTACCACGTAGACACCTCTCAAGCATAGACGGACTCAGACTCAATAGAATGCTTCAATACATAGAATTTGCTACTCAGATAAGTCTCCTAACTATAGACCCAAGCTCACAGGTGTCCGCCGCAGCAATCCAACAAAACAGTATATCCCCTCTTTACCCAGGCTTCAGCTTCATGACTAGAGAATGATAGCCTTCCCACTTTGGTCTAGCTAGGGCAAGTGTTGGTAGGATAGTTGCAGCTGCTAGTCTTGCCACCGCCGGTAATGGCGTTGCCAGAGAAGGTAAATCCAGAGCAGCTACCAACGCCACACAGAATATACCAATTCTGAGCTGAGCTAGCAACCGTACCAGTGACCTTGGTAAATTTGATGTTGCTGATCTTGACGCCGTTGGTGGGCTTTCCAGTAGGGCCGCCGTTGAGATAGTCCTGCTGGACATCAACACCGTACTTGCTGATGTTGGTAAGAGCAATGTTTTGGTAGGTAACGTTGTTGATCTGATAATCAGTTAGCCTAGCTAGATAATAAGGTGAGTTGGGTGTTTACTGACCGTGCCAGTTGTGCCAGAGTTGGACTTGATGCGGCATCCATTCTCACTGTTCACAATCTGTGAGTTCAAGAACTGGACACCATCGACGACATTGTTGCTCTTTCCGCCAACAGATCCGATACTAAGACCATGACCTCCGGAGCAGTACATGTTCGAAACGACGATGTTGGTACCAGAAGTGACAGCAACACAGTCATCCTGGTTATAAACATGGTTGTTATCCAGCGTGACGTGGTCACAGGACGAGATGTCGAAACCGTCGCTGTTATGCGCAGCGGGCAAGCCACCGCTCTTGGAATTGGGCTTGTCGCCAGCTCTGTTGTCAAGAATAAGCCCTGATATAGTCAAATCTGAACTGCCGGTGATGTCGAAGCAGTGAACGGGCCAGTTCTGAATGTTGAGGTTTGTAATCTTTGAGGTACCGGTAACCTTCTTAACAATGATGAAGTGGTCGGGCCTTGTAAAGTTAGTATAGCCTCTGCATCAGGTATTTGGGGGGAAATACTTTGGGTTGTCCGCATTGTTAGAACCTTGGCCATCCCAGTACGCTTGGCCATTGCCATCGATGACATGGCCAGATGCACCAGTGATCGTGATGCCACTTCCACTAATGACGATAGGATCAAAGTCGTTGTCGGCAGTGGTGGCAAATGTCTAAGACATTCAGCTTTAGTAGACCTCAGATACACCAAGGAAGTTGCTTACAGTCTTGCCCTTGAAGGTAACGGTTGAACCAGCCTTGAGCTTGGAAAGATCAAGCTGCTTGCCAGTCGGGACTTGGAAACCGTTGAGCACGATGTTTGTGCAGGATGAGACAGCGGTGGCGAGGCCAGAGTAGTCAGTCACGGTGCAGGCATCTCGTTCCTGGAGCTGCATTTCAGTGTATTAGTGATTGAATAGCCATCGAAAGACCTATTTGGCATACAGAGCTTGAAGGCAGAGCCCAGGCAGCTGGGAGCAAAGCCGCGAGAGCGATGTTTCGAACCATGGTGATATTTCTGTGAGATCAAGTCAAGAGGAAGCCAAGAGATGTTGAAGTGCTTGCCGATGAATCAACTCAGACCCTATGTCGAGCTGGCACAAGATGATGTTTTATACATCATCATCTATTCTCCTCAACTGCAATTCCATTCCATGGTCCTATTGAAGGAATATTCAAATTCCGTCTCATCGTGCGAAAACGTAGTCATTCCCATTCCACTCACCATACCCCTAACTCAGCATGTCCAAATCGGCGTGGGCACTTCTGGGTATACGGCACGCTCGAAACATGCAAGTCGCGCTATAATGGGGAATTCTCCACGTCGGAAATATTTACAGGCATGCTCGTCCAACGAGTTCTCGGCAGTACGGCACTTCAAGCTCGGTGGGCTGCTGTGTGATTCGTGGGATAATGCATGGGATTGCCTAAACGGGTTAAAGTGTTTCGCCAAGGAGCCATTGCCTACCCTCAAATTTGCTGTAAGTGACTCGTGTTCCTCGGAATGATTCGATGTATTAGTGACTGTTTCTCAGATCAGTTTCTCTATGTCTGCCATGTTGCCTTTCTGGCTTATACTGGGACCTGAAATTCGGCGGTTCGGGACTTTTCATTCCGCGTCTACCCAATTCTTAGTAACCATGAAACTTGAAATATGGACCAAGTTACCGGAGTCCCTGTAAGGTCTATCATTCATCTCTCAACTGGTTATCTTTCTCAATCTGATTCATCTGAACTTTGACGCGCCAGCCCGCCGGAAACCCGTAGTTCTTCTCTCTTTGCATGCACCAAACCACCCAATTTGGATAAAGTCTCCTCTAGCGTAAAACACAAAGTAAAAGAACCGTAATCCACCCCCAATATTACCCCAGACTTCCCCAAACTCTACCAGCCATCACTCAAGCTTAGTCGAGATCTGGTCTAACGGACCGAAGATAGTGTCACGCTAGGCCGACCAGCCAGAAGCCATCCCACATTTGTCTAGCAGATCGCGCATTGGGGGTTCCCTATTCCCAATTAACTTTCCAATTGCCCATGGGGACAAATTGGCGGGGTACGGGGTAATAAGATCCGCTAATCAGATTCATTTCCCCCTCTGTGTCTGTAAAAGTGCAAGGTCATGTTAGTGGTGGTGTTCGGCAACTCTATTCCGATCTTGATGCAACGTCCCCAATGATGTGTCGGCTGACATTCATTCTCTTCCAACCGCGTATATCTCGGGAACCATAAAGTTCTCGAATCACCCTCTTCTTGCCCAGCACATGTGTTTCGAAGCTCGAACAAGAGAGGCATACATAGAGAGATACGTGGCCTAGGCCTTCATCCAGTGGAGTCCTTCATGTTGCAGCAGCGATACTCCTGGGCGAAGGAAAGCGAATTGTTGCAAAGGAATATGTCGTCTGAATATGCGCTAAAGTCTGGGACTTATTATGCCCAAAAAACACGTGAATCTTTGATCGGCCTCTACCTTTGAAATATTATTTCTCGTCATCTATCTCGATTAAGCCATGTCTGCAATACTATAGCTGCACATAATTCACCTTGCTTAGAGCTCGTTACTTTGCAAGCCTGTGCCCTTGAATGATTCCGGCATACTTATTCCTGCTTGGTGGTCGAAAATTGCCAGAGTGAGTTTTTGATGAAATGCTGAAACTTCTTAACTAAAACAGTAACTACAAGGAGAGTATGCAAAATAGAGGTTTAGACGGACGGTGTCGGGGAATCTATGACCCGTAAACTCCTGGTCGGCCTCCACCTAAGTCCCCAAGTCTGTAAAACACCAGTGATTAACATACCGTGCGACTGTGTTCGGACTGAAGAGACAGGTCATTATATTATGATCGGGCCAAGACAGCAATATAGTAAAACGCCATGCAATATCCATTTATTAGTTACTTTTAGATCTTCCTTGCTTACTCCTTTGGTTGGATATGCCAGGCTTATGTAAATCCTTTTACCATCAACAACCTTCTTCATACCTAGAAGCCGAGGTTCCTAGATTCCCGCAATAATCCCAACCGTCCGTGACTGAACAGTACCTCGTAAGTCATGATATCTACAACAAGTGACTCACAGCAACTGCCGGGGATAAGACTGTGCGCTAGTCGGACTCATCCGACCAGTGACAGGACGACACGATGGGTGATACATCCTCCTCGGGCGCTTTGCCTGGACGTCTTGATGAGATCTCAGTAGCCCGGGTTGAAAATGCCACGCCGTAATGAGGTCCTGGAGACCGCGACCCATCAGACCTTCCTCGTGATGTCATCTGGAGATCTTCAACACGCTTCCCCAGCTGTTCCATAACGTGACGTCGAGGCAGCGGAGGCGACTCACGCAGCGCGCTTCCAGAAGTGGGTGCGAGGGCTTGTCCTCGGCGAGGGAGTAAGCCATTGGCAAAGCCGACCGTGGTAATTTCATCGTTGCTTGGATTGCGGCGCGTAAGGCGTCTAGTAGAAGATAGGTAGTGTTCGAAGCTCTCTGCTCTCTTATGCCCGCTCGCGGCTGGGCGACGCTTCTCAACTCGGTAGGAGGGAATGTCGGTGACTTGTTGTCCGGGGTGCTGAGGCGGTGTAGTGTAGCGCCTGCTGGAGGGGAGAGTTGATGAAGAAGCAGCTCGTGGACGCCGAGCGGCGATAGGGCGAGGTTTAATGGGTTTGCCAAATCCCTTTCTGGGTGAGGGAGAAGTATCGTCATCTTCACATGCTGTTTTGGGGGAGTCTTGGATGGTTTGGGTGGTAGGAGGTGGAGTTTCGGGGTACGAGGACATCTCGGTATCTGGATCTGACATGATTGATGTAGGAGACCTTTGGTTGACAGTCCAAAGGAATAACGAGTGGTTTGATGGATTTTGGGAAGCTAAGAGATGCTGCTTGTGCAAGGCTGTTCTCTCACTTGCCCTTCGAGTTGGGCCAGAAGTGAGAATGAGAGGACGAAGGGAAGTTGAGAAAGCTATCACTGGGGGGAGCTTCCAAAACCCCTTCAGAAGACAAGGTAAGCGAAAGAGGAGACTTTACTTGTTGTCTCCTGTTCTCTCGTCTCTGGCCTTCGTTGTCCAACTGTCGGAAAATGATATATCATCGTGGCCAAGCCACCTTACGTCCCGGCCGTGCTGGAACCAACAGGATCTCGGTTCTCTATGTCAAGACCAGAGCTGCGACCGGGAAAGTCAAGTACGCTCGGATTCCAAACTTGGAAAATGTGGGCTATTGACGATTTGGAGTTAAGCGCATAACAATCGTAAATCGAGCAGTTTAACAGACGCCAATTAACTGTCTTCGTTTCTTCAGTTGTCTGGTATCTGGGACTATTTCTCTACCCCTGTCACTCTGCCGTGTCTGCTATGCATTTTCCTCAGTGAAATTGCTTGGCAAGGTCAATAGCTAGGCCGTCGATCGCGCACGACGGGGGTGAGCATTGCGGAATGGACGCATTAGCGTGGATAGCTTACGAAACAGGACAAAACAAGCGGGAGAGCGGCTTGAGGGTGAGATCGCGGGCCATATACCCACTCCGACAGTCGGAGAAACGGGAACACCAAAGCTCAAGCGCTTAGAGATTTGCTCCGTTAGATAGGTCCAGTCACGTTCAGAGACAGACTCAAGGAACGTGTTGTGTGATCTTGGTCCAGATTCTAACGGGGGGAGGGGGGCAAGGCTTCTTTGGTAAAGTGAGATACTACAGTTCGTTTCTTTCTCGTATCGGCGGTTCGCAATACTAGGACAGTAGTATGAGGTGGCTCATCTCAAGCCGTCTCTATCAGATATCGATCTGACAGCTGGGTTAGTGGACCAATGAGCAGTACAGTACAGGCCCCACTTCCGCAGTGCGGCCCAGCAGATGAGGCAAAGTTTACGGACGGCCTGTATCCCAACCGGGGACTTGTTATGGTGTCCCGGATTGAAGAGCAAGTCGCTCATTCACGTCTATACAAGTAAGTACTTCATGTTATATTGTCATCCTATTCAGAGCATGTCACTCTCATGTCGCGCCGTTCAGCTACGGAAACGGTAGGGACTAGCGCCGTTCCCAAGGCTAAGCGAAGTCACTAGTACTCAGCTGCTGAACGCCACTTACACTCGTGAATTTTGGCGGCAATGCCAGCGCGTTAGAGTGACGCTTTTTGTGCTCGGTGTTGGTAGAACCAGGTCCGTTGTTGTGTTGATGTCCCCCTCCCCCCTCCGCTATGTATTCCTGTCCAGAGAGAGTCTAGGTTGCCTACGACATAGCCAACATTAGAGTCAGTCAGAGAAAAGGTCTTGTATCAGAAGTTGTTACTCTATCAATGACCTACCGACCCTAACCACTAAAATATTGCACAATAAAGTGACCAGCCGCCCCTGTACGCTGGCCCCTGCAGCGACATCCAATCGATTCTTTGCGCCACATTCAACGACATCGTCATTCTCGGTCCGATCAACCAAGTTTTCAATGCATACACTATTCATTGAGGGCGCCTGGCATAAAGCATGGAAACAGCAGCCACTGCTCACAGTAAGCTAGCCTCTGTTCATTGACACATTACGTGCGGAGGCTATATCTAGGCGTCTGCCAAGCCTGGATATTCTAGCCACCGTCTCCTCTGCATGGTCTTGAAATACTTTATCCCTCTTACTATCCACATTGATCTTCTTAAAGTCAGTAGTCAGAGAACGATGAACAGCTAATCTATGCATCTTCGTGAATAAGTGCTTGCAATAATGAACATACGAGGGACAAGTCTAGGTGAACTGTAAGCTGCTAATAGTTATTTGCAGTGAACAATGGTTAGTTAAAAACAAAGAACATACCTTTCTCTCAAGCGGACAATCAATGATTCCAAGGCGAGTTCTCTGAACAGAAACAAAGTGCATGGTCTCTAACATGGGATACGAGTATCAGAAGCACAATACTGGTCTTTTTTGAGAACAGCCTTGCATAGGTTCTAAGGTATAAATATACCTCTGACTCTGGCCAACATTCAAACCACCACAAATCCCCCAAGGTAAGAACGTTTCCGACACTGAAGCAGAATCTCACTCGGGCACATACAACTGAGAGACCAGTACTAACACATCAGCCTCACCAATAACACCAAGTTTTCACAGATCAAAATGGCGGACATCGGTAGGAGAGAGTCACAGAGGAGCTCTGAGCTTATCCGTCAAGGGATTAGGCAGTGCCTAACTCTCGAAGCGGAATGTAAGCAGTTGAAGGAAAGTCTTTCGGAGAGCAAAGGCTATGTTCAGAAGCTGGAAGCTCGGATGGATGAAATGACTGCGGATCACGAAGGACTGCTGAAGATTTTGGCCGAAAAAGATGCACTAATTGAAAGCTACAGTGCTCTTATGTCGGAGACTCTGGATAAGAGCTTGCAGCGTGAAAGACAGGAGCTGAAAGACGTCGAGGCCAAGGTGCTTTCGGCCATGGAACAAAGTCTCAATCTTGAGATGAACAAGATGGGTCTCGAGCATCAAGGGTCAAGTGTCCCCAAAAGAAGCCCGCTTCGAGCCAAGAGACCTGGCCTGATCCGACAAGGTGCTATTGTGCCCTGTACCTCGACCTCAGAGCGAAGACGTCAGCGCAATAGCCGAGAAGCTGTTCCAAGACTCTTGAGACAAGATGCGCAGATGTATGATCGTGAGGACGGCGAACAGTCGCCCGAGACCGGCAGTCTCTTGGACATGGCACGCTAGGTAGCATTTTAGAAGCCGAAAACGGCAAACTAGTAATCAGGGCGGAGGGCGAGCGCGCTGCCGGTAGATAGATTATTGTTGTTGGACCTGTACTCTTAGACATAAATCAACCCCTTTGATAAAGAAAAGATGAAGATATGTTGGTTATGGCGGCTATATGGAAATGAAATGTGACAATGAATTTCAATGCGACTCACTGAGCAATAACAGCAGCGGCGTGGCAACGGAATAAATGAGCCTCCCAGGAGTTGATTGAGCAAAGCCGGTATTCAAACGGCTACTTAAGTTCACTCTATTCCCTTTCTAATTTTTTTCGTGGAACTACTACTACTTCTTTTTCGTTGTTGTACCTCATAAATAGGCAAGGATATCACTTTCTAGATTTTAATAATTTCTTCCCCAAGCATAGAATCATACACTTGAGAAAGTCTGGTGTTTAAAAATGAGACATTATTATTTCCTAGCTATGGATGTTCCCAGCCTCACATAGCCATAGATGTTCCCCGAAGCATCACTGCATTCCTCACCGTCCTCGGGTCCGGTTCAGTGTTTATCCTGCCTTTCACATGGGCACTTAATTCCCTTGCTGCTTGTGCGCAGGTCAAGGTCGGGGTCTTGGCTAAGAATTGGGCCGCGGTTAAGATTGTGGCTGGGTATCAGAACGATCGGGAGCTAGAGGAGGTCTAGGTCGAGGCTTGGGACGGGGCTTAGGTTGAGGTTGAGACATTTTGTAGAGCGTGGGTGTATTAAATGTTTTGAGTGTAGAGTGCTAGAAGCTTGAGATATATGAGAAAGTAATCGAGTTTGTATTGGGGAAAAAATGCTATGGGAGCGGGCGAGCTTTATATACTTGGTTTGCTGTTTGAATGTGATGCGAAGAGCGGGAACTTGCCTGGTGATCACCCACAACATCCTCATCATTGAAGTGAAGCGACATGAGGAAGTTGAGTTGCAGACAGCGTAGTTATGCTATTAATAACGGTAAGTGGCATGGTTATGTGCGACTCAGAGTCGGAAACTCTGACGTGCGACGTTACGGGCATGAAGCACGATGGACCAAAGAAGCGAATCACTACGGACTAGAAACTTACTTTTGTCGGACCTTGGAATTTCCACAGATGTTATCACATACGTGATCAGAAAACCGATGTGCTGGTGGTTTCAATGATCCACGACTTTTAATCTGGTAACAGGTCCGCGTGCTTGACAGATAGAGAAAGAGTTTGCTTCAAACCAATATTTTGAGAGCAACCCCACTGTTCAAAGTGAGCTCGATCAATCTTTGGTCAAGGTAATGGCGCAACTACCCGTGAGAACCTAGAGGAGAAGAGTATTGGTTGAGTTTCGTTGTAGTTAATGTCAAGTCTCATCATACAGAGATGACCTGGAACTTCGTGCTAAACCCCCTTTCCGCGACTTTCATGATACTTGGGACAGCCGCGAAGCACTGTCAAAGGCTACTCAATGACTGGGCATTGTGCTTGTTGATAGCCTTGACAACAGCGACCATTGCACCCATCAACAACCAGAGGCTAAGCTCAGCTGTCGAGGTTTGCCCGTACACGCAGTTATGGCCGGTGCTGGCAACCTACTAATGTTCATGTCAACATTCAATCCTCTGTACGGTAACCACAGCTGTCTGGCGCTGGCAGCGTCTGCTGAACGTCTCAGGATCGAACTCACTATCTCCTCTGCCGGTGGTGTGCCTATTCATAGTTGACAGTGGCACCTCGAAATTCCTCCCTTCTATTCGATTCCGAGGCTCCAGAACTCTTCTTTCTCTTCTTTCCTTCTCATCAACCACGACTTCTTCACCAACTACCACTACTCCATCAACACTCATCCTACTTCGTTCACGACTATACCTCCCCACTAAACCCCATCCCTTTGCAGCCATGTGTTTCCGCGTTGTTACCACCACCTACTGCCGCCGCTGCGGCACATCCACCAAGGTGGTGGAATCGCGACGCATGTGTGATGATCGACAACGACGACGGCTTTCATGGCATTCTACTCTTAAAGTCGATCACCTGACGAAGCACTGCCACTGGGCCGACTGCGACGATTGCAAGCACGAGTACTCGATGTACGTGCATGCCCGTGACCAAAACCTCGGGTGGCCTACCCCCAACCCACCGTTCAACTGAATACGGGTGGCTAGTATGCTATCGGAATATGACCGCGACACTGTATCAAGAACCAAACACTGCTGAACCTTGGGCGACGACCCGATAGGAATGCATGCACGAATGACGAGTTGATACAAGAAAACGAAGAAAAAGCACAAAAACAAATAAAAACTGCAAAACCCGACAAAAAAAAAAAGAAAGCAACACGAGAGGCAGCAGAACATGGTGCCCATTCGGAGAAGCCCTGATACAAATGCAGGTATGAACAGCAAGTGGATACGTAAAAACGAGAACACCAAAAAAATACGAAAAAGATAAAACCTGACCAAAAAAAAAGGGACAAGCAAAAAAAAAAGGCATTGACTGTGGAGGAAATATATCTTAACCTAGAAAACAACAAAATACAAAAAAAAAAGTTAAAAACCAAAAGAGTAAATCATATGCTAATTAAAGTGATAAAACTGCCCTGTGTTTCTAAATGCTGTGTTCACAAAACCATTACTGCTTGTGTGATCTCTGTTACTGTTCCTTGTGTCGTGTTAAGATTCATTACACAGAGACTCAGGAACGTTTGAGGATCTGAATTGCCAATCTTTTGATTTCTAGGTACCACATGATGCTACAGTAAGACTGGCGTAAGATCACTCATTCTCGCTACGGAGTAGTTGGAGGATTATTTGGGGGCCGCCAGGTTACTTTTCCGGCGCTAGTATAAAAGTGTTTTTTGTGGAAAGTGTGGTGATGGCTTAAGCCTAACAATTACAGAATCATACTATCATACAGTATTGTAGCTATCACTAGTCTTTTGCGGATAGCCTGCTTGAGCTGGTCCTCACCGTAGTTTCCCAGCCGGACCATAACCAGGGCTGCTTTCAAGCCGTGACAGGGAGAGTTAATCTCGACACAGCGTCTTTAGAATGGTGAATTGTATGAACTACCGGTTCGGTCCTCACCCCATATGCCTGGTTCTCCCCCGTTCCCAGGTTATGCAAATAAGCTGGATGTGCACCACCAGCAATAATCACACGAATCTTATTTCCCTTACAGAAAACATGCGCGCAATCCACCAACGCGAGACCCAGCGGCTCAAGACCTCTCGCAGGATCAAGGCGCTTATAAACATCACTTACACGTCTAGACTTTCCACTGCTGTCCACTTCGCTGAGTCGAACTAGAATGTCCGCGTGTGGATTGTCAGTGCTGTGATGAAGTTCGATCAATGGTTTTCCGTAGACCTCTATATCACTTTGGAGTGGTGGGGTATCGAAGACAGCAACATCTGAGCGCTGTGCGAGCTCGGTGTCGTTGTAGTTTGCAGGCTGGACATCATCGAAAGGTCGGGGCATACCGATAGGGGGGGTTGCGTAACTGGGGTTGAATGTAAAGCTTAAGTTCCATGTCTGCCCAGGTTGTTCCTTGCTCAGTGTTTGGGGGGATAGGTAGAAGTTTTGGGTGGACGAAGTGAGCGGTGGCCAGCTGGCCAATTCTCGCCATTCATTCGATCCTGTAACGAAGACTCGACATGAGGATGTTCTAGGAGCGGTGCCGCGACCAGCGAGATAGTGGTCAAAGAACTTTAAGCCCTCAACCAACGTTGGTTCTTGTTGTGAGCCAAGATGTGACCATGGACCGATAGTCAGAAAAGCCGGTGCTCCTTGTTCCACTAAAACACGGTGCTGGTTCAGAACCATGGGTAGAACGCTATCGTTCCAGCCTGTAGACTGCAAGATTGGAATCTTGGCCTTTTTAAGTGCAGCACTCTGATTAGCCCGTGACCAAAACGGAGTCGATGTGTCAGGTTGACTGATCAACTCTTCCAACCAAGGAGGCTCCTTATTCTGTAAATGCTCTTTTATACCATCCATTAAAGGCAGACAATCATAAACAGGCTGCAGGATTTTCGGCAATTTCCTGATATACGGCAAGCCAGGAGTTATCCCCCGCTTCGGAGCAGTCATCAAAGCCGCCCAGGCAATCATATGTGTTTCCATCGCCCCAGTGCCCCAGGTAAAAGAACCAAAGTCGACTGGGCCAGTGCTAATAACAGCAGCTTTCATATCCGGCGGTGGATCCGTCAGAATAGCCCACTGCGTATGTCCAAGATACGATCCTCCATACGTAGCGAAAGATCCAGTATACCACGGCTGTTCGCGCATCCAAGAAACAGTCGCAAGACCATCGTGTGCTTCATGAACTGCGGGTACGATGTCCTGACCGTCAGAGGAATCTGTGCCTCTGCAAGCGGCAAGGAGGACCTGGTAACCTCTTGAAGCGAACATACGTGCGTTTCCCAGAGCCATGAGCGGTGCGATACCATATGATGTGCGGATGAGGATGGTGCCGAGGGGTGGAGTGGTTGGTTGATACAGATTTGCAGCGAGTTTTACATCGTTGATGGGGATTTGGATGAACTCGGTTGTGTAGCTGCTTGTTTCTCCAGGTAAGCCGGACCACCAGCCGAAGACGCGGTCGACGAAGAAGGTGACCCAGCCGCGTTCAATGGGCGGCATGGTGTCGTGGTTTGAGCGAAGCTTATGGGGCTCACCCTGGCTTTTTCAAGACGGAGATGTCGTTTTTATATCACCCCATGAAGATTTCGGAGTTCACGGATGCATATCAAGGCAACAGTTATCAATGATAGGATTGTCAGAGTTGTATTCCTGTTAGTGCTGACGGGTTACTGCTGGACCAATTGTTGGGGCCTCAAACCCCGCATTCGCCAAACATGACCTGCCGACTCCGAGCTTATCCATCTGAGCCTGAAGAGTGATTTACCTGAAGGAGTAAATGTAATAGGATGAAGTGAGTCAGCCTAAGCCTCACCCTGTCGGGTCTCCTAGTCTTTCCGTCTCCGATCTTGTCAATAACATTTGGCAATCGTCGGCTGCAATACATCCCTTCCAACTGTCACACCAAGACTATTGCTCGGCCAATGGACTTCAACCTGCGACTCTCAGACTTCCATGAAGTAAAAACTCATTTATCTTCTTCAAGCCCTCTAAATCCCCCTTCATAGTTCCCGACAGCTCCTTAGACACCCAACCATTAGTATACCCTCCACCAAAGTCAATCAACCACGCGTTATTCTCTTGGTCAACAAGGACGTTATCGGGCTTCGCATCACCCCAGATAATACCAGCAGTATGCAGTTGTCGGACCGTGTCAATAACCTGCTGAGCCCACAACTTTCTGAGCTCCCTCGACGTATTCGATTTTGCCGCGCAGAGCAAAGTCTTGTGACCGCAATCGATATAAGTCAAGAGCAAGCCGAAAGCTCGACCAGTTTTATCTCGTACCAGGCCAATGAGGCGTGAGATTCGAAGCGACTCGGGCAAGTGAGCGTCCCGTATGTTCTTGTATTTATCTAGCTCATTGATAAATGATTTCTCGTCTCCGTGTCTCATGGGCTTAAAAAATGCGCTTTTTCCATCCCTCAAAAGAACTCTTGATGGTTTGTATGACGGCGGCCCGTGGCTGTTCCTCTTTTCAGGCAGTTGAATGTCCTTCGGATCATAGCAAGGCCAAGACGTGCAAGACTCTTCTGGGAGTTGGATACCGAATATGGGGATCATCTCGTTGCTGTCTTAGACGGAACAGCGACTAGCTGGTCTCCATCCCCTCGGAGGTCATATCTCTGTGTCTCAGGGAAGAGAAAGTGTTGTAGTGTTAAGGTCGAAGTGATCTCTGGTAGCTGTCTAAATTCAGGGAGAAGCGGTTCGACGATCCAGTCGTAAAAGTCCTCGAGGGTGTACCCATCGAGCTCATAGTTATCGGCAACTGTTAAAAAGAATAAATATTTATTTTTCAAGGCCGCTGACTTGGAGAAGCTATCTGCGGAGGCTGAAATGGTGAATTGGCGGTAGTTGCACATCACCACAAACTCTGTGTCGGTATCCTGGCTACTGAAAGTGAATTCAAGCACGCTCCAGGGCGGCGGCACTGTCTCATATGAAACCACATCCATCCTGTTATGTTGTAGAAGGTGTAGAGAGCCCAGGAGGTTGAGAAGTGGAGAGGAACAAGTTAGGGTCGAAGAAAGGAACCAGTGGAATTTATTTTTCTTCCCAATTTGATTTTTTAGTCAGCAATGCCACCCTTCACAAAAGCCTCTCCTCGCCTTCAATAGAATAAACCAAGTCTCAAGTAATAATATGGAATTTCCATTCTCACAAGCTAAAATGGCGATTTCTACTAATAGGCCAGCTACGAAAGAAAACTACGCTCTTATCCCCAGGTCCCCAGTATCTAGATGCTTAAATACAATCTCCCCGCCAGCAATTTGCCCTCACGATCTTCCCCATCACGTCGCTGTTCTGTGAGCCAAACGTTTAGTTCTCTTTCACCACTTTCTCCTCATCCTTCTGGATCGCATTAACAGCAGAGAAAAATGTCCGGAGGAAAACCTCATAGTCATACTTTGTAAACGGTCTCGTCCCTTCCGTATCCTTATCCTTCGTCATTTCTTTCGCCTTGCTATCAAGATGCTTCTCTGTAGCCAACCTAACAATCTTCTGCGGCTTCCCGTGTTTCTGCTGCGCCTGTTCAAATCTCTTTGCGATACACTTCTGGATCAGCTCGGCGGTGCGTCTCTCGCTAACTTGATCCTCGCACTCGTAAATGGTTGTCAACCACTTCGCCTGCATGTACTCCTTGAGGATCTTGTTGTTCAGCCCCTCAGCTCTTGCCTGGCCTAGCTCAAGTCTGAGAGTCTTGATCTCAGCTGCATCGTTACTCTCGGCCTGAGAAGACCGGGCAGACTGCGGGGATGGATAGGATAGGTCTGGGTGTGTATTAGCTCGAAGAGGCAACACCTTACCTTGACGGTCCATGAAAGGGGAATCATCAACTCCATAGAATCTCCAGGCCAGAATAACAGTTCCAGCGTTCTCAATTAAGTCAAATGAATCCTTGTACATCGAAAAGATTGACAAAGAGGCTGATCGCGGCTCGCCGTCTGAAGGGTTGCTCCTGAGCAATTTGTAGTACTCCACTTCCGAAGTAACCACCATGGCCACCATACCAGCTTGGATTCTCTCAATCGGAGCAACTGCGCAGAGACAGGGAGTGATGTCTGTGAGAGCCATCAGGCGTACCTTGACGCTATTCCTGTAGGCGTCGAAAATGCATTTGACGAGTGTGTCTGTAGGCAGAGATGGAAGTGGACGGTGGAGAGCAAAAATACCGTCATGATCCTGGATGATGAGATTGTCGTCTCTGTAGACGTCGAGACTTCTAGGCAACTCCATCGCAGCGGGTTCTAAGCGCAACAGTATCAAACTTTAAGATAAAAGTCTTATCTTTGAGGACTTACTCCAAGGTTAAGTTGCAGTTGTGCGTGAGGGCTGTCTGTATCCAGGTTTTTGGTATTTCTTTGATACTTATAATCTTAGTATTTCTTGCCAGGTATATGAACATACTCCTTGTCCTCTTACAGAATCGGGGAATTGACTGCGAGAAGCTGTTCGTTGTCAGAACAAAAGAACTAACAACGGCTGAGCTGAGAACAGGCTTTGAACGCATGAACTAGAGGTCAACGCGTCGCGGGCCGAACAAGACTACAATGGCACTGCCAGACTCCGTTCGGGTCTACCCTTTGAGTCAGAAACAACGAGCAAGATGTAGTGCCACTGGAACAAAAGAACTGCCAGTGCGATAAAGAATAGAATGGGCGGATACTCTACTCCCATATATAATGTTTTGATCCAGGACAGAAACTCTTCGACTCAATCATCTCATCAATAACTTCCATCCGAGAAACATCATCCAACTTTTACCATCGAGAACCTCCCTGCAATACTCTTCAACAAAAATCAGTCTACTTTTCATCCCATCTTACTGCCCATCATGGCTCCCTCCACACCCATCATCTACCCATCCAAGATGTCCCCCGGGATCCAAAATACCTTCAAGCAGCACAACGCTCTCCCCCTCGAGGACCGCGAAAAGCCCCTCTTCGTCATCGACGTTGCAACCGTCAAAGACACAGTCCGCGATTTCATGGCCTCCATGCCTTCCACCGCTAACATCGACGTCGTCCACTTCGGTGCTGTCAAGGCCTGCGCCGCTAAGCCCGTGACTGACGTGTACGACCAGCTCCGATGTGGTTTCGACTGTGCCTCCAAGGGTGAAGCCAAGCCCCTTATCGACCGAGGTGTCAATCCCGCCCGTATCTCACTTGGGAACTGTAACCTTCCTACCAATGAGCTTGAGTGGGGTATTGAAGTTGGTATCCAGTATTTTGCTGTTGATAGCATCTCGCAGGTCCATCGAATGCTCGAGGCTGCTGCTCGTGTTGCTAAGCGTAAGGGTTGCGATTTGGCCGCTATTCTCGCTGAGATTAAGCCTTTCTGCCGTCTTGTCTGTTCCGGAAAGGGTTCCGATAAGCCATTCTCTGCCAAGTTCGGTGTCGACCCCGAAATGGCCTTCACTATCATCGAAGAAGCTCAGGCGCATGGCCTCACCTTCATTGGTCTCTCTGGCCATCCTGGTACCCAGAACCTGGCTACCGACGCTTTCGTCCAGTTCGCGCAACTCTTCCGTGGTGTGTTTGACCGTGTCAAGACCGAACTCGGCATCACCATGACTCTCGCCAACATTGGTGGAGGATGGGCTGGTATCTCGACCAAGAATGCCCCCTCGTTCGCCGACTACAATAAACCCACTATCGAAACCTTCTCCTCCGTTTTTGCTGACTGGCCTGTCAAGCTGATCATGATGACTGAGCCCGGTCGCGCTTTCATCTCCAAGGCTGGATGGCTTCAGACCCATGTCATCAACGTCTCCAAGCACACCGCCGGTGCTTCCGTCTCGCGCGTCTTTCTCTCCGTCGGCACTCTCCACGGGCTGAACGAGGCCAACAAGATTTCCTTCGAGTGGCACACCTCTGCTCCTTCTGAGAAGACCAAGCCTTGTGTTCTGTATGGTGCCAGCTGTGACAGCTCCGACATCATCCTTGGAAAGGACGCCAACGGCAAGGAGAAGACTGTTGATCTTCCCGATGTCCTTGCTCCGGATCACCTCGTCTGGGTCTATGGTCCTGCTGCCTATGGGCCCGACTACTCGACTTCCTTCAACGGCGTCCCTCCCCCCAAGGTTGTCTACATCAACTCCAAGGAGGGAATTACCTACTAGACCTTCCAGTCCGAAGCGGCATGTGTGTGGTATGAAACGGGATTATGGCGTTTGACTTTTTGACACACAAAGATTAGAGACCCCAACCTACAGGAATAGGATATACTGCTTTAGAATTTCTCTGTGTAGCGATAGTGCACTCTTTGTAGCATTTAGAAAGCTCTGTAGCCTGAAGAAATAATGATTGTCTCTAAAACCCTTGCATTCCCTTGAATTCTTGATGTTATGACTACGACAAGGTACATGACAGTGTAATGCTGACGTGAACCTGTTGCCTGACTGTATCTAGTACACCTGAGTGAGCCCGCTATGCATGCATTTTTCCACGACGAGGAAGGTGGGTCTATTATAGAATTAAGCAATATAATTGGTCAAACAAACCGCACAGTAATGCTCGATGCACTGAGAACAGCAGGATAGCAATAGGATTATCATTCTTATGACATTACCTACTCCGTAATTACAAATCGTGAAGCATACATAATGCCGAGTAACAATACTCTTAACTAATAACAGCTAGTAAGGAATTGTGAGGACATGCGAAATTAATGCCTCCCCCATTTCCTCTACCTGAGCTAAAGGGCATTCAGGCTGTTTCCAACAGTATTGGAACGTTTCCTCGTACCCACAAACTGACGCATACCAAGAGGTCTTGATGGACATCTCCAAGCGTATCGAAGAAACTTGGAGCTAGAGGCGTATTGCCTGCAACATAGTCATAGGGGTGAGCAAAACAATGGCTTTTTTGCTACATCAAGCTATAATACGACGGTGGCAATGAGTACAACCCCAATCCCAGTCTCTACATCCAAATTAGACGAATAAACAGGTACTGAAAAGAATTAAAGCTTAAGCTCCACACATGACGAGGCATTTATCCAAGCCACAAGTTATCAATATACACCAATCGCCTCGCCAACAACACTTCGAAAGATACCATCCGGGTCAAACTTTTCTCGAACTGCCTTGAAACGAGCAATATGCTGCAAACACATATTAGAATCCTAGGCTCAACCGTCTGGAAACAAACTTACATCAGGGTCCAGATTCTTAGCAGAACGCTCAAACACCTCTCTTGTATTCTTGGTCCAATGCGGACGACATGGGAATTCGTCAATGAGTGTCTCCGCAAGTTTGTGATCTGTCAATCTGTCAGCTGGACCTCCCTACCCATCCATGAAGCCAACTTACAAAATGGTTCGTTGTATCGCAGTCCATCACCGATACTTGGTTTGTAAGATGGGAAGTCTAACATAATCGCACCTTTATCCCAATCAGCGCCGTCGGATGTCCCGTAGGTAACTTGGCCGAGGAGATCGAAATACGGTCTGCCGAACTTGATGTTGATGCCGCTTCTGTAAGTCGACGCCATAAACTTGAGCTTCTTGGCCTCGTTATCGAAGAGTTGACGAACTCGCTTGAGCATTGCGTTCGCTTGAGTCACGGGGAATGCAAGTTCGAGAGTATAACCGTGGATACCATATTCCCAAACTGGCTTTTGGTCGGGATACAGACCGCCGATGAGAACGTCATAGTTCCAGCCATAGACGGGCCATTTGGTGATAGGCTCGTTGGTCGTCTTTTCTCGGAAGTTGGGGTTTTCCCATTGTCCGAAGAGGATCTCTTCAGCGAGGAGGTTTGAGAGCGCGACGCCTTTACCGGTGTTCCAGAGAGCTGTGATGGCGCCGGCTTCGAGTTGGGTGATTGAGAAGGTATTCTGGAAACCCTCTTGGTCGCTCTTGTCGGTTGGAATAACGTCGTAATACCGCCAGTGGAATTTCTTCTTGTGAGGCCACCACTACTATCATTTAGCTCCAGTCAAGAAGTAGAGGTGCGTACTCACCCAAAGGTTCGCTGTGGCATAAGGCGAAATCATACCATAGATATCCCCGTCAAGAACATCAGCCTCGTCGAGCGTCTTCTGATCGGCGTAGACCTTAAAGTCGGGATAGATCTTGAACTTCATTCTCACAATGACACCGAGGAGACCAAGAGATGTCGAGGCAGCAAGCCACTCATCACTATCATCACGTTCCAAGTGTCTCAACTCGCCGTTACCATCGATGATATCTAGAGCCAAAACACCAGCCGCAACCATAGAATCTTCCCGAATAGAAGATCTGTGCGCGCCCATGGCTACACAACCAGCGAGAGTGATGTTCCAATTGACAAGGGTATATCCCGCAGACGCGCCGCGCTGATGCAGGTAATCTGCGAGCTGTAGGAATGTCACGCCAGCTTCGATCATCACAGTGCCAGCGTCGAGGTCTAGATCGTAGATCTCGTTGACCTGCTCTGTACGAATGATGACAGTGTTTGGGTCATCGGAACACATTGTGTCATACCACATATGTGCTTTTCCCGAGGCGCGAACTCTCTGGCCTGCTTTGATGGCATTTTGAACGGTGTTTTGGATGTCCTTGACACTAGTAGCGTCATGAACAGCCGAAACGTTCTGACAGGCTGGGAAGCCAGGGCCGTCAAAAGTGTTGTACGTGAGAGAATTAGCCCCGAGGGCCAAAGTCAATACGGCCAAGCATCGAGGAATTACCATGGTAATGAGAGAATTGGTGAACCACTAGCGATAAAGTTCAAGTGGTAACTATCTTCGACAGGCTAGAAGTAAGCCTATTGTATTTAAGCTTATTCCAAACAACCAAAGACATAGAGTTAATTGCGCTCCGATAAGCGAGTTCCATGTGAAAGTCTAGCACGAGCGCCGAGCAAAAGCTATATCCCCGCGTAAGGTTGCATTCACTAAACCTCGGGTTGGCGATCGACATCATCAGATGATGGCTTGTAACTCCCTTCAGGCAGGTCTCCTGCCCAGGATGGCACTTTACGCGGGGAACTCGCCAAGTACAACAGTGTTCCTGGTTTGTTACCCCAGAATGGGCAGTTCCGTGATCTGCTGATGTCTTAATTCGGTAGAGTACGCATAGAACCCCAGTCGTATATGCCGCTCTACTAACATTACCCCGCGTTTTAAACCAGATTTGTTAATGAGGCCCAGTAAGTGACGACCTGAGCATGGCCAAGATCACCTCCGTTAAGAATGCGTGTTTTATTACGAAGAGCTCGGAAGTGCAAGGCTAATGTTGAGAGAAGAGTCCGGGAAGACTGAGGCAGTTGCTTCGAATCTGCGCTTACTAAGACCTCCTGCTGAGCTGGGATAGTGTGCAATATAGAAAGGATACAAGTTAAATTAAGGAGCTTAAAATAGTTCTAAGCATCGGCTAAAGTGTATTTGAGTTATATTAGCATAAACAGGACTGTTCAAATTTTGATCACTGTTGAAAACGAGTGTCTTAAAATCTCAAGCTGTCAACGGACACTGCGGGGTCGGCTGCGGAACAAGGATATTCCAGGTGCAGCCTCTTTCGTCATACTTGGTTAGGGGCATAAATAGGGGCCATTTCCATGAGCTTCGGTGGTCTGTGCGCTGTAACCTCACTGTGCGAGCCTCTATAAATTAGTGGGCCTACAGCGCCTTCAGAGGTATCTCATCCTAAACCTCAATTTTTACAGCTTACACCTCAGCCAATCAGAATGTCAGATTACACGCCAAGACCTCCTGACCTGTCACGTGATGAATTCAATTGCCCGTGTGCAGGCCACCTTTGCATCTGTGCAACGCCACAGCAACTAAGGAATACGCCACAAACGCCACAATTGTGAGGATGTTATTGCAGCCAATGGGATGCATACAAAATGGTAGCTAAGCGAGATTAAGCGAGCCAATCAGAATACAGTACATTTCCCCTCCCAGTGCAATTAGCACTAAATTACAGTGCAGTTACAGCGCACAGACCACTAAAGCTGATAGAAATGGCCCCTACTTATGCCCCTAACCAAGTAGCAAAAGGAGCAACTCCGCTCGAACTCTCCCTTCATCGTCACGATTGTACGGAGCAACAGTACGAAAGAGCAAGTATTGAGATACCAAAAGAGGCCAGCTAATCAAGAGACATAATTGCCCAAAATGCCACGCATGAACCTCGGCCTTCCGTACAATCACTGCAGCCACTCGCCCTGCCCGGCTGGCTTCCAAAGCCCCAACCTTCTCCGCTGCGGAGCTTGTCAAACCGTCAAGTACTGCGGCAAACCGCATCAAAAGACAGACCGGCCAAGGCACAAGGTCCAATGCGTTCCTATCAAGCAGACCAAGGACAAACTCACTGAGGAAGAGGCCAAGCTACGTGCCAATCCCGGCGACGACACCGATGGCAACCCTTTCGACAATATTGTAGGCCTTTTCTGGTTCTTCAAGAGTACCCGTCCCTACATGCAAGCTCGCCACGACTATATCAGTGCTATTCTAAACGTCCGCACCGGAGAAGCCGTCGAGATTGCCCTCACAGAATCTCTTGAAATGCTCCGTCTCTGCCGAGGCGACAACCTTGGCGTCCGCTCACAAGTTCCTGCGCTGTATCTCCGACTCGGAAGAGATCAACAGGCCTACGATTTCATTAAGTGGTATGCGGTCAAAGGTGGCTCCGCTTATGACTGGCGCGACATGAGCTTGCCGTACCTTGATCTAGAGGGAGAAGATGCATTTGAGGCTGTTATCGAGAAACCTTTATACTACGACGTTTCCTTCAAAATGGCCCTGACGCTTATCAAGATCCGTCTGATGAAGGATCTAGAATCGCTGCAGGGGCTTTTGCAAAAGAAACCCAACGCGACGGGGGAAGAGAGATATGATTATTTGCAGGAGGAGGCTATGAGCGATATCCTTCTACAGCGGGCGGATATCGTAGCGCGAGACGACTACAAGGACTTGATCGCTGAGCTGAAACGTCAGGTACTGCAGTTGTACAAGATGGTTAAAGAGGATAACAAACATATCTGGCCGGGCATTGAGAATCCGAACCTGTATGCGTATGATGTGCCGAGAATCTATTCTCCGGGTTCGCGGGAGGAGGCAGTGCTTATCTTTCGCCAGTCGTGGTACTCCTGGTCAGAGACGGAGCCGGCGATACGGTATATCCGGGGGATTATTAGGGATGATAGGTAAATAATCTGCGTGTGTGCACATATCAGAGAGCTCCATCCCCAGCGCAAAGATAACCAACGTAACTCAAATGACTTTATCTGAAAGATGCTTATTCGAGACTTTTAGAGAATGAAGCGTCGGGCCGAGTTGGTCGACTCAGTAATCGCACCTAAAACACGGGGCTAAGCATTTTATGGGGTGCGCTTTGACTTTACGTCCGGTGAGCCTGACACAGACGATCCCGGAACAACCCCCCATAGACAGCCATGATCGACACCGTTTCCGGCTAGCGAGAGTAGTTTTCGGTTAGACATCGCGGGTCAGTTGAAACACGAGTCAGTCCCGACACCACGGTCCCGTAACTAAGCCAATACAATTGGCCCCCACTGTAGAAAGGGGAAAATATGGAGTCATCGCGGCATTGAAATGGGACAAAACGAGATGATGTGCCGAGAGGGATCAGCCACGTGCGGTCGGATGAGCGTGCCGAAGAGAAACGGAGGGAACGAGACTAATACAACTTGGGGGATTCTTGCGAGGGAGTTGTTTGAGATGGTGGATGATAGCAGTGATCATAGATGATGGCGCTTTTGCAGTTGAGACTTGTGGCTGAGAGCTTAAACCAGCAGTGATAACTTAGTATAAGTATGCGGGCTGCAAAGCCTTCAGTTTCAATCCTGCCCAGCATTCATCACATACCTTCAACAACAATCAAGCCAAGTCTACACCATGCTTTCCCAAATCATCACCTTCCTCGCCCTCACAGGCTGTGCAGCCGCCGCTCCCAACCCCAGAGCTACAAAGTGCACATCCTACACCATAATCAACACCCGCGGCACCGGCGAAATCCAAGGTCCATCCGCTGGCTTCCGCACCATGAACTCCCAGATCACATCCCAAGTCCCCGGCGGCAAGATTTACAACACCGTATACCCCGCTGGCTACGACCAGAACTCGGCGCAGGGCACACAGGACATCATCCGCGAGGTGAACAGCGTGTTGGCGTCCAACCCTAGTGAGTGCTTCATCTTGGAGGGTTACTCCCAGGGCGCTGCGGCGACGGTGAATGCGCTGTCGCAGTTGACGGGGAGTGCTGGGGATGCGGTAAAGGGGGTGTTTCTGATTGGTGATCCGTTGCATAAGATGGGGTTGGCGTGTAATGTTGATAACAATGGGGGCACGACGACGAAGAATGTTAATGGGCTTGAGGCGTTTGGGGGAGGGGGTATTCCCCAGAACTGGATCTCTCGCACGCTTGATGTTTGCATCTTTGTAAGTTCACATCGGATCTGGGACTTGAGATAGGTGACTAATGTGATTAGGGTGATGGAGTGTGCGATACGACGCATGGGTATGGCATCAATGCTCAGCATCTTCAGTATCCGAATGATGCGGCGACTCAGAACCTTGGAACGACTTTTGTTGTCAAGAAGTTGAGTGGCTAAGGGACTTGATTTGTGAGGGAAATGTTCGTTTTGTGTATCTAGTATCGAGAATGGCGATGTACATAGTAATTTGATAACAAAAATTGAAGTGTCGATAACTTCAGTTAGTCCAATAGCGTATGGTATTCCTTGTTGTTCGGTGACTTCCCCAAGTGCATGAAGCAACGTCTATGTCGCTCCAGTCAACATAATGAAGCTGGTACCCATATTTACCTATGTAACAATTTCCAAACCTTTCTCCAATCAGAGCGCTAGAAAGACTAGAGCTAACTGTCTCAAGGAACACATGCGAGCTACCTGTGCCCACGGCAAGTTGTTGAGTACGGAGTAGTGGTGCAAGATCTTGCACGATTGGTTGGAATTCTGATTCACTTGATAGATAATACAAAATTTATACAGAATAAAAGAATCTGTGTTATTTTCTTAGACCAGTCAAGAGAAATAAGATCTGCGTGATTGTTAATCAGTCGTCTTGTGCAAGCAGTTTACCATGTCGAGGTTGGTCGTAAAATGCGACATTCAATTCGCTCCAGGGTGAGTCAATTACGTGAATGGTACTGCGTGCAGCCTCTGCCCCGCCCTTGATGCTGTCGATGTCGTCAGAGATACTTGTTAGCGCAGAGCTATATGACAAAATAAACCTGATCAGCTGTGCTGGTTTCAAGTGCTGTTCCGCTCTGTTATTTTCGCTTGCTTCCTAGCGCTTACTTCGTAAACGATACTTTTCTGTACCCAAGTCATGTGAACTGCCGGAAGCATAGTTGATCCGTTCCTTGGAACCAGTGACAAGCTTTTCCCTCCATTCAAGTCTCAGAATTGCTTTGCTCCAACTCCACCACCAATTCATTCAATTGATCAGTCACATCGTCACATCAATAGCAACATCGCCATCACGCACAATAGTCCTAGCGTGTGTCAATAAGACATTTACTCTGCTCTTCATCACAAACCATCCAAAACCTCTGGTTTCGACCGCTGAAACCACTGAACCAAGAGACCCCTCCAAATATCCTCATCATGCCACCAAAGGCACCAAAGGCACCAAAAGCAGGCGAAACCCTCGGCGGCATCCTCGTCGGCGGCACGCTCTACGCCGTCCTAGTGACCGGCTTAGCCAGCATACTTGAGAAGAAAGACGACAAGAAAGATAGCAACGAAGAGCCCAAGCAAGCAGAACCGAACTGGTTTCAAAGACATAGCCTAGTAAAGGAAAAAGGATATTACTATAAACAGGTTATGGATGAATTTTATGAGAAAAACGGGAAGATAAAGACTGAAGAACAAACAGCACCGAAACTGGATTACACAATTTTACAATTATCTGAGCAAGATCGCTTGCAAGCAGAGAGAATGTTGAAGCCTTGAGTGGTTACGTGGGGTAAATACAACAATGCAACTTGATTTCGATCGTTTTTGGATACCGCGGCCTTAAAATGTGTGTGATGTACATATGGGTCGTTGAAATGGTAGAGTCTGCGATCAAAGCTGCTAACATGCCATGGTCTTTTCATCTTTCTGACAATGTCTGGCTGAAACAGCTGGCTAGATGTCCTTTGTTGATCCACATACAACGAACACAAACCTCAAATCCATTATCTGTCTTTTAATGCACTGTTACAGAACAATTGATGAGAGACAAAGAAACATGCATCACGTATTTCATGAACAGACGGAACAATAACAAGAGTGACGTCGGGAGTGATAAAGATTGGAAATATCAGTCCCCAACCAATTCTCAACCTTCCACCTTACCATCCGACACCATCATGGATTGCACCACAGATCCCTATCTCCTAGGCCGGCAGCTCCAGCGGTTCCGCCAAGGCAACCCAGGCGACGCCGGCGCCATCTGGACCGAATACGACCTCTACTATTTCACCCTCTGCCCACTCTCAGCTTCTGAGAAAACAAACGAGGATTATCCTCTTGAATGGCGGTATGATGCCGTGCGCTTACGATCTAGCCGCGCCCAATGGAGGACATTGATGGCGGGCCGACATCCCTATGATGATGCTATGCAAAAGTGGCTTTCGAGCTGGCGACAGCCCATCATTGAGAAGTGGCGTCATGACAGAGCTACGAATGAGAAGGGGCTTTGGAAGTGGCTCTGGGGGAAATAAATACTGGCCTTTTTCGAGGTGAGCAATAAGCTTCCGTGATAGCGAGAATGCTACCTAGAGTGATTTCGTGGGTGTAGAAGGTGGATAATATGAGTAGGGAGTGATCGATATATTGCGCATCATTCTCAAGTATCACAGAGTCGGTTGCGACTAAGAGGTAGTTCACAAAATTGAGGAGGAGTTGTGGATCCAAGCTACGCTCATTTGACCAATTGAAAGATTTTGTTTTGTGTTTTGACCAATCAACTGCTTGAGTGAGCGCCAAAAAGGTCCACGGGCGCTGCTGAATTTTGTGAGTTAGTCTTCTGGGCCTGTCGACTCTCTCGGTGAAGTGATTAGAAAGATCAGATAGATGAAAGTTGCCAGAATATTCCTGTTAAGATAATGCATTCAGTCATATATTCTTTGTGTATATGAAGTAAAGGCATCTATAAGAATAATTAAATAGAAGACCCTGATTTAATAAAAATAACACTAATCTTCTGATCATAGTTACAGTAACTCTCTCTAGCCGTAGTATTTTAAGCAAACAAGACCGCGCTTTTAACAAGGTACAAATAGCACTGAAATAATTATAACTCCCAATCCTCAAACTCACCCATTGGCTAACCCGATCAGTAATTACCTAGTTCTTAGATAGGTAATGAAAGAGTCGCCCTACTCCACAGATAACTACACAAGCAATACAAATGGAGATCGATGTCACCCCGGTATCCACTTTCAGACAAACTGTTGGTGGAAGTCTTCCGCTGGGCTATTTCGAAGTTACCCTGCAGGAAAATTTGACTGAACCTGAAGTGAAAAGAAAGGACAAGATCATCGCGGTGTTTCCAAGTTAGCAGCTCACTACTGATCGCGCTGGAGATGAGTACGCCGTTTAGCCAAATGAAACAGAGAAGATATCGCCGGCAGCAACCCTTGGAGTTTTGCGTAAGCAGGGGCATGGGCGTGGCGGAAAGGGTGATAACGGAATAGTGTACCACCGGGTATCTATTTCCATTTTGTCAAGGTCGGGATAGGATTCGGCTTTATAATCGTTATGGCGGGAGTTGAGTCTTTGAACGGAGACATCTCAAGGTTGATAGAGTGTTCAAGAGTGGCAATAGATGGTGTCGTGAGCGGGAAAAGCTGTCTTGTTGATTGTGAAGTGTAGTGGTTGACTAAAGCTGAGGTGTTCTGGAGCTTGTTCTACACAGAACTGGGATTTATCTTCAAGAAGTCACTGGCTGGTGCATGAACACACATGGGTTTCACCCTATTCCAAAGCCCTTTGACGTAAGACCTGCCGCTATAAATAAAACTGTTTTTTAAGAAGAAAATCCTGTAGTAAACAATGCTTTTATCTGAAAGTAGACATACTGATACTGCACTATACCCTAGCATGAAGAATCAGTCCCTTTGAGCGGGATTTCCGTGCCTGCGGAATAATTCCGCATTTACTGACGGACTAAAAATCCACCTCCGATCCGATTTCATGCCAGAACTTCAAGCTCTCTGGACCGCTTACAGAAGCGTTGAGTAGGATTGGTGACCTGGCTTATCAATAGGAAACGGTTCTGTAACAGAACAATGAGTTGAAATTGAGGTTAGCCTAGTAGTAGAACAGTAGGTAGACTCTTGTCTTACGTAGTGATATAGCGGCAGGTTGAACAGTCTAATGTTAGGAGATCGTTGTGCCTGTCGTAGCAGGCTCATTAGCTCTATCGCTATTAATATCAAGCGTATCCAAGGAATACATAAAGGTGTGTTCCGGTTATTAGATGACCAAAAGTCATGTCAAGGTATGCAACAGTGATGCGGCAAGATCCTAGTCAGTTGCTACAGGGTAAGCTAAGTCTACATAGTGTAGGAATAGCACAAATGGTCCATACAGGTCGGACAAGTCTTACAGTCAAAGGTGTAATTTTGCATCTAGTTCAAGCAATCGAGAGGCAAGTAATTGTATTTAAAAGCCAGTAAAAACAATGTAGGAAGGCGCAAGACCTCTTCCGAAGGAGCATAGATTGAGCTCATCTTACACTATAATAGTGTTGTTCCCTTTGAATTAAGTCAATTAAATCCGTGACAAGAACGCGGCCTCTACTTACCTTTGAGAAATTGCCATAATGTATATCGCACCAGCGATTTACCGTGGTCAACTGTCGTCATGGAGCGATGTGTTGAAAGAATCGCTTAATGCAATACCGTGTATAATGCTCGCTTAAACTACCTGATTGAGGTTGGTCCATGTATTTATCCAGAAAAAAAGATACATTGCCTCCAAGACAGTCTACTGCAGGCACGAAAGCTTAAAACTTACTAAGCCCTACAGCGCGATTAGGCTCCTTCTAACCTGAACAGGTTAGCCCTTACCCCTCAGCTCAGCTTCTCCGCAGCACTCGTAAGGCTGTAGATTAGCACCACCTATTCATCCCCAAAGCGGGGTAATGTAGCAATTAAGCCGGCAACGTCTTTGTTGGACTCTTACAGCTGAGAAAGGCTGTGATAAGTTCATGAGGACAAACGAAGCTCTAGCCTTTAATAAATGGCTTAATACCAGATCTGAGCCTTAAATTATAGATAAAGAACCAGTCTGTTGCCTGGAAAGTTTACACCATCCTCCTGTGTTACTCTTCTATTTAAATACCTTATTGTAAAATAGCAGTATCTAAGCACTTCAGAGGCTTTACAAGGAACGTTGTTGTCTTTACTTTAAAGAGGGCTAATTAGAGGGCATAAAGTGGCAAGCGGAGAATTATATCTTTCTATAACCTTTCCTTAACGTCTTGTTGAAAGCTATTTACAAGTTAGTACTGCCCAGTGTCTGGGTAATATACGCTCATTGAGCGACAGTTATGCTTATGTTATTTACTTTACTACTGAATAGATCTGATCCAGTCTTACCATGGTTTATGCAGACCTTTTAGTAACTGTTGGTTTTTTGATATACTGATTTCGGAGGGATGGGTACAGGGTAGTTAGGTAAGACTTGGTGGGATTCTTTTTAATAAAGATGAATTAATCCAGTATCGTTTCTGGTCTTATCCTGCCACCCAATAAGATAACTATGTAATGATTGCAACCTTTTGCCCCTTAGTTAGGCCATGAAGCAGTCAAGCCTACTTAACAAAGGTTACTGCCTTGCTCGACTAAGAATTCCCTCCTGGTTGAGACACCTCTGTCGCCAGGAAAGGTCATAGTCTAACAATGGTATGGTTAAGAGAAAGAGGGTGTAAAGGCAGGCTCATCTTAATATATCGCGTGCCAACGAGATCTATACTATATAATCATATGAACATTGAATCGTTAGTGCTATTAACTTGTCGCAAGGTATATTTCTTATTAACTCTCCTATGTAGTGCTCTTCCGTGTTTTATATCAAGCCAAGTTACTATTTACAGACTTAGTAGAGTAAACTTGGATATTCTTACGATCTAGATTGAAGAAGCACGAATCTCTGAGCTGTTTGTCCCAGATTGGCCTCAGTGGGTGTCGCACGATATGATATGCCGACGCGCGTTGAAAACATTACAGCTCACCAAAATGAGGATGCCCGGAATGCAGCAAGTTAATGTGATGGAATTCCGCTATCTCAGAAGAAGTAAATAGGCACAGTTAGTAATAGCGAATGAAATTGACAAATGTATACTTGATTTCTCAGGCCTCTGTTGTTGTATTGTGAGGAATACTGGACTGAGTCCAAAACGCGACAAGAAAAGTGCTGTCGCGTCTGGCGATTGTCAAGAACGCGAGTGGTGACGAACTGACCGCTTCTTCGTGGTTCTCGCTTGTTGTCCTCAGACACGTATGAGTGCATGAAAGTGGATGTGGGGACGATAATGATTGGAGGCCAAGTGCGCCATGTGGTGATAGTGGGGGGCTTGAACTTGATACCCGAGATGCCAACGGGCATCAACCTCAAAATCATCTTCTTTTACTTCCTCCTCAACATAATTCTTCCAACATATCGTGAATCAATTCTTCATAGTCTGCGAGCATGGACAGTTCGCCTCGGCCGCTCCCCCAACGGCGGCACGATCTCGCCGTTGTAAAACAACAACTCGTCGTCGTCGTCTCCGTCGCATCAACCCTCTTCGTCCTATGCCCAGAATGGCTACAGTTCTACAGAAATCTCGCCGTAATTCCTCTTCTAGCTTGGCTCACGGCCAAAGGCTTCGACCTGGTCATCATGCTGAACGACAAATGGGACAATGCGCCGGCCATGGTCAAGTATTTTGTTCCCATCGACTTTCCTCAGATTACACCTCCGTTTGACAAGATGCGGAGTTTGGGGAATAAGCAGTTGGCAGTTGCGAGGACCAAATTTCGGCATTTGTCTTCGGAGGTGAGGGCCGTGGTTATGATGGTGGTGGATTGGGCCTTGGCGCAGATTGGTGGCGGTGAGTCGGATTGGGCATCAAAGCAGAGTCCGAGTTTAACAAATGTTTCTAGGTCAACCTGGAGTCGAGTCCACAGTTCAGGAGGAGAAGAAAGCAAAGCCTGTGCCGAAACCAGATGAATGGGTGGCAGTCTTGGTCACAACACCGCTAATCAACGACGACGCCGGCATCGATTTCGGCACCAACACCATTGTCGAAATTGGTGAAGTAATCACCTGGGACCATACGCAGACAACATCTCTTCCGGCCATTCTTCTATCGTCTAGTTTCCAGATTCAAATGACACTTTGTCTGGTCCCCAAGAGCATATGGTACTCCCGCAAGACCGTCCTGGAAAAGTTCATAACAGGACTCTACTGGAATCACCAGCCAGGGCAACCAGCATGTCAAGGAGAACAATGGGATGAAGATCGGATTCGAAGTATCTCCAAAGTGCAATTCATTGGACACGTAGAAAAGCACAACAACATTGACAAGGTCAACAAATGTAAGTTATTAACCACTCTACGTTACTTGAGTATCCCTGACCCCCTGAATACAGGCTTCGAGGTCCTTGGTGAAGGATGGGACGATGTTAATATTTACTGGAGCGACATCGACTTTGCCATTATTTTCGCATTCCTCCTCGTCGGCACGTCCTCAGTGGACACATGCAAGAAACTCTTTGATCAATTCTCCGACCTACGAGTCGAAAAGGCCAGTCGGAACAAGGAACTCAACCGGACGCGCTTGGGTGCTGGTGCAGCAGTCTTGACACTGTTGACCGGAGGCTTAGCCGCCCCCATCACGATACCGATGATGATGGGCGCCGAGATGACAACGTCAACACATGATCGGTATTTATGGAGTGAGAGAACGAGAATGTGTAAAGAGCTTTTGGGAAGATATGAGAACCTGAAGGCCATCATTGAGGTTGAAGAGACAAAGGCTCCGAAGGCTATTGACCCAATGCCATTCCTTTCGCCCAAGGCCATGGAGTCAAGTTGGTTTGTTGATGATACTTGGTGATGGGAGGTGATTGGTATTTTCAGGCGTTATGGATAGGGAAGCATGGAGGTATAGTTACACAGAGACTAAGCACTTAGATTGTTCAGACATATGCTTTAGATTACCAGTTTTAAGATCAACTAGACATTCCAGTTCTTAAGTCTTTCGTGAAATGCCACGGCAGACCTGGGTAGTCAGAATTGCAACAATTACTCTCGTCATCGAATTTTTAAGACTTGCGACAAACCCAACCTCTATTACATGTTATGAGATCTATTCTATCAAATACCAGGGCAGTTTCAAGAGAAGACAATAGAAAAACAGAAACATAACAAGGAAAACAGTAACCCAGTTTAGCCAAGTAGATCCACCACTCTAACAGTAAACCCGCGTTTACACCCAGTAACTCAATTTAAGTTGCTCTTCGCTTCCCACATAAAATGATCAACGAAGCCTTGCCCACCATCTATTACTTGACAAGCCGGTTGTCGTGTGCCGCATCGCTCATCTGGGTGCCTGGTTGGGGTTTGAGCGCAGATGCACCATCTTATCAGCGTTGTCGTCTTGGAACTTCTTTTGTAAGTTGAACCAAGCGCCTTCAGCAGCTGCAAACATTAGCAATGGTATTGATCAGGAGAGTAGGTCACATACGAGGAGCCTGATAATAGAAGAAGAAGTTTCCGATGTGAGCCTCACGATCAACAGCAAGGTAATCCATGTCGAGAGTTTCGGCTGTTCTGGTGTAGCTGCGACATGTTAGCCAAGTTCATGTCAATATACGTGGAAATGTACGTGGTTCCATGGATTTGGCCAGAGCCATGCTCTTGGAGGGCGTCGCTATCAATGGCGAGAGACGCATTTCTCTTGTCGTCGTTGAACTCATCGTTGCCCATCATGCCAGGACCACAGTCCCTCGCGACTTTAATAGAAACTTGGATGCTCCCCAAAGCCTTGATACTCTCGGCATCACTGATACCAGAGCCGTCATCTGCCTGATATGCTTTGTTGACGTCAGTTATCTTGTGATCTCTAAGTGTCGTAGTAGACTTACCAGGGTTTCTGATGTCTCGAAAGAATGCCTCGTATGACTCAGAGGAGCCATCCGCATAGCCGCGGTGACAGTAGGTAATGAAGCCAACGTACTCCTTGTTACCACGCGTTGTGCTGACGAGAGCCTTTTTTTGGACAACTCTATTATCAAAAGGCTCGCCGTCGATATAGGTAGAGATGATGAGGGTGGTTTTGCCCCGGGGAAACGTGAAGTCAGATGAGATCCTGAAGCGAATGGCATGAGATGTGTTATCAAGAGACCGAATGAAGCATCGATTGTGCGCGATGTCTTGATGCCCGGTTGCGTCAATGAGGGGAGGGAAATCCTCGGGCACCGGTATGTGCTCTGTGGCTGGCTCACCGTCCACAAGAACGGAGATGTTTATGCCGGGGATGAAGGGAAGGACTGCCATAGTGGGAAGCAGGAGAGAGAATGCGAGGGAGGGGTAGTGGAAGAAGACCTCGATCTTTGACAGAAGTCAAGGGTATAAAGATAGGTAGAGACTCCCTGTTAATGACCAGAGGAAGACAGGAACAGAGAAGGTTGCTGAGTAGACTGATGTGTAAGAGCAGTGGTATCTTGAAAGGGCAAGATTCTGGAAGGAATGGAAGAACCTTAAGAGAGGGAACGACTAGTCCATGCTCATGGAACACACAGAACCGTTACGTCAGATGCCGTCCCCTGGTCCGTTTAGCCTCCCTGCACGGAACATGTGTAGAAGCTTGGGAAACACGCAAAAGTAGTGTTTGGCTTACTATTAACAGTTATCACAGGTTCTTGGCAAAAGCGAATGCATTCATTGGTGGAGCGGGCGCTTTGTGGCTTGCTCACTGGTTTCGGTAACAGTTGAAGAATGTAATTCCACGGGCAAAAAGGCCTTGGCACAACCATTGAATGCGTGTGGCTTGCAATTGCAGACGGTGAATTTTGGTTTACGCAGTCACGTTTGAGCTTGTGATTGGCTATCTCAGAGGAGAAGAAGACGTGGCTTGCAGCAGACGGGCTGTTGCAGGGATGTTGGCAGGGTCAGGGTCAAAGCACAGATTTGTGTGAAAGAAACGATGTTCTCTGTCTTGCTCAGTCCATCTTGTCATGACTTCAGCTAAGCTCAGAGAATCGAGGAGATTTGTGTGTATCTCAGTGAATGGTTTTACTGAAGTCTCATCCTGTGGAGCGTCGAGTTTCAACTTGCTGTTATCACAATTAGTGAGGACGCGTTCTATTTCACTCAACGCAAGCCACCCAATACAATATGGCTCCCAGAGAGCGTCACTAGAATTAGACTAGGACTATTTATTGGCACTAATACTCCGTCCATAAGTTCCTGGCATCCACGTCTTGAGATACAGTCTAGAAACATGGAAACACATACTGTATGTCCCCGAAATCTGGTTCCCCGCCAATCACATTTACTTCCATACAGCCTGAGTTTTGAGATCGCTTAAATGTACAGTGCGGTAACCACAGAGCGCCAAAATTGATAGATCAGAAACCGCCGGGCGAACAACAGTCAACACACCATGACGGTCTCGCTTAGCTCAACAAAAGCAACCACAATAGCAAGCAGTCCCTAAATCTTCCGTTGTGGATAATATTGTCTACAGGACAGCCAGCCAATACTGTCAGAATCTGGTGGCACAGACCTTGCTTAGAGAGAAAGTGTCAAAGTGCAATTATTGTCAACAGACCCTGCTGGGGGTCATGACTGCGACTGAATACGTAGGAAAGAGGAGCTACGTCATTCGAGTAAATGTCTTTCATCAACGGCAAGTTGCATAAAATTAGTAAAATGGAGGATGAGAAAATTCCGTCCCAAACAGCCTTGATGATAAATCTCAAGCGTCTGTACCCTAAGCTTATTCTCATCGTCCGTCCACAACATCTTGATTCATGGGCGGATCCTCATAGAACTGGTTGATATTCTTACCGTCGCAATGATGCTCAGCTACAATAACACTGCACCCTGACATATTATTAGATCCATCATTGAATTAATAACTTCCTCTTTCTTTAACTTCTGTGCCTTTGTATTATGCGCGAACAAAGAGTCATTGTCTTTGCCAACTGTGGAGTTCTTTGTAGCTTCTGCACGCGGCAACTCCGTCAATAACTTTATTAATAGATTCAATCGACAGTCTTTGTGCCAAATTGACGAAAATAGCCTGGATGTTCTGACAATGATGTAAGCCACAGATTGGTCTTTGAACTCTTTGTTTCCTTATATGACATGTGCCTTCACCTCAAACAAGCTCTGCTGATTGAAGGCCCAGTTCGTTGTCAAAGATTACCTCAGTTGAAATCATAAATCGCAACGCTCCCTCGCCATATTTCATTCTCGATCTAGTCATCGCAAGACTTCAGCTTTTCTAGTCAAATTGACCAGCCATTTTAGAGACTCAGCATCCTAGTACATGCCGCTATATCTACACCAGCAAAATGTATATTTCTGATCAACCCATTGCCTCACTTCCTCCGAAGTATGAAACTCCCAAATTCGCCCCCGAAAGACCTAGTGGCCGCCAAGCGGAATCTCATATCAATGCGGAGCTCAAGACCAACCACGAGCCCCGACCATTGCCACGACGCCAGCTCATCAACCGCTACTGGAAAGTAGTATTCACACTGACAATACTTCTCTTCATATTCACCCCTACACGTTCTATCAGCCCACCAAAGCTCGATGAGGGCACCGTGCTGCAAATGGCTCATCGTATGAACAACCTTGCCGTTCCATGCCCTAAAGATCTACCGCTGAATATCCAACACAATCCTCCTCCCAACCAACAAACCGTTGCGACACTCGCCGAGTTCGAGAAGCTATCACAGGAGTATTTGCGACAAGGCCACGCACTATACTGCAGTCTGATGAACCCAGATTCCCCCCGGCCCAGCGACTTTAGTTACATCTACGCACTGCCCAAGGACACTGTCAGATACCTTTTGCTTGAGACCAACACATCAGTGTTTGAAGAACCTGTCGTTGCCCCAATCTTTGAGCGAAGTAGACGCATCGTGCTTGTTGAAAAGGCCAGGCGGCATAGATTAGCGAGGATTATTCAACAAAAGATCGAGGAATTGTATATACAGAAGGGCCTTGTTTCGATGAATCAATATATGAAGAAGTCGATATGACTGGGAATATTGGGTAGTTTAGGTGGACAGGGTGTGTTCTTTATTTGCGGGTTAGATGGCAATAAGGCAGGAAATAAACGCTGGAGTTATATAGGGATATAGAGATAATAAGACCTTTGGGAATAATAGACTATATAATGAGTTTTATCTTTATTTTTAATTTATTAAGGCTAGTTATAATTTAAGTCTATTTTATTTCAAATCTTAATATCTTTACTTAAACTTTAGGCTCTTAAATAATACTTATTATTATATAACTAAGATAAAATTCAGTAAGGTGTACTAATAATACTTATATAACCCAGAGAGATTTAATTTATTAGTAAGCCTGATAACAGGTGGCGGCGGCAATTCTACTTAGATGTTTTATTTGCAATGAACATAATAGCGGCTAACCCTCCTCTGACGGTGTGGTTGGTGGCAGGCATATAGTAGCGGAACTATCCCAGCGTAAGCCTTAACTTACCCGCTGGCTCTATTGAGTGAATGGAATCCGTTTAAAATATTAAAGAAAGAAGTATGCAAACATATAACATAACCAGGTGTAAGTCACTAAGTCAAGACGAAGGAGGTAGGAGCAGTTCTACCTCTCTTTCCGCGTAGGATATAGAAGCCTAGACAGCAAGCGCTTTCCTAATACCAGGACACGAACTAGCTCTATATCTCTTCTCTTTTCTTATTCGTGAAGGACTGACCCCTGTTTTGGTTATTTGTTATAGTTGCTTCTGCTGTAGCACTTCGTGAATTGCGTATCGAGACAAGGCGGTCACTAAGTCAAAGACAGTTCTCACTGATGGAATTTAAAGCAAGATCATGCGTCCCTTTTGAACCTTTTAGTGAAGCAAATACACGTCGCAACTGGACAAAGGTAGTCATGCAGGCGACGAAAGTGAATTCATAGGATGAAAGTACTCCCTTTTCAAGCGTGTGACTTCACTTGATCAGCCTTACACAAAGAGAATATATTCACACGGTGACAACGACTGGTAGATATGAAATCATACTATATAAAGTCCACATCAAATGGCCTTGCAACTCAATCTCTTACACTATCCACTATGACAACACTACCCATCTCTTACTCATCTGAACTAACACGCAATCATGACTTACAGCCCTGAAAAGAATACTCGTCTTCGCGCTCGACAGCTACAGCTCCTCTATGTGCTGCACAAAGATATCCCGTATCCCTACGCAGGCCAAATCACTAGTGAAGACATTGCCCTGGCAAATGCGCTTGAACCCTGCTGGACGCACAACCTCGCCTCGCCCAAATATGTCCTCACTTATCCTTGGGAGTGGGTTACGAAGAAAGGATCTCTTCCTGCTGTACTTCGCAGCTTTCGTGTAAAGGCTAAGGAACTGCTCGATGCTCAGCCGTTGCTTGACGAATCGGATATCGATATGTAAACAGCGACATGTAACGTTTTCAGAGGGAAGGATTGAAACAAGTCACAATGAGGCAAACGGGGATATGGGATAAAACACAACTTGGCGAGATGACCGAGGGGCAGAGGTGCAACTCTTCCCCTACTTAAGTGAGCTCGACTGAGTTTGTAGATGAATTGTAACTAATCAGCTTCGAGACAGTACTCGATTGAGTCAACTCCAATCAATGAATTTAGCAGGTTGGGATGGAGTTCAAGGCCATGAGATTAGTTTATGCTGCAGAATATCTGTGCGTAGCTTAACTTAGAACTAGGCAAGGATTATAATATCATCTAAACTATTTTTTCATTTCTGCCAACAGTCAATATGGAATCATATATTGCAATAGACCTTTTAATGGGGAAACACAGCACCAAGACGTATACCCACCCAGCCAAGAAGAGCGATGAAATGTCGAGTAAGCGGTCGGGTGATATATCGCTACAACCTGGATTTCTACGATCTATTGTCATTCTAAAAGTCAACAAATGAGCCATTGCCGAGCAAAGCAAAACACCGGAGTCCCTTGCGTCAAGATAGAAGATGTCACTTGACGAGCGGACCATAGTCTCTGCGAACTTCCCCGCATCTGTCAGAATTGGCCACCAATTTCTATCTCTAACCAATCACTAACCCCAAAACAAACAAGGATGATATCCCTCATCCCAATCCTCATCACTAATCTCAACTCCACTCCTCGCACAGCATCGGCCATGCGCCTCGTCAACACCCAAACCATCCAACTCGAGTTTGTCGCCGACGACAATGTGCCCGACTACGCAATCCTGTCTCATACCTGGGAACAGGAAGAGGTACTCTTCCACGACATGGGACGCGATAGCGCCAAGTCGAAAAAGGGCTACGCTAAGCTCGAGAGCTGCTGTCGCGTAGCGAGAGAGAATGAGTTTCTGTATATCTGGGACGATACCTGCTGCATCGATAAGACAAGCAGTGCAGAATTGAGTGAAGCTATTAATTCGATGTATCGGTATTATCAAGAGGCTAGCATTTGTTATGTATACCTCGCAGATATTTCTACCGTCTCTGAAATCCCCAATAGCAGATGGTTTACTAGAGGTTGGACGCTACAAGAACTTATTGCGCCAAGTTCAATGATCTTCTTCGACAGAGACTGGCGTGAGTTGGGTACCAAGACAAGCTTAGTGCAGGTACTGTCGCAAAGAACAAGTATACCAGAATCTATTCTCTGTGACAGCGAAGAGCTAGAGACGGCGAGCATCGCACAGAGAATGTCATGGGCAGCCGACAGAGTAACAACAAGAAAGGAAGACAGTGCATATTCCCTCATGGGTATCTTCGGGATCAACATGCCCCTCCTCTACGGTGAAGGCGACAAGGCCTTCTATCGGCTCCAAGAAGAGATCATGCGCGTATCAGACGATCACAGCATCTTCGCTTGGAAAGCCATCACTTCTCGTGGTGGGTTACTCGCCCCCACACCAGCTGCCTTCAAGCACTCAGGCGATATCATCCCATGGAATCCGTTCACGCCATATAACAGTCCGTTCACGATCACTAATAAGGGTGTGCACATGGAGGCGCCGTTCATTGCGCAGGATACTTCGGGCAGGGGCCTTTGTGTTCTTCATTGTACGAGGGTTGGGACGAGGGATAAATTGATTGCAGTGAATTTGAGGGATGTTTATTTGACGATGGAGCATTTTGAGAGGTGTAGGAGTGACGAGTTGGAGTGGATTGACTTGGACAGGTTCAACCTCACGCAGTATCCCGTGAGGCCTTTGTGTATACGGCTCCACCTCCCATCAATTTCCCGAAGAGCAAGACAGAAGGAAGGGCAGGTCGATGGACTATCCGATTCCAGTGCAGTTGTTGAGCGCAACAGCATATCATCACTTTCAGAACCTGCTTTAGTAGGCGATGCTGGCTCAGTCTGGTACCTACTAGCCCAAGCCCCACCTGGAACAATGCACGATGAAGCTCGCTCAGCGATCTGTCTGGCTGCTCGCGGTGGCCATGAGCGTCTCGTCAGTCAGCTGTTGGCAAGGAGAGACACATCTACTCTCATAACTGACAGTGAAGGTCGAACTGCGCTCTCCCATGCTGCAGAGTGCGGCCAAGAAGCCATCGTCAGATTTATCCTGTCCAGCGCCAGGATCCACCCTGAAATAAGGGATGTACATGGGCTAACGGCGTTATGGTACGCCGTGTACCATAGACACACTGCATGCGCAAAACTGCTTCTACAGAAAGGCTTGGTGTCTGGCAACGTTGGAGGTAACGGCAATACCCAAACTGCTCTTTGGCACGCGGTCTCCGCCGGCGAACTCGACCTTGTGAAACTCCTCCTGCAGAATGGGGCGTCAACCACCAATGGAAGCGAACTAGCCCTTTACGCAGCAGTATCACACCAGCACCCCGCCATGGCCGACCTCCTTCTGCAGTACGGCACCGACCCCAACGAACGAGATACAAAACGCCGATCCCCGCTGCACATTGCATGCAGGAAGGATAACCACGAGATAGTAGCTCTGCTGATGAGACATGGTGCCAACGCTGACACGCTCGACACCGGGGGCAAGACAGAACTGGCGTTTGCGACGCTGAGGGGCAATGTGGCGCTGGTCAAGGTGTTGCTGGAGAATGGGGCGAATCCGAGGGCTAAGTGTGCGAATGGGAAGACGGCGGCGGCTTATGCGACGGGGCAGGAGATGAAGAGTTTGATTGGTAATCAGAGATGGTATAAGACTTTGCTTGATAGGACGAGTACGAATCGGTCGGCGTTGTCGTGATGGTAGTGCGTTTGTGCGTAGGGAACGAAGGGGAGGTTTTTTTAGGATATCGTACTTGTATGGTCGAGCCATCGTCAGTATACCCAAGAGCAAACAGGGTGGTTTTACCTGATGGCAACTGCAAGCAGGTCCTTAGTAGACCGAGTGACTTTGTAGATGCAGTCTTGACTCTTGTGATGGAATGAGTTCTCAGAGGGATGCAAAGTAGCGGATTCTTGCAGCCGACCTTGTACATCAATGCTCGGAGAAGCGACACACAAGGAGACGGGCCGGAAACAAACATCACGCGACCAGGCAAGTACCAAACTCGATCAAGGCCGCTTGCGCGAAGACTTGCCCCAGGGCTCCAAGATACTGTGATGTCCTCAGGAAGTTATCCTCTTGTTCTCTCGGTGCAGCAGGGCTCGGGTGTCGTGTCGTATCTCCACTGGCTTCGGTTCGGTCGGCTTTGAAGCAATTCGATGTTTCGACTCGTTCGTTGGTGGTAAACTGTTTGAGAGTGTTGATCAGCATGGTCGGTTGATATAAACAGGAGATTGCGCTCTGAAAGCGTACGCTGAGGTGGTTGAAGTCTCCGATCTTGCTCTACGAAGTCTCTGTTGCGCCCGCTGCTCCCAGCTGACTCCTCCAAGTCCTCGTCATCAGTGTCCATAGGTCTTTCATCACTCACAATGCTGGACTTGCTCTTCGCCTGAGAAGCGCCATAAAGAGCCTGCGAGTTCTGCGTGCCTCGCGCGCCTTACCTCGTTGTTTTTGACTGTGCCAACTCCGCCTTGCGCTTCAGCATCCTCTCCTTGCCGTGGACATCTCCTTGGCCGCTTCGAGTCTAGCGCTAGGCAACAAAGGTTGCTTTGCCAGCTGTAGTAGTGGGAGGCCTTGCGGGTAGGACTGGTGGCAGAGGAGGGGGCGTTCTGTATCGATCTACTTGTCGGGAAACTTGGTCAAGAACGCGGTTCTTTCGATTGGCGGGTGTGCAGTGGAGTTGGCTGCGCATGGAGCCGGAGCTTCTCGCGGATATGTACTGAAATTCTCGTCGTAAGTGTCACAAAGTGTAGAGAAACTGTGGTGAAGCAGAGACGAATGTACTGTCGTCGTTGTTTTGAAGGGAAAGTGAAAATGCGTTGCTACGTCATCAGGTCTGGGAAACACGCACCGCAGCGTGACCCCCTCAACCTCAAATCATTAGTCGCCCGACCGAGATCTACTTTGGCGCGACGCGGGCCTTTCTATATTTTGACCATAGTGAAAAGTCACACATCGTAAGACACAAACTGCTCGCCATGGTCATAGCCATGGTCATGAGGGCTGTGTGCTGTGGCGATGGTGATCTGACAGGTGACTACTACGAACAACACTTCACAATTTCCCCCGAACCGCTCGTCTGACTCCAACACTGACTGAATCTGAGCCACGAAAAATCACATCTCATTGATAGACTGTCGAGAGTATTCCTGCTTGCCAACTAAGTTTACCCTGCCGAATGAACAACCCTGTGACACAAAACCGCAAGGTATAACCATTAACCGCCTCTGTCCTTGCTACAGTGATCCTGCTTATTGACTCATGGTCACGATTTGCTGATTGTTCTGAACGCTTGGGAAAGTGTTAGCAGCCAAGTCATCAACGTCCAAAAGGATCCTGTAGTGAGTGCGGTTATAGCGAGGGTTTCTGGGCTTACTTTTCGCTTTGCTCGGCGCTGGAGGTCTTCGCCTTCTCAGCCTCGAGCTGTTGCATGAGCTCTTTGTTGAGCTCAATTTGCTTGGTAAGCTCTTCTTCCGCACACCGCCAGTAGTCGAAGAAACGTTTCTGACGCTCCTCGGCGAGCGCCAGGCTTTTCTTCAGATCTTCATTTTCGATCCCAAGCTCCCCGTTCTTCCATGTGAGGTCGTCATTGAGTTCGTTGACGAATGTATTTTCTTCGGAGATGGTCGCGACCTTCTCACGAAGGGCGACGAGCTCGAGACGGTCAACGGGGGGTTCGGTAGACATCGTCGGAAGTGTTGAAAATTTGACTTTGTGTGAAAGGTTGTAGAGTCAGATGTTGGGGAATGGAGGATATGAAGGAGACGGGATTTTGAGTGTGGATGGTGGAGGAAGAGAAAAGGTGGAAGTTTGTGTGAGAGCTGTGGGGTTTGAGTATTTGAGTATTTGGCTGGCACTGTCAGGACCAGATTGGATTCTTTAGCGAGCTTTGACACTGTCAAGACATGAGTTCAGCTTCAGCAGACTTCTCCACTACAGTTATGGACTGAGAGCACCAAGACTACCTGGACGGTACCCTCCAAATAGAGGTTCTTGTCCACGCGGAAGAGGATGCAAATGAAGCTGATGCACTCTCCCACGAGGACTTGAGCCACAAAGCATGCCCGTCTGCCGGCCGTGGCTGTGCAACTGAGAGAAAGCCCCTTTCAGCCAAACGAATGTGTCCCCAAGCTTCGCTACATTCTGTTCAATGTTTGCTTGGTGATGTACTCGAGAGACCGCCTGCTGTATATCTCCATATATGGAACACAATGGTATCGAGAATGAACAGGTCGGTCGTCTCCTCGGTGAACTGCCCTTGAGCAGCTGCAGAACAAACCCTCAAATGTTGAACAAAGGGTCGATGTGTTCACATGAACCTTCACGTTGGCCAGTCGTCTCCCTTTTCCCTCTGATAACTGACAACATGACTGACCTCTGATGACCGAGCAGTATCCCACTACCAAAACGAATCGAAGCCACCAGACGACCCTCACCGAAGACCGTGACGATATCGTCCCGTTGCCCGAATACGCCTCCCCTCTGAACAACGCAAAGCTCCCCGATACCAACACCCCCGAAGGGTACGAAGAAACTATATGAAGCCCTCAGAGGATCATCCAGCACCAGTTCCGATTGCAGCGCCTCTCGCCATCGAGTCCTCGCAATATCCCTGGCGTCACGAACTCCCGCCGTTTCTAAATTTGCATCAAGATTCCTCCCGTCACTACACTAGACCTGGTCATGTAATAGGTGGAATTTCGCGAGCTCATGAACCGATAATTCTTGGACAAGCGGGCTTCAGAATCATCCATGAAGTCTACATCACGAAGAAAACATGAGTGCCGAGCAATTACCTTTGTGAGATGACCAGTTACTTCCTACCTTCGCTCAGACCAGTCTCACAAGATTAAGCTGCTCCGCAAACCTTGCCAGAATCTCTTGCGTTCTGTAGATAATTCCACGAGTCGTCTTCCAACGATCAATCAGTAGGCTTCTCAATGCACTACCTGCGGAGATCACACCATGGATACAAGGCACTGAATCTACGGATGGCGATGGTCGTGGTTGAGGCACTTTCGATCATATTGTCAGCCAATTGTCCAGGCGGATCTATACCCAAGATGTCAAAAGCTGCATGACTCGTTTCCAAGCCCGAATCTCCTCCTGGCAACTTCGCAAGATCTTCCCCTCTTGAGGCGCTGTCACTCTCAACCGACATCCCTATGTCCAGACTTTCGGTTGTACAAGGAAGTTTACGGCTATGTGGGACTTCATGGTAGCTCGTTAGTTGACTGAACTCTATTATCATATTGATGCTCTTATCAAGTTTGTGGTTACCCTCAGTCTGGGTTGGCTTTGTTGACGAGGATGGCTCAAAATGTCTGACCAGAATGAGCTTCTGACAAGAAGGGACTTACAGGACAAAAGGTTAGATGTTTATTTATCAACTAAAAGGACAGCTTGGTGAAACCGCTCAAACTGTCTACGATGTCTTATAAGGGGGATGCATTCATGCTGGTAGTGTTGAAAGGCGATGTCAATTGTCGTGCAGTCAGCGATGCCAACAGAACGTTGAGTTACAGGGCTCTTTAGTGGGTTCCCCGTTGGTCATCCACTGAAGCATCAGAATTGGCTTAGCGCTTGATGGTTGACCAATAGTTTCCTGACTTGATTTCTTGGCAGACCTCGCACCTCGATTTTGTAGCCCTCGATCGGAGTGATCTATTAAACCGACCAATCTCTAGTTCTGCCCGGCTCACTACTGTTCAAATACCAGCGTCTTCATCTTGTCTCCGCCGGTGCATTTTCTCTCAGTTCATCTCAACAATGAAAAGACTGCTGACCCGTTCTGGGTGAAGTCCGTCTTGGATTGATTCCGCTTGTCGTGGCTCCGCAATTCGGAGCGGTTCGTGGCAAAACCTTGCTTCACACCATCTTCGTGATCCGCTCTAACCGAAGGCTTCTTGCATGCCATTTTGATTCCTGTTCCTGAAGCTAAACCGTTTTGTAAAATGGACTACATATAGCGTACAAAGCTTATAATAACTACATTTATACAAGTCTCTAGGAGATACTTGAGGCTCCTAAGGTAAGGAAACAAATATACACTCCATTGAGATAGTAGCGTGGATAGCCCCTCTTGACGTAGCACGCATGCAACTGTCTCCGATTGGCAACCGCAGGGCTCGCGACCAAGTCAAGACGTCGGTTCTAGAGCCTGTCCCGATCCATTGGCGCTAAGGTTCGATTGCGATCACTTAATTATCGAGAGGCCTTTCGGTCGTGGCGTCACGGGGTAGCCGTTGGGTGTTGGTCTTGGAGTCAATTACCGCACGTCAAGAAGACAGAGATCATTACCTATGAGACCGTCGCCTACTCTTGATTATTTCCAGCCGATGAAGTAACCTTGGGAAGAAACCATAGAAGTCATTACGACTGAGGAGTCCTTGCAAGCTGACCACTTCATCAATGGAGTTTACGCCGTATCGGCCGATCTGACCTCGCCTTTCGAACCCCTGATAAAATAAACAGAAAAGCCCGGATCGGCCTTCACCGATCCTCCCTCCTTTGGCATGCCCAACCAGACTCCGCCTTGGCATTTCTTTTGGAACGCACGATCACAATTCCTCCAATGAATGGTTTGGCCGATACCCTTGATTCCATCAATACTCTCTTCTATCGCGGCTGCGTCAAAGGCTTCCTGGTCAAACGGTTGAACATCCTATTAAATACTATTAGTTCACTCTATATCCATACCCATAGAGCAGTTCTTACCATGGCTGGTTCTTGTTGTTCTTTTAGTGCAAGCGATGAAGAGTAACGGCTAGTTTAGTAGAAGGCATCCGAATTTTCGAGCTTCGATCTCCGCACCTAAGGCGCGTGACAAATCACGTGACAAGTGATGACAAGGCTCATCAATCGAGCCCGTATGAGCTTCCGTTGAACTGGAACATGATGAATCTATTGTCAAACTTGTCTTTTTAACTTCAGTGTCTAGCCTTTCCGCCTTTTATATATTATATTAAACCATAGTCTGTCAATACTTGACTATGTCTGCCTCACTGGCCGAGTAAGAGCTCGCTTAACCAAGACCTAGAGGCTAGATGTATGGCTCGTGATCCCACTCCTCTAACTCCTTTGTATAACAAATCCAGTACTTGTCCGGATGCTTCTGCGCCTTGAGCCACATATCCCGAAGACTGACACCCTCCCAGCGAGCAGCGTAGAACCAGGAGTTGAGCGACCATTTGGCCACCTTGACCCGGCCTTCGTACTTCTCCCCGTCGATAACAGTCTCTTCTTCCGATCCGTCCCAGTCTGCGTCATATGCCCAAACCCAGCAGGGGTTGTAAAAGTCAAAATGCTCAATATTGAGATTTCCGGAAGCAAATTCGAGGGGAATGACAATGAAGGTATTTCGCAAAATTCCAGGAGACAGCAGATTCTCATTGTCATCTGTGTTCGTTCTCTTTCTCTTCTTCTCCTTCTTCTTCTCCTTCTTCTTCTCCTTCTTTTCATCCTCTTCGGTTTTGGAACGGTTCTCCTCGCAGTATTCTTTGAAATGCCTGACAGTTGGTTAGTAAGTTCATCAATACTAGTCAGGTAATAGTTATACATACTTGCGGAGGTCGTCGTCTTCAGCCAACTCCTCATTAGGGGAGAACATAGGCCAGTTCTCAGTTTTAAGCGAAGACAATGACATCCAGTTCTTGCTACCTTGGCAATGAATATCGCCCCAGCTCACCCCCGGTGGAGAGGAGGTATTAGTAATTCGACTCCAGACAGAGCTCCAGTTATAGCGTGTCTGGTACAATTCTCTAGACCTGTAGTAGACAAAGCCAAATTGTTTACCAGTATCAAAGATCTTCTTTAGCCATGCTGGCGGCGGAGGAGATACCTGTGTCCAGATTTCTGCCAACATATCCTTGTAGGAATTTGGTTTCGAAAGGAGTTCCATGGCTTCCTCGATCTTGCCCTCACTGACGAGTCGTTGCATGAGGCCAGGATCTTGTTCCGCCCAACCTTTTAGTTCCTCTCCTGGAAGACGTTCGATGGCAGGAATCATCCACTTTGCGTTCCTACGAGCCTTCTTGAGTTGAAAATCCCTGATAAGCTCTCTGGCTCGGGCGGCAGGCGTCTGAAGTTCTTCTTCCTGTAGGCGTGTTTCGTAGATCTCCTGTAGCGTAGCATTGCCTCCGTCAACGTAATACATGTCGCAATACACTAGCTTCCAGGCATCCAAGCACAAAGGATGAGCCATCTTATCGAAGCCTGCGATGTAACTGATCAAGGTCGAACTGCTATCTGCGACACTGTTGGTGATGCGTTCTGCCATGCTGTCCTCGTCCTCAAGGCGGTTGGTCCGGCCAAGCACGATATTCTTCAATTGTCCATCCTCTTTGATCTCGGAAGGATTAGCTAAGGCCACTTGAACGAGGTCCCGACCTGCGATGGTCTCTTCTAGCCTCTTGGCAGCATCCTCCTCTTGGACAATTGTGCTGACTCTATTGAACTCAGATCGGGGAAGATGTGCCATGCGGTCGCGGCGCTGGTACGGGGTAAGGTGCAATAGGCTCTTATAAAGCTCTAGATTTGGATCCATTATGAATGCGGCGTCGAACGGGCTGTGACGGTTCAAGATGAGAGGAGGCTGTGAGTGAATTGTGACTTTTTGAGAAATAGAGGGGAGTATTCTGTAGTGCCATCTTTTATTTTGTTTCGCATTATCCGTAGACCCCACCACGTCATGTGGATCCATAGGCCTCGTGACTAATTCATTTGGTTGGACTTTTGCTGCTCCACTTCTCCAAGGCCGGCTACTTCAGGCATGCTACTCGCAGTACCTGGAGGGACAGACATAACTACCCACCCGGGTTAGGGTCTGGTTTAGCTGTGCCTTCTGGCAGAATAGTTTTCTACTTCAAAGGAAGGTATTTTTACTTAAAATAAAAAATCCTATAATAAATTAAAAGGTTTAGAATCTATTTCTCTTTAAAGTTCTATATTACAGTTTTACTATATTTAGATAAGATGTCTTAGGAAGGTCAAATTTCTTATCAATATACTCCAGATACCATGACCTAGACCCCCCCTTTACCTGCGTAGGTACCTAATTACAAGACTACTTTATGTACAGCTACTCTAATAATCTAAACTATGCCCAGATCATTTGAAGACATCGTTGGGCCTAAATTTATCAATCGCAACCCCGTGTTTGTTCACATGCTCTGTGGCTTTGTCCAGGATCGTCAGTGCTTCTTGTGCGTAGTTCAGAATCCCAGCAGCTGCCACCGGATTCCCATTGGCACCGGCAATCATCGCTAACCTGCGGCTGGCCTCAGCCGCCCACGCATCGGCCATTTGTTGAGCACGATATATTAGCCACTTTTTAGTCCAAGCCTTCATCTTGGTGGTTAAATCCCTCATGAATGTAGTCCATAGCTTGTCGAGACCCAAAACCGGAGTTTTGGGATACTCCTTTCTGTACAGCACCTCAAACTCCTTCAGGAAGAGTTTCACATCGTCATATGTATCGACAAGCTTCTCGTTCACTCCTGGTTTCAAGAGGTAGCCAAATACTTGCTCGATCTGGTAGGTGTGTTAACGTGAGATATAACTGACTTCCTCATTGTTCACTGGGAAATGGCGACTTACCACTTGAAGCTGTTCAAAGGCGTGTGTGGAAGCTAGTCTGGTGATGCCGGCATACCTTTTCCTCCAATTTCCGTCCGATATGGGTTCATTGAAATCCCAAATCTGGCGAGATACAAGTTAGATACAGACAGAAAAACGTAATAGCGCGGCAAATCAAGTCGCTCACCTTTGCCTTGAGGCCGTTGAGCTTGGACTCGGTGTTGACCATATGTTTGGCGTTGGTAGTTGAGCCAAGAATCGTGAACAAGGTCTCCCGTGGTGTTTCTTTATGTTGAGCATCCCAAGCAGGAAAGCCGTCCATAAAAGCAGTCTTCCACATGGAACAAGGTGGCATGTTGGCAGAGCTGGTAGGGTTGTCTGGTACCTCGATGCCAAGGTTAGAAGGGCCTGGTTTGTTCATGAGTTTGTTGTGGACACCCATCGAGTACTCGATAAACATTGGAACGGTTTGAAGCTCTAGAATATGCTCAGCTGTAGGAAGTCAGTCAAATCAAGTCAGTTCTGTCGTGGAGAAGGCTTGTTACTCACAGACCCATTTCTTTCCATCGTTTGGTTTGCCGTCGTCCTCGACGGTTGCAGAAATACAGTCTCCACCTCGATTGTCCTTAACATAAAACATCTTGTCGTCGCCGGTTTTCTTGGCCAACGCCTCTCCCTTGTCTCCGTTGATGTACGTCTCTGATTTCATTGTCCAAGTGCTCTTATCAGGACACTGAGGCTTGAAGCGACGTGCCTTGCCAATTCCCCTCTTCTCAAGGCTATCATCCTCATTCCATTCAGATGACCATCCCATTTCATTAAAAGGGAATCCTAAGTTTCCGAGAGGACTAAGAGGACCAGACGGACCGAAGAAATCTGAGATAAAATCATCATCAGACTGGTCGCGAGGGTCTTCCAGCGACCCTGGATCGTACGTATCGAGAGACGGTATGTGGCAGACGAGCTCACTATTCAACCTCCCGATGTGTTGCCCATTATTCTTTTTGGCCTCCTCCTCCTCAGCGCCAATATTACAAATAAAGGCCCAGGCTGTCATCAGCGTCGTCTCGAGCTTATCCCTGAGGTCCCATAGTATTCCAACAAGGTAGGCACCGGTAATGTGAGGAACTACTGGCGTGATATACCTGTCTACCAGGCTCTGGAGATCCCTGACGCTTCGGGAGCCTTCGGGAGCTGTCATTATTCTCTGGAAGACCAATGCGACCACAACTGCATCAGGCATCGTATGAGGGGCATCTCGCTCAGCCAGGTCGGAAAATCTCTCGCCTGAATTCAATGCCATGTTATCCAGAGATCGTGACGAGAGCACGCTCTTGGTAAGGAGGCTCAGATTCGGACATTTCGGATCCTTGGCCCATTCCTTGAGCGCCGATTCAAGCTCGTCATCGCCGACATCAGTCAAGTCGTAAGTCGCAGTGACGTCGCAACAATAGGCCGAAGTGCCCTTGCCGCACCTGTTGTTCTTGGACTGGAGAGCCACCTTGACCATGCCTTTGGGACAGTTGCTGTTGCATGTACCCGTCGAGACAGTATCTGTGCGACCCACGAAGTAGTCATCCGACCATATGCAGTTGGCGAAGTGAGGCTTGGTCTCGTCTCTGGCGTCTTCGCAGAGTGGCCTTTCTCGCTCCTTGCCCTTGCTGTCATAGCAGACTTGGGCCCCACTACCGCTCCAGCTCGAAACAAGTGGTGAATTGAACTTGCTGCTCCATCCGCACTCCTTTTCGCCAAGATCGGTAGCGCACTCAGACTCCTTGCCATACCATTTGTACTGACGATAGACATCCAGAGCCTTCGTGTCGCCTCTACAGCAGGCGACTTGGGCTTTGCCGCTATCGCATGTGAGTTTAAGTGACGCCACCTCGACCATATCATCGTACGGACATCCAGGTTTGCAGGCTCCATTGTTGTGGAAAAGCCACTGACAAAAGGGCTGTTTACCTTCTGGACAGCAGAATGTCCGTATCCCATTACCATTGCAGCCGGTTGCGTCCAGCATGATCTCCTTGGAGCTGGTTCGGTAGGGATCCTGCCTTGGGACTGTTGACCATGTGCTTGGACATGTTTCTCCGCAGTTTGTCCATCGGCATTGTTCGTCGCTAACATCGGCATTGGCTTCGCTCTCTGTGGTCTCAATAAAGACACCACCTCCAAAAGACTTGGTGCTGTTGAATGTGGTGACGCCCTTGGACTTGTATCCTGTTGCCTCCTGCAGTTGCTTCGAGAACTTGCCGTCAGAAGTGTCTTGGCTGATGGCCCAGACCATGGCTCCCCCAAGACACTGACTGCGAGCAAAGTCTAGCTTGAGCTTCCAGGTGTCAACATCATCGTAAGTCAGCCATGTAGTGCCAAACTTGAGAGTCTTGATAGCGGCAGCCTTGTCCAGATCGCCTGATCCAATCTTGCCCCCCAGCTTACGCATGATCTCAGGGTTGGACATGACGCCGACAGCGTCAGTACAGGGCTCTGCAGGACCTCCCGCATCAAAGAGACAACCCGGGGACATGCAGCCACTGCTGGACGCAGTAAAGGTGCGTGCATAGAATGCCAGTCCCATGTTGACTTGATCGGGATCGACATCGTTACGCCAGAGCAGATCAAAAGCCTCCTTGATCTCAGTCAGGTTGGTATGAGAGTTCAGATGGTTGCCAAGCCATGACTTGGGAGTATCCCAAGCACCATGGAAGTCATACGACATGACGTTGAAGTGGTCGACATACTTGGAAATCTTCTCAAGGTCAAAGTGCTGAAGATACCAGTAGGAAGCAGGGATTGCGATGCTGAGACCGTTACGCTCTCCGCTCTGCTTGAGGGCGCTCTTGATGTTGCTCAGGAACTTGGGAAGATTAACAAAGTCTTCCTCTCGTCCCTCGCGATCATCGGCAGCCGGGTATTCCCAATCAATATCGACACCATCAAAGCCATAGGTAGCCATGAACGAGATGAGCGACTTGATAAAGGTTCTCTGGTTTGCATCAGAACGAGCAATGTCAGAGAAGGTTGTAACGGTCGGGCCTGGGTCATTGAAGGCCCAACCGCCAATGGCAATAAAGACCTTCAACTTGGGGTCGATCTTCTTCTTGCGCGTCAATTCGCGGTATAAAGCTGGATCTTTGCTGGATGCTGGTACGATCTGGAAGGTCTTTGGGTCGATGCTGGCAAAGGCAAAGTTGATGTGAGTGTAGACGCCGTCGGGGATGTTGGAGGGCCTGAAGCTGTCGCAGGATCGTGTAGAAGCCCATCCTTCGATATATCCGACTACTCTTCGCATGGGGCCCCTTGCAGAGCAGGATGGACGATTGACGGTCTTTTTTCCGCAGAAATCCTTGGTAGTACCGCAGTAACTAGTGATGTTAGCTTCGAAGCAACTGCAAACTGTCTGTATCAACTTACCCATGCTTCGAACAGCAGACGTTGAGTGGACACTTGGTATGGTTGGCGAACTTTGAGCCAAAGTCGCCCGGATCACACTCACCCTTGGCATCACAGCCAGCAACGCAATCCTTTCCACAAACTGTCACAGGTCAACAATACAATAGAGCCATCACGAAATTTGCACTTACAGTCTGGGCCTAGTCCACAATGACCATACTTGGAACAGCATGCATTTCCTTTGCACGGGTTGCTCTTGTCGCACTCTAGCTTGAAGTCGCAAGTGCTCAGACAGCCCTTGCCGCAATGGTCGGTTGTAGTACCGCAGTAGCCTGCACTACTACAACAACCAGTTGCGCAGAGTTTCGTCTTGCTGCATTCTGCCGCAGATACAGCCACTGAGAACAGTAGACCGGTGAAAAACAACAGCATTAAAAGCCGGTGAGGACGTTTCGTTAACTTCATGATTGCCAGAATATTGACCAGTCTGGTCGGGTAACAGATGAACATAGATTGTACCAACAATGAGCGTAGTTTGTAAATTGAAAAGCCAATAGTTCGATCTGGGCATGCAATCTATTGAGCGATCTGAAGTCCAGAAGACAGAAGCTTCCTTGTTCACATGCGGTTCGGGTCCTCGGAATTGCTGCTCGTCCGGAGATTTCCTTCTACGTGATTCCGTCCACATGGAGCCACTTTTTGTCAGATCACTGGCTTCGCTTCACCTCTCACTTCATTTACAGCTTCATGTCTGACTCGTATTCTAACTTGAATCAGGCAGAACGCGGTTGATCTAGCGGTAAGAAAGGTTTTTCTTTGCCAAGACCCGGGCCGTTTATGGACCCTTAATTTCAAAGCAGCAGGCTGTCAGATGTTACAATAGGACAACCTTCTCTTTTGATGGTAAACTGTGTTGGTTCTGTATGTTATTCAGTCTTGGCAGCCTAATTGGGTTTGGATTCTCAGGGTCCAGGGCCAAAAATCTTTCAGCTCATCCACTTCTGATGCACGTCTTGATCCACCCTTCTCCATATAATCTCTCGTAGAAACCCTGCAAAGCCAAAATATTAGGCATAAATCCGGCGGGAGCCGAGGGTCAAGGCGTAATTTTGGAGAACGGGATCCTTCCGAGGTGATAATTCGGCAACTGAATCGTCCACTTGGACCTTTTGCAACAATCGCTCGGTGACCTACTCGGATTTGTCGTAAGGGGAAACTTCCGGGCGGCATTTAGCCCAAGCGCCGTCTCTATGTCATTCGCACTCTAGAGATAGTTGAAGGTTACCTGCTCTGATCTTGGTCCTCATTCACCCCTCAAGGCCCTTCTTTACATGAGAGTGTAACCCAAACCTGTCATTCATTGTTCAACGCCATCTCACGATGTGGTTAAGATTCTTTTTATTGCTACTTTACATGCCCTTTTCGGTCCTTGCTGTTGGCCATCATCACTCTCATTTACATTCTCATCACCATAAGCGCGCCTCCAACAGCTCGTCTCACGACGCTTCGAGCCTTGATGCTGCACGTAAGCTCCTAGCCGCTGGCCAAGCTGCCATGGCCCATGCCAATCGCGCTATCATTGCCAACCCTCGTCCGAACCGCCTGGAAGTGCTCAACTCTACAGAGATTAGGAAGACTGAGAAGGCACCTCCACCGCTTGATTATCGCAACGGCACTTCAAAGTCACTCAATGGCCGAGATTCAGGAAATGGAACCTCCAAAGATCTTCGCTATTCTGTTCCAGAGGAACTTATCAAGGCCGCCCGCCTTCTTTCAGAGAACTGGAAGCCATCTTCTAACGACCTCGATGGCGGTTACGCAGCTGATATCCAACATTTGAAGGACACCTTCTTGTACAAGAACAATGACACCAATATGATGCCTCCCATGCTTCAGTACGACTCAGGCTTGATCAAGCCTGTTCATGAACCGCCATCGGCATTTCGATACAGTGAAAATGAAACTGATATCCCTGAGCATGTAGTTGATAAGGACAAGAACCTGCAAAAGAGAGCTAGTTCAGACTGGTGGATGGCTACTATATCTCAGAGAGGTTCAAGCCCGTTTGCTCCCTCTGGATACCAAGTCTGGCGCGATGTCAAAGACTTTGGTGCCAAAGGCAAGTGACCTGAACCTAGATTGAGCCTTGGGACTGTCTGTATCTTGCTAACCGCAACATAGGAGACGGAATTGCTGACGATACGGATGCAATCAACAAGGCCATCTCCAGTGGTGGCCGATGTGGTGGAGGCAAATGTACAGGAAGCACAATCTACCCAGCAACTGTTTATTTCCCTCCAGGTATATACAAAGTCAGTTCTTCCATCATTCAGTACTACAACACAGAAATGATTGGCAATGTGAGTCTCGTCCTTTGTTCATCTTTTGTCGGCTATTGACAGGTATAGCCACTTGACCTTCCAACCATCATCGCGGCACCAAGCTTTGTCGGTCTTGGTGTTATCACTTCCAACGTAAGTACAAGAGGCGCATTTGTCAATTAATACAGTCTAACACGATACCCAGGTTTATACCGGAGAGACCTCCGAATGGTAATCTGCCCTATATGCGAGTAAGTTACAAGCTAATATGTATCCTTAGGTACCTGAATCAGAACAATTTTCTTCGGAGTGTCCGCAACTTCATCATCGATGTCCGCCCAACTCCTTCCAACGCGCAAGTCTGCGGGATTCACTGGCAGGTTGCGCAGGGTACTTCTCTTGAGAATATCCATTTCTATATGACAAAATTCAAGGATGACCCCAAGACAACGCAGCAGGTAAGTGGTCCAATGAAGCTTCAGTAATTGTAAGTCGCTGACGAGGACTTCAGGGTATCTACATGGAGAACGGGAGTGGTGGCTTCCTTTCTGACCTATACTTTGTAGGAGGAAAGTTCGGGTGAGCTGATGAGACGAATGTGCACGACCGTGATCTCGTTTTACTGACCTTTCGATTACCAGAGCGTACATGGGCAATCAACAGTTCACAGCCAGTGGCCTCTACTTCGAAGAGGCCGAGACGGCGATTCAGATCCACTGGGATTGGGGATGGACCATGCAGAACATTGTTGTTGACAACTGCAAGACCGGTCTCACCATTGTCGGCGGCGCAGGAGGGGTAAGCTCTCTCAACTGTAACTTCGCACATAGATAGTAACTAACAGTCCCTAGCCTATGAGTACCGGCCAGGGAATCGGCTCCCTTCACCTGACCGACCTGCGCTTTCACTACGTCACCGTCGGAGTGTCAACCTCTGTCATGTCTGACAACTCCACCGCCTTACTACTCAGTAATTCGGGCTTCTACAATGTCGACACCATCGTCCAAGACACTTCCAAGAGCCAGGTTCTTCTTCGTGGCGGTAAAGGAACCGTTAATGTTGATACTTGGGGCTTTGGTAGAGTCACCAGTGCCAACGGTACGACTGCCTTCCACAATGGCGCCAATCTCGACAGTCCAGTGAGAAACGAGTCCCTTGTCACTGGTGGACGAAAGCAGTTCTTCACTCGACGCCGTCCAAAGTATGACGACCTAGGCTTCAGTCAGATCCTCGATGCGAAGGCCTACGGTGCCAAGGGCGATGGCAAGACAGATGACACGGCTGTTCTAAAACACCTCTTTTCGGCTGCCGCCAACATGTCTGCAATTGTATATGTTCCATTTGGTGTATACATCATCACAGACACTGTTGAAATTCCGGTTGGGTCGCGGGTTATTGGGCAGGCTTGGCCTCAGATCATGGCGACTGGGTCCAAGTTCACAGACCCCCTTAAGCCTCGCGTGGCTGTTCGTGTCGGCCTGCCAGGCCAAGTTGGTGTTGTCGAGATCCAAAACATGATGATGACTGTCAAGGGAGCTACGGCAGGTGTCATCATGATGGAATGGAATGTACACGAGTCTGGCCAAGGCTCTGCTGGTCTATGGGGTACGTTTCTTTTCTCACCATCAAGTTCTTGATCAGCACCGCTAATATTTCTCTCTAGATACCCACTTCAGAGTTGGAGGTGCTGCGGGCACAGACCTCACTGTGAAAAACTGCCCTAAGCTGTCTGGCAAGGTCAACCCGAACTGTGTTGCCGCCTCCCTTATGCTTCACCTGACCCCTGACTCTTCCGGTTACTTCGAGAACGTTTGGATGTGGACTGCAGATCATGACTTCGACACTGCCGACCAGACCCAAGTTGACGTCTACGTTGGTCGAGGTATGCTAATCGAGAGCAAGGGTCCAACATGGCTCTGGGGTACATCCGTTGAACACTGCGTAATGTACCAATATCAGCTATCTGGTGCCCGGAATGTTGTTATGGGGCTTATTCAGACCGAAACTCCCTACTTTCAGTCTTTTCCAGAAGCACCAGCACCTTTCAAACCTGGCGCGTTCTCCAACGACCCAGAGTTCTACAACTGTACCAAGACCTCCAAGTCTTGTGCTATGGCCTGGGCTTTACGCATCATCGACTCGTCAGCAGTCCACGTTCTGAGCGCTGGCCTCTACTCCTTCTTCAACCGGTACGATCAGACATGTCTTAACTCCGGGAGGCATGACTGCCAGGACAAGATCTTCTACACGGAGCAGAGCTATGATGTCTGGGTCCAAAATCTCGTCACACTCGGCAGTATCGAAATGGTCAGTCCTCTCAACGGAGTTCCTACGCTGGGCAAGCCAAACAGAAACGGGTTTGCTTCTTCGATCCTGGCTTGGCTTGGTGGTTCGAAGAACATCACCGGACAGCGCAACTTCGAGGGCTACAGGATTCATTCCGAAAACACGATTGACATTGACAGGTTCCCCGAGGCCTGCCAGAACGCCCTTACTGCCCTTGTACGATGCGATAACTATACAGACGAATGGACGATACCTTCATACCATGGAGTTCTCCCTAGGGATGTTGATGTCGAGTCTGTTTGCGACGAGGGCTGTGCACGATCCATATCGGACTGGCGATCAGCTGTTGATACCTACTGCGGTAATGCTACATGGCATGACGGTGCCGCTGCAGGTGTCTTGGGATCCTTTATCTCACAGGGTATCAACGAGACATGTCAGACAGACAAGAAGACTGGAAAGTACTGCAACGGTTAGTATTTCGAGTACCTCGTTTGATCTGCTCCTATCCTAACATGCTGCAGATATCATCTACAACTTCACCCTCTCTGAGTCCATCGATAAGATGCCGACCAACGAACTATGTTCCGACTGCTATGTCGGCCGCCTCAAGATGATGCAAGCCAGCCCCTTCTCCTACTACAACAGAGACCTTTTCTATGAGGATGCTCTCAAGAAAGCTGTCAAGCGATGCTCCCTGTCCAACGTTCCCACTACCCCCAAAGATTCTCCTTTTCCCTCAGAACCCTCTGAGCCAGCCTTTTGTCTTTCAGACGTCACATACACAACCAAAGCAGGCGACACCTGTGACTCCCTAGCTCTCAAGTACAGCGTCTCTTCCGCTGCCATCTTCATCGGTAACCCAGATATCCGCAACTGCACCAACATGATCGAGGGAGTGTCCATCTGCATGCCGCTCCAGTGTAAGACGTACAAGCTGCAGGAGGACGACACATGTATGTCAGCGGCCTACTTCACAGGCCTCCAGCCGGACGACATCCGCCCCCTGAATCCTTGGGTCCATGAACTTTGCGGGAATCTCCAGTCCGCCACTATTACTCTCGGTAGAGTGATCTGCATTACACCGCCCGGCGGGGAGTATGATCACGACGTCAACACCACTAATTCGGACCCGGCATACTCTGAGTACGCTGACAAGGCTGTTCCTCCTCCCAGTGGTGCTACTCTCGCTACCAATACGACTCAAGACTGTGGACGATGGTATACAGTTCAGAAGGGTGATGACTGCGCCCGAGTGCTGGTCCAGTATCACATTAGTCTTCCTCTCTTCATACAGGCCAATCCTTCCGTTTCGGAAGGCAGCTGCACCACGGATCTTGTTCCAGGACGAACCTACTGTGTCGGCCCAACTAAAGAAGTCTTGACACAACAGCTTAAGCCTGTTCCTACTTATACACGCTTCGGTTGCTTTGCCCGCGAGGCAGACACTACCAATCGCTCTGTTTTGACTCTAGCCGATGCACAGCACGTCAAGCCCATGTCCATCGTAGCTTGTCAGTCCTACTGTTTACAACAGGGCTGGACTGTTTGGGGAATCCAAAACGGCGAATCTTGTTTTTGCGACAATCAGCTTCGTATGGATAGCCAGATCATTGACAATTCCAAGTGTAACGTGCACTGTAACGGTAACACTACAAACGTCTGCGGTGGTAAAGACGCTATCGAAGTGTTTAGCGATCAAGATATGTTACGTGTTCAATACGCTAGTCTTGGCTGCTACTCTTGGAGCAAGCAAGCCATACGTGGTACTACAGGTGGCGACACTATAGAGTCTCCCGATGAGATGTCTGTAGATGCGTGCGCAAGTCTGTGCACCGTGACCAAGAAATCTGACTTCTTTGCTCTTTGGGAGGGGAAGCTCTGCACTTGCGGTAGGGAAATGACACCAGGAGCAAAGACGACCAGTATAGAGGAATGCAATGTAGCATGTAGTGGTCAACAGGGAGATATCTGTGGTGGAAAGGGAGTGGCCGAGGTCTTTACAACCAAGAACAAGAATGTTGTCGCTAGCTAGGAACATTAGCCCTTCCTTTTTCTTACCAATTGGCTTCTGGGGCTTTCCCTCTTATGTATTTGATATATCTTGAAGGAGGCCTCGCTCTTACAAATATGATAGAAAAGGGCTCTGAGTGCTAAACATTGATGTAACTCTCGACACTGTGGAGATGCAATGAGCCCTGCCATCATCTTATTGATACAGCAGAGAGAATACTCGACCTCTAAGGCCTACAACCTCGACGATACGATAGAGAAATCGAGCTGGCCGTTGCAGTTGGAATTTGGCCTCGAAGGAAGAGGTCTTGGCCAACGACAGCTCGTCCAAGGTAGGTGGCCATGGCAATGGAGTTGGCGAGGACCGGATCTGTAAGGAAATGCACCCCTCGGCTGGCTTTTGTGACCTCAAACTTGCATTGGCACCAGAAATAGATGGCTGAACATTTCATGGACCTTCAAATGACCCGTGACTTCATTGAATTCACCATGAATGTGAAGCAACACTCAAGACACCGAAAACCGCCCTTAGGTAATATCCACCCACATTCGTCAGGTTCTGGAGGTTAGAGAAGTATTGCATAATAGGATCGATATAGTTGGCGGCTAATGTTTGCATCGCTCACTTATCTTAGCTCATTCCCGTAGCGTGATCAACTGTTGACAACAATCTCTTGCTTTCAATCATGCCAAATATGTCCCGTCATCATATCATACATATGGTTCATGATCCCACTCCTCCATTACTTTTGAATCGCAAATCCACAACTTGTCCTCATGTTTCTGCGCCTTGAGCCACATATCTCGAAGACTTACGCCCCCTTCTTCCCAACGGGCAGCATAAAACCACCCTTCGAGTGCATAGATAGGTACTTTGACACGGCCTTGGTATTTCTCGCCGTTGCATATTGTGTCTTCTGAAGCGCTCTCCCAATCCACATCATATGCCCAGACCCAACAGGGATCCACGTCTTCATCATCGGGACCTTTGGGAATTTGCTCGATTTGAATGACGATGAATGTGTTCCGTAAGATCCCAGGGGACGAGAGATATTCCCTGTGCTCGCGGAAGTGTCTGTAAAATAGATTAGTACGATATACCGTTTAAAGTGTTTTGCCCTACGTACTTGCGAAAGGCATCTTCTTCGCTGAGCCCTTCATACTGAGGCGGAGTAGCCCAATCTTCCCTCTTCAGCGCCATCAACTCATCTACCTTCCCTTGGCAATGGATATTCGACCAAGATTGATACGGCATATCAACAATCCTGATCCACGTGTCCCCCCATATATCACCATACTTCTCTTCGACTTCTTTGGTTTTGTAATAGGTGAAACCCCATGGTTGTCGGGTATCCAGGATGTGCTGAATCCAAGCTGGTGGCGGGTGGGATACCTGCTTCCAAATTTCGTGCAAGGTGTCACTGAATTCGTATTCAGACTGAGATAATATCTCGTCAGAGAACTCCTCGAGCACAGGAATCATCCATTTGGCATTCCTGCGAGCCAGTTTCATCATATCGTGTCGGGCGACCTCTCTGGCCTGCTCACTCCGGGTGTGCAGCTCTTCTTCTTGAAGCCGTGATGCGTACACTTCATACAACGTCTTATTGTTGCCATCAAGGTAGAACAAGTCGCAATAGACCAAGATCCAAGCGTCCTTCGTTATAGGCGGATAAGTAGGACCATCAAAGTTTGCAACACTGTTGATCAAAGACTCGCCATTCTTCCTCAGACCATTTGTAATTCGCTTCACCATATTGTTCTCATCGTCGGGATAGCAAGCCCGGCCAAGCAGAACCTTCTGAAGAGGTGGGTTTTCCTTGATCTCCACAGGGTCTGCAAGAGCCAGATCAATAAGATCCCGGCCTGCGACCGCTTCCTCAAGCTTTTGGGTCCATTGCTCCCTTTCGACTAGAGTCTTGACTCTGATCAACTCCCCTCTCGGAAGATGTTGCATACGTTGGCGTCGGTGCTTGGGCCCAAGATGTAATATACTCCTATAAAGGTTGAGGTTTAGGTCCATTATCGCGGCCGAGTTGAGGCGTGAACGACAAGTTGATGAGAATTATGAGCGGTTTCACGATGCATTTTTCTCTTCTCTTAGTTTAGCCCCAGGACTGGGTAAACTTAGCCTCGGATCCACGTAGTGGGGCAAGCTCAACTGAACAAAAAGTCTGTCATTGATCCCCTCACCTTCTCCTACCTTATCACACCCAAAGAAACACAACCACCGTCTACCATCTCTATGGATCCTAACTTAGAGCTGTATAGAAGCCTGCTCGGTCTTGGTCCTGTTGAGCGCCATGAACGTCTACTGCATCTTCCTCGATCTGAGCGACTCAGGGTTGCCTGTATTGTTCATCGCGAAAAGCTGGCCCAGAGGCTACAAGAGAAGTTAGCGGGCAGAGACCTTGTTGAGATGGCACTGAGCAACCCCTCCGAGTTCCATGGCAATGTACTCTTGCAAAACGCGCTGCTTGGCAGAACTTCTTTTACGCCTGATGAGACTAAAATGATAAAGCGTATTTTGGGCGTACAGCATGACGGAGAGGGTTTGTTCGAAACAATCGCGGACTATGACCGCGAGTATTATATCGATATACCAATCGATGCGTGGAAGCTAGTCTACTGCGACTTGTACTATATCGATGGGGTTAATAGTTGTTCGCTACAAGACATTTATGAGAGCCGTCTTCGAGAGGAGGAGCTTCGAGCCCCTGCGGCACGAGCAAGAGAGAATGTACGCCGTGACGTGATCAAGCTAGCACGGAGGAATGCGAAATGGATGCTCTCAGAACTTGATCGACTTTCTGATGAAGAAAAAGCACAGCCCCTTGAGGACTTTGGGAAAACGGTTCGTGCCGTCTGGAAGCGAGCGTCCCATGCGCCACCAGCTTGGATACAAGCCATTCTTCGCGCTCAGCAGCCCTGGGGATTTGTCTACTACAAAGCCAAGGAGGTCAAACAGCCATACGATAGTAGGTGGAGTTCACTGATGGATATGGTCAATCACACCCCGCAGCCATCCTTACCTAGGGACGCGAGAGAAGCAACCTACTTCTGTATCCATTGCCAGGGAAAACGAAATGACCTGGTGGCCCTCCAAACTGAGGTGTGGGCTCCCGTAACTTTAGAGGGGGACTTGGATGAGGATGATGGCTTCCGACGGTAAGTTACACCACCTCATTGATATTCCGGATATGCTGACAGTCTAGCAGACACTTCCGAGAATACAGACAGTCCCTCTCATCAGCAGGTATTCTCAAAAACACATTCATTGTAATCCCCTTTGAATTTATTCCTCAGTCTCAAAACAAGGAGCTTGATCCATATTGGGTTTGGGCATACGATGCAGACTGGGATAACTCTACTGAAGAGACTGTCTGCAGTAGTGGCGAAAAGTACCAAGGCCGAGTCAAGGTAGCTGTCTACTCCCTGAACGCTTGGTTCTATGCTGCGCGGTGGGAGGGCGTAAGCTTGCGAGATATGTGGCTTAAGGCACAAATGCACCAGGATAAGCTATGGATCTGCTATTCAAAGGAGATGGAGAATTGGGATCACGAGCCATATATATGATCCATGGTCTGAACCTATCGACGAGAGTAGGACCTGACGGCCTGCGATAAATATAGGCTTACTGTAATATACTCCAGCTGGAATCGAGACGATGCAATTGGGTCTTTGCATTACATGTAAAGAATCTGCACTATGTATAAAGAGAACTAGACCTCATGTTTTATGCAAAAGCATTCTTGTCGGGACCAATACAGAGGAGTGACTTTTGCAGACATGAACCATGTTCTGCTGGCGGCTTGCAGCTGATGCACTAACACGTCGAGATTGGGGACGCAGCTAAATCCTCTGCCTGGGCAGTGCTATTACGGTAGGATGGAATAGTGAAGGACAAGACAGGCCACGAAGATGGTGCTTGTTTTCAATGACTAAAACCTTCTGGTGCTGGCTTCAGACAGTGTCTTTTCGCAAAACAATTTTAGGAACGACGAGGTGAAACTGATGGTGTAGTCGGGCACGTCTTTCACTGGATGGAGCATAAATCACCACTGCTTTACTTCACGAAACATTAACTCAGTCCGATTGTGATCATCTCATGTCAATTTGGGCATAGCATGATATGCATGTAGATTACTAGTCCCTATCAAACGTGCCACCATAACCAGTGTCGCTCCGTTTCCGGCCTTTATTAAAAGCCCATAATGCCGCGCATTGCAAGAGACGGCAGAACTCTTGGTGCGGATGAGGATGTGTCGCAATGCAGACTGAGTGCTGATATAAACGGATGCATTAATCGTGTCTGCAGATCGATGAGTTTGGGTACGTATGTGATCTCTCTGGTGATGGACTTACTGCTACTCTACTACTCATATGTTTCGTCGCTCTGGTGCGTTCGTAATGCCCGGCTCTATGTTAGTCGGGCTTTGTTATGGTTCACAAGTAACACCGACGGGTGCACTGGCTGTTGGAGAGGTGCCCAGACAGCTGGGTAAGGATACTGAGGTCAATTGCGCTGGATGCGACAATCCATCAGCCATTAGCCAGTGGCGCAACCGCAACCTGGACAGCACCATCCCAGGCCTTGACGCTCTTTATCTCCTCGGTTTCCGTCTCATCACGTTTGCGCTTCTGTCCCAGGGTTGTCTCCTCCGGCGCTTGTGTCTTGAGACCAGCGAGCAATTGTCCCGCGACTCGCTCCGAGAAGCTCGCATGCGGTTCGAATGGGACCTGAATGTGTCGGATCGCTGGCCAGACGAGATTGTCCATGTCTTCAGTCGGGTTGTCAAGCGCGCGGAGGAGTTTCGGGGGGATGTCGGCTTGAAAGACGTGTGCGTGGGTGGTATCAGAGGTGCTGGTAACAAGTAATCGGACCTGGGGCAGTAAGTGTCAGCGAAATGAGGAACGAGGGAAGAAGGTCTGGCGTACGAAATAAGCATTTCCCGTCCCTTTCCGGATCTTCCATTGGATTTGAGCCAGGGAGATCATGACGCAGACCAAGTACGGGTCCTCAAACCATAGGGCGGGAGTTAACTCTCGCAATTGACGCTCGTAGAGTCTCTTGCCGGGAAGGTTGGAGGAGCCAGGCACGGGATGGCGTGGGGGCTTGAGCGCTCGCTTTCGCATCCTTACGAGTTCATCGTAGTGAAAGTTTCCAACGACCGGCCGCACCTCGAGTTTATATGCGTCGTTTAACGTGAAAACCTCGCATTCTGGTACATGGAGCTTGAGTTTGTTGTAAACAAAATAGGGTCGAGTGCTGGCGTTGATGATGCCATGAGCACGCATTAATCTGTTGAAAGCGGCGAACTTGGTTCTTAGAAATGGGCCATCTATCAGCATTGGAACAAGTCGTGCGAGGTAGGGATCGGGATCGGTGTCGCTGCTGGGCGAGAGCGGTGGCGATGGTGGGAGGGCGAAGGAGGGCAAGGCAGAGTCGACGTGATTGAAGTGGCAGTGGAGGACTTGTAGATGCTTGGAAGTCCAGAAAAGAGGGTGGACTTGGAAGCGCCCGTTCTCGACGCAAAGTCTATGCAGAGACTTTGTTATCGGTGTCGGTTCCTCCATCGCGCGCGCGCATCGTAAGGGAAGCGAAATGAAATGAATGAAATGTTGTTGCGAGGATAATTTGGTTTGGCACACGCGACCGAATTGAACTGAATGACGCGCCATGAAATGATTTGGCGGGGGTGGGGACGGATTTACCTCTGCCCGCTATCCGGATTGGTTGACTCTTCCAGCAGTTTGGTTGGTCCACTGGGCCTCGCTTATCTTATCTGGACTGGCCCACTGGCGCAGTGCTACTAGTGCACTGTTCCGGCTACCCATATCATGTGTGTATGGAGAGAAATTGCACTTTTGACACAAAGAGTAAGCGGAAACTCATGGCTTCTTGCGTATGAGATGAGTTACTATTTAATGATACTCTAGAACTAACTGCAGCCTATCAAGTTAAGCTTATACTCCAGCATGGAGAGTTGAAAGGTGGGCAAATAGTAGGAGAATCACAGCTGATGATCCAGGGCCATTCCTACCAAGCCGCGGATGTTGTCCAACACGCCCCTTCTTCCCTTGGTATCGCTTAGATCAAACCAGTGGGTTGCCACAACCTTAAGTGGCTCAGATGGAATCTGTCCGAGGTTCAAATCATCGATGTACGTCTTTGTCAGATGAAATTCCAAAAAGCACACGTAGTGGCTTGTGGCATTTATGATAATCGTTCTACTGCAGTTAGTGATAATATTCTTAGCATCACTCACGGAATAAATAACATACCTTTCGCCTTTCAGTCGTTCTAGGTTAGGTCTGTCTCTGGCCAGAATAGCCTCGCAAGTCATCTGCGCCAGACATTCATCCGAGATTTTAGGCCTACCATTATCAACAACCAGACGTCTTTTGGCCTCGAGCAGTGCAACCGCAACCGGACCCTCGTCGAGCTTCAGGCTCAATCCGCCGTCGTCAATGGCAACAAATTGTTTCTTCAATCCTCGCATCTCAGAGTTCATGCGCTGAGGGTTATGACGGAAGTCAACCACAGGCGACGACTTTGGAGGTTGCGTGTAGTATAGCAAGTGGTTGAACACCCGTGCGATGAGATGAACGGTGCTGTTTTCGGCGGGAAGCCCTGGGCTCGGTTCTGGTTCGGTGTAACTAGGACCGCCAGATCCGTCGCTGCCAGCTGACGGACTATTGCGCTCTTCAGGATCGCTGGATGAAATCTGGAAACCGGCCGAGCTGATGTATCCTTCAAGGGCTGTATTTCGCCGAACTCTTTTTACCTCTGGCGTTCCTTGATTGCTGGAAATTACACGAGGACGAGGATAACGCTTGACGGATGCCAACGCAGCCCACGTCTCACCAAGAGAAAAGCCATACTCGGAAATCAGGAAGTGAGTGCTGTGGTGCATCAAGGCTGGATCAGGTCCGTCAAGAAAGTCCTTGATTTCCTGTATTTCTTGGAGTTTGGAGCGTTCATCACATTGCGTGTATTCCGCGTATGCGGGGAGCACATTGTGTGCGGTCGGCGTGACGATAACCCGACAGGCTAACAGCTGGCGGCGGCCCCAGTTGCTGCCAGAGGCTTGGAGGTCATTGATGGAGAGGGATTCGTCGGAATTCTTCAGCTCGGCCTTAAGCTGGGTGTCAAAAGCACTCGCAGATGTGATGGTTTCGAAGTATCTAGCTGACATGCTGGCCTTTGATGAGGAAATCGCCTAAAGTTAGTAGAGGTATTAGCCTAAATTCTTCAAAGGACGCCCTAAGTTTAGGAGAATTTACGTAGCTCTCTTCGTCCGTTAGGGTTAAAGTTTCGCCTTTCCTTTTGGCCTGGCTTTGGGATACAGACGGAAACAAGGAGATCTGTCTTATCGCCGCCTCGTGAAATCGGGTTTGTTGGTTGAACACGCAACTTGTGACTAGGTGAAGGTTGTTGCTTGTTAAACAAATTATCTTTTGCTGTCAACAGTGTGCCACTTATCCCGCATACCCCTCGCTAACTTACCCAGATACGCGGCTTGAGACAGGGTATCCAGAGTCAGAAGAGGTATATTTGGCTGGTGCTATGCTTCGTCTGGGCCTCTTGTGCGGGGAAGAGATGAGGTCGAACATCGCTCTTTTTGCAAGCGCTTGGCCTGATCAAAGCGGCCCTGTTCACTGTGTTCTGATGCCAGTGGCTACCCTGCAGATTGACAGTGGACCCAATTCACTTCGATTCACGCTCCACTTTTCCGGGAAAAGCCAATGGCTTTCATCCCGAAACCGTTTGTAGGCCACAAGAAACGCAAAACGTTAACCCTAAGAGACGAAGAGACTTAGGTAAACTACCCTAAGCTTAGGGCGCCTTTGATGAATTTAGGCCAACACCCGTTCCTAAGTTTAGACGATCCCTTCATCCGAGACATCTGGCCGCGCCAGTCATCTGACATCACTGGGCAATTCTTTTGGACTGAAAGGCACTTCTTGGCCTCCAGTAGCGCCTCCGTAAGCTCTGGTTCCATCACTCCATTCTTTCGCGCCATCTACCCGGAACACGAAGGCTCATGGACATTCGTTCAGTTCGGAAGTCGACTACCGACTGAGACCCGAATGGCTGAGTACAGTAGCTTATAAGGTTGAGGACCCGCATGATGAGAAGGACAACACTATCCTCAGGCGGGGGACCCTTTGCTGCTACTGGCTCCATATAGCCCTCGCTAGTATGGCTACCTTCTCTAGCTTTTCTAGTTTCTTGGCTTGCTGAAGTCATAGTTATACCTGGCTGGTGCGATGCTTCGTCTGGGTCTCTTGTGTGGAGACGAGCTCGGGTTGCTTATGCTAGTCGTGTTGATGCTGCTAGTTCCAGCTCTTATCCTCCAATCCACCCTGCCTTTATCCTAAACTCCCCTAAAGTTAGCAAAGACTTTAGCATTTTAGACAAGATTTATCATAAACTCAGCAAAGACTTAGTGTTTCTCTTGAACCCGCGATCATAAGTTCATCCGTATTTCTTAACACGAGCGATCCAAACGAGCGATCCAAATGGTTGTGTACGATAGCTTATAAGGTTCAAGACCCGCGTAATAAGTAGCACCACGCTATCTTCCGGGGGGAGATCTTTAGCTGATACCTGCTCCATATAGTCGCTGATATTGCCGTCTTGGCGGCTCATGCCAGGTTCGTCAGAGTCGGAAGAGTAGTATTTCGGGGCTGGCCCACTTCGCCTGGGTCTTTTGCTTGGTGAGGTGCTCTGGCTGCTTGTAGCAGGGGGGATATTGGTAGCTGGCTTGTGCTTATAAGCAGTAACAGTCGCTAGGGCCGCCCAAATCTCTCTAAGATTGGTGCCATACTTGCCGACCAAGTAATGTTTGCTAATACCGGGGTCTTCATTGCCAGGGCCGGTAATAAACTGCCGGATCTGGTCATCGGCAGGGTAGGGCTTCAATTCGGGAAACACATTACCACGCTCTTTGGTGGCAATGACGTGATATATAAGAAGCTGCTGCGCATCCCAAGCAACTGCTGCTTTTGGAGAGTTGATATTGGTAGTATCAGCTGCCTTATGCTTATAGGCCGCAGTCATCCCATAGGCCTAAACCTCTCCAAATTTGGTCCTATACTTTCCCACTAGGTAGTGTTTACTGATAGCTGGGTCTTCCTTTTTAGGGCCGTTGATGAAGCTATCAATTTGGCTTTTGGCCTTTTCGCTGAGATCGGGGTTGAGTTTGAAAGGCTCTTTGGTATCAAATTCAGGAAGCAGATTACCCCTTTTTCGTAGCAATGACGTGGCATATCAGCAGCTGTTGCGTGCTCCAAGAGCTGCCGCTTTTGTTGAGGTTGGGAATTGAGAGGGAGAAGAAGAAAGGTTAACTATGTATGTGATTGACGGCCTCCACCACCACCACGGCGGTGGCAGGCGTGGCGTCAGAGTCGTCGGGGACCTCCTCAGGACGATAGCCTAGGACAGAGTCAGCCAGACGGGAAGTTTGAAAGCGAGGGGGAGGTAAGACTCATAGCTACCCCCCTCTTGGCGGGGCTTTCCTGTCTATTGCCATGGCGGCTCGAGTACTGCCGTCCCTTCAACGGCGTCCCTGGGTCTCGCACCTCGTGCACCTGCTGCTCGAAGGTCAATTCCAAATGTACTCAAGGTAGTTGGACAATTTGTTCGCAACCCCGCCGCCTTATTCGGCAGAAGACCTTCCCTCCGAAGATAGCACTGTCCTGTTAATTTGAAATGTTACGGCATACTCCGGACAGGCTTTTAAATCGCAGCCAGTAGTTAACTTGCAAATCAAGCAACAGCAAATGAGTTTCGGGCTCCTGATGTGGATGGCCGGATTATTGCCATTAACGACGACGAATTGACTCTTAAGTTAGATAAGGGCAACGGTGCATTGATGGATCCGTATCAAGGTGCCTTGCGGTTTATGCTGTTAGCCCTTTATCCGTGTTCGCAGCCTAATGCTTAACCTTATAGGCCGCAGTCATCCCTGTAGATACTTTTAGCCCTTCAGTATTAAGTAATAACCTGTGTTATATCTAGGGGGATCTTTTTCTTTTCTATGGTTTATTAAACACGAGTTTTAGATCTTATGAATCTCTGTTAGTGTTCTAACGAAATAAAATACGCACTGATCCTCTCGTTTCTCCCCACAAGACTTTCCTGCAAATTCATCACCTGTATAACACTCTGAGATTCTGAATAATCAGAAGCTAGACTAAATACGCGCTCCGTACAACATGCTGTTGATGAAAAGAGACCTGTTAATTCAACTTCAATACAACATGGGCCACTTAGACATTCCCTTGAAGGAAAAAGCGACGTGCTGCATCCACGATAACAGAGCTAGTATAGCTGCTGAACGAAACAACCGGTCCCCTCGGACCAGATCTCTTAACGAACAGAACCTGACAAAACAATATTATCACAAGTGCCAGAATATCCATCTGTAGCTCAATAGCATTCCAGGTGGACACACCAGTCTCGACTCTGCCCCCTTCCAACTGAACGGCAAGCAGAGAATTTGATCTCCCAATGACAAGCTCCATGAAGATGATTGGTGGACCTCCTGGCGTCTCAGCTACTGCCGGTTATCCGAACCCAAGCCGCCTTATCGGCCTGTCAAACACTTTAGCGCCGTTTGGTAAAGTAGCGTTTGGCGAACCTGAAACGGCCCTCGTAATGTTAGCGGCGAAATAAGCTTTGCTGTCTCTGTAAGCGATGACTGATTCAGATGAGGAAACATCCATCTATGCCCAGTGGGACATTTTTGGGATTTCGGTAAGGTAACAGTAGATATGCGCAGCATTATCAGCAGATCTTAATACTTATTTGATGGTTCTCATAGAAGATTTGGGAAGATCACACAATTAGTGTGCTGTCTCTTGAAACGTAACTCTGTTCCTGTTGCTCCTGAACACCTCGCTATGAAATATTCCAGCATCCATTTTTTAATTGACGTCTGGCCATTCTTATCGGAGCAGACGGCAGCGGCAGTTCTTTAGAACGCGTTATTCTGAGCCCCTCGAATTTAACAAGAGCCTCAAAACTACCAACATGCGCTGTGTTTTGTTGTGCCGGCTTCCCGTCACCCCTGTCTGGTACTGGGGTGACAAGGAATTGTTAGTGAACTGGGAAGCATGACCTACCCACTTGACGAGAGGGCTAACTACTTTCATGTCAGAAGCCTGACTTCAATAAAAAAAGTATATCATCCTGACTTGATGGAGCCGAACTGTCGCTGAAGCACTCTCTTACTCTTCATTCTTTCGTTGTCCGCTCATTATTGCTTCTTTTGTACATTCATTTCACTTCTCACTCTATCATACATTCTTTACCAGGCAACATGCTCTACTCACTCGTTCTTCCTGCTCTTGCATTTCAAGCCAGCCTGGCGCTCGGCGATACATCCGTTACTGTCAACACCAACAAGAAACTTCAAGTCATTGATGGCTTTGGCGTTTCCGAAGCCTACGGCCACGCCAAGCAATTCCAGAACCTCGGCCCCGGACCACAGAAAGAGGGCCTGGATCTTCTCTTCAACACTACAACCGGTGCAGGCCTGTCCATCATCCGGAACAAGATCGGCTGCGATGCATCAAACTCCATCACAAGTACCAATACCGATAACCCCGAGAAGCAGCCTGTTTTCCATTTCGACGGCGACGATGATGGGCAGGTATGGTTCAGCAAACAGGCTATGAGCTATGGCGTAGATACTATCTACGCCAATGCTTGGTCTGCGCCTGTATACATGAAGTCAGCTACGAGTATGGGTCGTCTCTGCGGTACACCTGGTGTGTCATGCTCATCTGGAGATTGGAGACAACGCTACGTTGAGATGATAGCCGCGTACCTCTCCTATTACAAGGCGGCCGGCATCCTAGTGTCGCATGTTGGTTTCCTCAATGAGGGTGACGGCTCGGACTTTATGCTCTCAACTGCCGAGCAGGCTGCAGATGTCATTCCCCTCCTACACAGCGCTCTGCAATCCAAGGGCCTTGGCGATATCAAGATGACGTGCTGCGACAATATCGGTTGGAGGTCACAGATGGACTACACCGCGAAGCTTGCTGAGCTTGACGTGGAGAAGTATCTATCTGTCATCACATCGCATGAATATTCCAGCAGCCCCGACCAGCCTATGAACACTACCTTGCCAACTTGGATGTCTGAGGGAGCTGCCAATGACCAGGCGTTTGCCACAGCGTGGTACGTCAACGGTGGTTCTAACGAAGGCTTCACGTGGGCAGTCAAGATCGCACAAGGCATAGTCAATGCTGATCTTTCGGCGTATATCTACTGGGAGGGCGTTGAGACGAACAACAAGGGGTCTCTCTCTCACGTCGTCGACACGGACGGCACCAAGTTTACGGTATCTTCGATCCTCTGGGCTATTGCTCACTGGTCACGCCACATCCGCCCTGGCGCCCATAGACTTTCGACTTCAGGTGTTGTTCAGAATACGATTGTTGGTGCCTTTGAGAACGTTGATGGTAGTGTTGTCATGGTGCTGACCAACTCTGGCACTACTGCTCAGACTGTGGACCTGGGTGTTTCAGGCAGTACTTTCTCAACAGCTCAGGCTTTCACTTCGGATGCTGAGGCACAGATGGTCGATACTAAGGTGACTCTGTCTGGCGGTAGTGTCAAGGTCACGGTCCCGGTGCACGGCGTTGTGACTGTGAAGCTCACAACAGCAAAGAGCTCGAAACCGGTTTCAACTGCTGTTTCTATGCAATCTGTTCCCACGTCAACCAGTGTCAAGCACATCTCAAAGCCTTCTTCAACAACACTCTCGATTGTCAAAACTCCAACTCCCGCTCAGGCTACCTCTGTCGTTGAGACAGCCAGTGCGGCAAAATACCCTGTTCCCCCTGTACCATCCAAGGGCTCCACGACGAGTGTTGCCAAGAAGGGAACCGAGAAGAGTACTACGAAGAAGGGTTCGAAGAAGAGCTCCAACCGATCGCACAAGGCGCATAGTGCCACCCATCGTCGATGCGGCCATGGCAACCACCGTCGTGGTCACTGTGCCAATTAATCATTGTAGCAAAGAATGCGGTGCTTTTCAGCACAGGCATTGATAGCTTGCAGTGTTGGAAGACATTCAACCCATTCCTTAAGTAGTAGGATTTCTTTCTTTATTTATTTTTATTGTATTTATAGTCTGCGCCTGGGATGCGCCTGGAAATATGTGTCTTTTGCTGGCGGGTCAAGACAAGTAGCTAGCTATTAATGTCTGATCTATAGCACGGCTTGATAGCTTATACATATCAATCACCAGTCTACAACAACGTTGACTATGATTGAAGCCTCTGTTGAGCAAGTGAATCGTCGACACTATGAGTAATTCTGACATTTAGTGCCAAATCTCAGCTCTGCAGACACATGAGGCCATTATTCGACATGTCTACGATGAGCAATAAGCTCTATATATAAACGAAGGAGTAGATAATCATTAGCCTCTTGCCATCATTCGAGGTACCTACCTAAAACTTGTCTCTTGTCTGAGAAGCGGCATTAAAAGCGGCCTCAAAAGTGTTCAGACAACTATAGAACGGACAGACCGGGCTTTGGTCAAAACTATTCCAGGGAAGGTGTTAACATGGGTCTGTGTATCATAACAGTTCATTGTATTAAACCTAAAGTGTATTTTCTAACTTTATAACTAACTTATAAACTTAACTCCACTACTACCTTCTAACTGCCCTAAACCTTCTTTCTAACCTTCTTTCCTAAT